AGAGGCGATCAGGGGTGGTTCCAAGTCGGCAGACGGGGATGACGGGTGAGGCGATCTCTCCCTTCTTGGCAGGGCAAAGCCCCGGGGCAGTGCAGGCCAGCATCCCCCACAACACAGTGACCTGGAAGGGCTTGCGACCACACGGAGCACTCCACGGCCGAACCAGTGGGCCTCGGAGCCCGACTCAGCACCCTGCACCCAGGGGTTCCACTTCGCTGCCAGCCGGCACCCCCTTCCCTGCACATCACCCTGCATCTGCCACCAGGAGTGGCGCCTGCGTCCTGGCATGTCCTGCAGACAGTCAAGGTCAGGGCGCTGATCCCCAGCCCTCGAAGAAGAGACCAGCCCCGTCCGGTGAGGCGGTCCAGCGGCCCTTCCTGGAAAGCTGGAACGGTGCTGAGCACAGTTCTCCCTTGTGGATCGGACTCCTGGGCTTGTGAGCCGCTATCGGCCGCAAGCACCAGGTTCCCGCTGAACAGGTGAGAAAGCCTGGCTCAGAGAGGCCGGCAGGTTCGCCCGCGGCCACACAGCTAGGACTGAGTCCGGAGGACGCGCACCTCGCACGCTGCTGACTGGGGTTCAGTTCCTGTACAATCCCCCGAGTCTGCCAGGAATGAGCCTGGCACTCGGCGTTACACTGCGTCGGTAACGCAGGCCCCAACCCTCACACTGCACGTGCCCTCTTCACTCAGGGTTGATTTTCTTTTCCTTTTTTTGTAATTTTTTTTTGGGGGGGGTCACACCCGGTGATGCTCAGGGGTTCCTTCTGGCTCTGCACTCAGGAACGACTCCTGGTGGTGCTCAGGGGACCCTATGGGACGCTGGGAATCGAATCTGGGTTGGCCGCGTGCAAGGCAAACGCCCTCCCTGCTGTGCTACGGCTCCAGCCCCGTTTTTTAATAATTTTTTAAATTTTATAAAGTGGTTCACAATAAGGGTTGGTTTTCAAGGACTGAACGGCCCTCCTGCCACTTTCTCCAGCTCTTCTGCTGAGAAGTTTCAAAATACCCCTCGGCCTTGGAGACCCCCGGTTACACCGGCGGTTATTCTTCTTCTTGGGGGGGTGGGGCCAACAGGGTGGCTCTGGTGGTGCCAGGGATCGAGCCTGCGGCCCCGAGCAGGGCCCGTGGGAGCTGCAGGGTCTCCCAGCCCGGCCCTCACAGCTGGCAGGGGTTCATGCCAAGCGGCTTCTAGAACATCCCTTCTAGCCCCGGACTTGCCTCTCCTGGTGGTTTTTCTCTGCTCTGGGACGCGAGGCACCTGCCACTCGCACACTCAGCAGCCGGGGGAGACGGCCGAGACTGGACGGGGGCGGGGCAGGGCGGGGGGACCACAAAACCTCTCGGTAGCCGTGGGAGAGAAGCAGATCAATGAGCTGCATGGACCCGCCATCAACCACAGCGCTCCATTACGCGCTTGCTGGAAACGCGCCCGGCAAGCAGAGGCTGCCGCCCGCTCGGGCCCACAGTGCTCGCCTGCACGGCCTGAGTGCAGGGCACGGGGACCAGGGGACCGGGGAGACAGTCACGCTCACGTCCACGTGAAAGGAGCACCGGTGGAGGGGCTTGGAATTGGGGGTCTGGGGCCTTCTCAGCCCCCGTCGCTCACTGGGTCCTGCATGAACCAGTCCCCAAAACCCGCAGTACAGACACAGTGAGGCCGGGGGCATGGGGGGACTCAGCCACGCAGGTGCTGGGCTCTGAGTGTCTCCTGCGACAGCACAGAGGGACCACGTGGAGGTCATGCAGGGCAGAGGCCACCAGCTGCCTTGGTTTTGCTTATTTGGGGGGTGGCGGGGGGCGGGCGCACCACGACTCCGGGCTCTGTGCTCAGGAGCGAGGCCTGGCAGTGCTCAGGGGATGGTCCGTGGGGACGGAACCAGAAGTTTGTGGCACGCAAGGCAGGGACCTTACCCGCTTACTGGCTCTCTGGCCTTGGACGTGGGTTTCAAGCGGACACAGTGCCACAGGGGACAGGGCGGGCCAGTGTCCCGTGAAGAGTCTGCTGCCCCCAGCCCCATGAAAGCCGCCGGCAGCTGGAGAGTTGGTCGGACCCAGCGACATCTGTGCCACGGCCGCACGGATGTGCAGACAGCAGAAGTGGGACCGAGGGACAAGACGAGGGTCAGGGGGAGCCCCGGGTTCCATCCGGCGGCTGGAGCTGCCCCGGCAACCAGGGTGCAGAGGTGGGGGGCAGCTGTGGGGAGCCTGGGGCCCCCGGGCCGGTGCCGAACAGAGCTACGGACAGAACCTGGCCCTCAGGTGCGCACTGAGTGTGGGTTCAGGCCAGGAGGCTTTGGGGAGGGGCAGTCAGCCCCCTACTGCCCAGGGCCACAAGAGGAGGCACATGGGAGTGCCCTGCAGCGGACCAGCGCCGAGACTGACCACACGGAACCCGCTCCCAAACACCCTACCCATCCCTGGCCCTGCCGTGGGTGCCCCCGCCCGGGGCAGCAGCTGGCGGCCCCTGTCCCCACACTGGGCGCTGCTCTCTGCGCTCAGCCTGGACGTGAGAAGACGCGGCTGCCGTCCCAGGTCCCCTCCTGACGCTGAGCGCGTCTGGGCCCCACTGTGCCGCCGCCTTCAGCCACCAGCTTGGGGGCTCGAATGCCAGGGGAGGGGAGGGCAGGCTCAGGGCAGCCGGCTGGGGTGGGCGGGGCCAGGGTGGGCTACAGTGACAGCAGCTGCAGAGCCGCGAGCCCGGCTACACCCCAGGATGCGGGGGTCTGGGCCCCCCGCACTGAGACTGGCTGACTGCTCCACGGAGCCTCACACATCCGAGGTCTGTGGCTCGGTGGCAGGGCCGCTCGCCGGGCCCCCGACTTCCTCTGGGCACTGCCTTTCAACGCCCACCGTCCGGGAGAGCAGCTCCCGTGACTGATGCGAGCGGGTGGCAGCGCCCCCGCGGCTCCCTGACTGTCCTCCCGGACGGCGCCCCACGCTTGGCAGCCACCGACCCGGCCTGTTCACGAAACGGCAGAGCAGGAAGCTTGGACTGGTCTTAGCACCTCTCACGAAAGCACGAGCAGGCAACCCGACGCCCAGAGGCCTCTCACTGGCCTGGGGAATCGCTGGGCACCAACTGGGCTGGCCCCGGCCCCTGGCAAGTGACTCGGACCAGAAGCCCGAGGCCTGCTCATCAATGGACATTCCGGGGGGCTTGAGAAAGGGGCGGGGGGCTCCCTGGCAGACGCCGTGACCAGGATTCTCACACACAGCTGCAAGACTCTTTTTTGAGGAACAGCCATCTCGGTTCTGACAGAACCCAAGTGGAAACGGCAAACGGCCTGGGGCATGTTGACGGTACGGGCTTGGCTGGGGGTGGGCCACAGGCCAGGATCTGGAAATGCAGGGGCTGCCTGGCAGACGTTTCACAGAGAAGAGGCCAGCTTCTTGGAGCCCCGTAGCAGCCCTGATGCCCCCCAAGCCAGCCGGCACTCTGTCACCAGCACCGAGGGGTCCCACGGTCGGTCCCCGACAGTCCCTGGCAGACTTTTCCAGAACCACCCGGGCCTCACAGCCTGGAGAGCCTCAGCTGGGTCATGGCTGATGATCCCGACTGCATGAAGAAGAGCAGAGGCCGGGGGCCGGGGGCCGGGGTGCACAGCACGCAGGGGTCTCGGCCCCTCTTGGGGTTGGTCGCCTAGTCTCAGCCCTGGCAGCCGCCAAGCTGCAGCAGCTCCAGGCGGGCAGGTGGCAATGTGGAGGAGGAACCCAGAGTCCTTAGCCGGCAAGCACTCGGTGGCAGCACCATGAGTCTGCCATCTGCCATCGCGGAGGAGGACGCCGGCTGAAAGGGCATCAGACGTGGGAGGGGACGGCGGGCCATCCGGGAGTCGTGATTTCCGCTCAGAGAGCCCAACTCGCTCGCCTGCCCACTCCCTCTCCCTCCCTGGCACAGACACGAAAAGCACCCACCACCGGGGTCTGAGGCACAGCTGGCTTCTTGCTGGGTCCCTGGGGCTCCCCCACGGCCCCCCTGCCTGCCTGACCCCGAGTCCTGGTCACAGGGAGGCGGCACGGCTTCAGAGGCCATGCTTACGGTGTTCCCCAGCTCGGTGAGCCAAAGCCGGGCTGCCGCCGAGCGGGGCCAGCTCGTTCCCGCACCGCGATCCCGTGGAGGGAGGCCGAGCACGGCGCCAGAGTCAAAACGCAGCTCGGAAACGCGGGCCCCGCTGCCGTTCAGCCGCACACGCGGACGCCTGCTCAGACCTGCTCTGGCGGGTGCCCGCCTCTGCATCCAAGCACGGGACACTTTCCCCTGACAGCAGCGGCACAGACCACACACCCCCAGCGAAACCAACCAACAGCACACGCGCGTCTCTCTCCAGCAGCGCGTACTCGAAACGCGTTACCGCTCGGGGTTGGTGCCCGCTTTCACGTGTGCCACTGGGCTGGGAGCGACAGCCACCGGCTCGGGCACCTTGAGCCAGCCATATCTGAAGGTGGCCCGGCTCCGGGACTTGCCCCCTTATCTTCCTAAGCCAGTCCAAGCTGGGTGGTCTCTTGGCACCAGAAAGTTCGGTTCCCTCACCAAGCCTGTAAGACCCGAACCGTCTCGGCACCGGCATACACCTAGCGCAGAGCAAAGGAAGAAAGGGGACGCTATGCGAATCCAGTTTCAGTTACGGCTCACACCCGCGGCCTCTCAAGATTTCAGTTCCCCCGGAACAGACAAGCCCCTGGTTCCATACAGCCCGGGGTACCAGGCTGGCCTCCGAGCCTCCTCGACACCTAAACGCCGGCTCTTCTTCAAACCTCTCCCCTTTCAACACCGGAATCGTCCCACGAATGCTCAGCTACCTCCCAGAGCTAGGGCCCTTCCGCAGATCCCCTGCATGCCCCCACCCGGGCTCCAAAGGGCAGAACCCCCGTGCCGAGGGCCGGGGACCCTGTCTGGGGAAGCTGGCTGGGACCCGGTCACGGAGCCACACCCGAGGCCCAGAAGCGTGTGCCCCTGTGCATCGGCCCTCCTGCCCCCGGCCCCGCGCCCCCACTCACTCAGGTCCAGCACATCGTCCGTTTTGATCAGATCTTCCTCCCGCGTCAGCGGCAACTGGGTCTCCGGCTCGTTGCGCAGCTGTAGTGACAGAGCCCGGAGCATGAAGAACACCCGGATGGCCTGGACACAGGGCAGAGGGCAGAGGGGAGGGGGGTCACCGATGGGCGCGCTCTGTCCCTGGAGCCTGCAGTCTCCCCTGCCGGCGCCAGAGCTGAGTTGGGGGGGGGGGGTCCAGTGTGAGACAGAAGCACTCCAGGGACCGAGCCGGTGCAGGCGTCCATGGGTGCAGGCTCCAGCCACTGACCCCCGGCAGGGACCCTGTCACCTGCCAGCACCTTCCCCGGGGCGCCTGGTCACCCCGCTGGACCGCTCTGCAAGACCCAGGGGGGTCGAGGACACAGCCTTGAAACCCAGACCACAGAGAGGACACGAGCCCTGGGGAAGAGCCCAGTGGCCTCAGAGGCCCCGAGCTTGTGAAGCCCCTTCCTGGTGGCCTTCGGCCTGATGGTGCTGACTGGACCCTGACAGGCCCCACGACATCAGTCCCCAGTGTGCCTGGTGGGGGACAGAGGCGGTGTCACCAGCATTGGCTTTCTTGGCCAGGGAAGAGGACCTGGACAGGGCCCAGTGTGGCCATCTGCGAGCAGGAGGAAGCCACCTTCCACCCGGGCCCACTCTGCCCTGACCTTTAGGGCAGCTGCCCAGTCTTGAGGTCCACAGGAGGGCCCATGTTTGTACCAGGCCCTGAAATCCCGGAGTTTCCGTCTCCCCTTGGTGGGATGGGATGTGCCCCCACTCCCCTCCCTACCCCCAAGAGGCTGCTGGGGACCAAGGGTGCCGGGGGACAGTGGCCAACAGGAGCTCTGGAGGGCCTGGTCACCAGCCCTGCTGCCTATGACGAGGCTGTACCTGCCTGAGGGGGCTGCCTGTTCTGGACCCCAGGGCTGCCACCAATAAGCAGCCCGCAGTGTCCACCCTGGAGGGCAGCAGGCCGGGCCCAGGCGTAACTGTCTGGCTCATTTGACTTGATCTATATATATATTTTTTCACTCTGTAAGAGGTGGGAAAGAAAGCAGGAATGGGAGTTCTGTCAGAAGCGAGCAGAGAATTCCAGGAAGGCTCCCCTGGGGCTGCAGGGGACTCGGGAAGGGGGGCAGAGGGGCGGCCGCCCCGTCTCCAGGCTCCAGGGGGCTGGGAGGATCCGGGCAGGGCCCCAGGAGGACCCCAGTTCCACAGAGTACTGAGGCGAGTCGCGGGAGTCCCGCTGGGGAAACGGGGCCCCTCACTGGGGCTCTTGGGAAGGGGACACCTGAGCTCAGGGCCAGACCCTGGACCCGACGATACCCCCCCCCCCCCCGCCATGCACCTGGCAGGGGGGGGGTGAGCTGTAGGGGGAGCCTGTGGGACATGGATCAGGCACCAGGGAGCGTTGCCCACGGCCCTTCAGACCCTGTGAGCCACAAGACCCACTTCTGGGAACTCCCCGTAAAGAAAGGGCTGAAAGAAAGAGGCTGCGTGGGGCTGCTCTGACGGCGGAGGGGAACAGAAGCCGACACCGGGGGCAACCCAGATGCCTGCGGGTGGGCGGGACGGGCGGCAGGAGCCAGTGGTCACGCTTGCGTGCCAGTAAGGAATCAGATTCAGGGCCAGAGAGACTGGCCTGGGGTTTGGGCGCTGGCCTGGCTCCTGGCTGTCCCCAGTCCTCCCTAGTAACACACGGTCCTCCCGGGGGGAACCCCCAGCACTGTCCTGAGAGGCCCCTCAAACACTCCCGGGGCAGCTCCCTGCTGCAGGAGAGGGTGGGCAGCAAGGCCACGGCCCCCCATCAAGAAACCAGGAGACTGTCCCTTCACGCCCATCGGTGCAGGATCCTCCTCCTGCATCCTTGAGGCCACCTGCTCACTGCGTGTGATTCGGGACGAACGTGGGCCCTGGCAGGACGGAGGAGAGGCTGGGAGAATGCCGACGCTCACCTTCGGGCTCACAGACCTGGCCCCTGGGGAGATCTGGTGTGCGGGTCTGTGTCCCAGCTCGGGGGGGAAGTGGCACTGTTCTGACTGAGCACGGATGGGATGACTCACAGGGGGCCTACAGCAAGCTCCAGGCCACACAGCAGGCGGGGCTCGCTCCCGGAGTGGGGTCCATGTCCTGCCTTCTTGGTGTTTTGTTTTGGTGCTCAGGGATCACCGCGGGCAGGGCTTGGGGGCCATCTGGGATGCCAGGGATGGGGCCCGAGTAGGCCCTGGGCAAAGCAAGTGCCCTCTCCATTGTCCAGTGGCTCTTCCTGTCCTCTGCCCAGCAGTTCCAGGGCTCCTCACTCCCACGGGAATCTCCCTTCTTGTGGGCCGGGGTGCAGCGCTCAGGCCATGCTGCACTCTCTCCGAGGATTCATGATCACGACCATCCTGTTGTTCGTCGATTGCCTCGAGCAGGCCCCAGTAACGTCTCCTTCGTCCTAGCCCTGAGATTTTTTTAAAAAGTGCAATATTCAAGGCTCTTTCAGAGTTAGGAGAATGAGACCCTTCATTGTTACTGGTATTTGGCATATTGGGTACGCCACGGGGAGTTTGCCAGACTCTGCCGTGTGGGCAGGCTACATTCGGTAGCCGGCCAGTTTGTCCAAAGTAGGAATGAGATGGTAAGATGTCGCGTGGCCGCGAATGCAGCCGCGCGCTTCCGGGAGCTGGGTTTTATAGTCTCTGAGTCTTGGCCATTGATGGGATTACACGGCGCCAGGGGGCCAGGTGGTGGGTGTGACCCCTGCCTACTGGAAGATGGAGGATCTGGGTGGAGGATGCTCAGCCCTGATCCGAGCAGGCTTGGAAATCTCAGCCCTGGGACCCACGTGCCTTTGTTCCTCTGCCGGTACCTTCATGCGTGTGGACAGTGGTCTCAGCATGGTGGTGGCTGGTCCTGGAGGTCTTCGGCTCCCGGAGCCCTGATCAGGGCGGGGAGGAAAACTCAACCCGCTCCCCTCCAAGGTGCCCCGGCGAAGACAGCCAGGCACGCGGGCAGGAGACTCTGCGCCTTTCTCTTTCGGGAGCTGTGTTTTATAGTCTCCGAGTCTTGGCCGTTGATGGGCCAATGATCGACTGGCCAATGGCCAATGACCTCCGAGGATTCATTTACTGTCTATTCTTTCTCTTGGGGGGGATGGGAGGGAGGGAAGGGGAGTCCACACTGGGCGGTGCTCAGAGTTGCCTCCTGGCTCTGCATTCAGGGATCACTGCATTCAGGTAGGGATCGGGGGACCCTATGGGTTGCCGGGTATCGAACCCCGAGGTGGGCCACGTGCAAAAGGCAACTGGTGTCACGGCAGGACAGGAAGTCATGCAGCTGCGGCCCTGCTGTCGTGATGAGACAGGAAGGGATGCACACGGGGCCCTGCTGTCCTGACAGAACAAGAAGGGATGTGGCTACGGGCCTGTGGTGACAGGGTGTCGTGACAGGACAGGAAGGGATACGGCTGTGGCCCTGCCGTCGTGTCAGGAACCGCTGTCATGACAGGATGTCGCGACAGGAAGCGCCACGGCCACTGTGACGGGATGGCGTGACAGGACAGAGAAGGACGTAGCTGCAGCCCTGCCGTTGTGACAGGGTGTCGTGACAGGACAGGTGATGCAGCTGCGGCCCTCGCGACAGGACATGGCTCGCATGGGGTAGCACAGGGCTCCTCTGAGAGAGAGAGCAGGAATTGGATCTGACAAAGGTGTGAGAGAAAAATTCACCAGCTGGCAAGGACTCCCCACTGAGGTCTGCAGTCTGGATTCTCTGGGAAGAAAAAACTCAGGGTGTGTTCTTGGAAAGGGTCAGCCTCCCAGAAGGAAAAAGAAAACACAGAACTAGTTGGTGGAAAATTAAAAAAAAAAAAAAAAGGAAAGCGAACGGTCGAATCCAAAAGGAAGAAATGGAATGTTCTCTGGATTCAAACACAGAACTTGAAACAAACCGCAGGAGCCCTCGACTGCCTGCTGGACCGTCCACTTCCTTCAGCTGGATTCAAAGCTCACCAGTGTGTCCTGCTGCCGGAGACGGATGAGCAGCTTCTGGAAGATTCCACCCAGCCGGACACAGAGCTGAGCTGAGGTGAGTTAGTGCTTGAAATTGGACCTTCTTTTGGGGCGGGGGCGGGGGGGAAGAGGCTCTGAAGCAGTTTTGGGGACCCCAGGCTCTCCCTGATCAGGCCAGGAGGGACCAGGCCGGGTGAGGTGGGCAGCAGGGGCCCCGAGTCTCCCGAGTCCTTGGAAAAAACAGTGTCCCCTGATCTCTGCCCTCGCCGCCCTGTTCTTGCAGGGGTTGGGTCCGTCTGCCCCGGCCAGCAGGGCACAATGTCCGGAATCCGCATCGGGCATCTGGCTCCTCACCGGGCTCCGAAGACGCGGGATGACCTGTCCCCTCCCCCCCGGCCACACTGGCCTCACTGACTGGGGGTCCCCTCCCTGGACATCACGCAGGTGCTGGGCCAAGGGCCATCCTGGGCCTGCTCCACCTTCGTCTCCAGATAGGAGTGGACAGCCCGCACTGACACACCATCAGCGCCCGGGCTGCAGGCCACCGTGAATGACCGCACCCACGTGGGCCTCACCCTGACACCAGCGTCCCCCGGGGGGCGGTGCGCACTCGCCTCCCTCCTGAACTTGGCGCGTGGCTGCTAGACTCCGCGAAATCCCTGCATGGACGCGGGGCGGAGGCCTCTGGAAGATTCCGTCTCTGAGCCCCGCTGCTGATGCCCAGGGGCTGCTCTTGGGGGTGCCGGGGGTGGTGCCCGCGCTCCAGGGCCCTGGGCAGACCCTGCTCGGAGGAGGCCCTGTCCACCCCGCCCCGGAAGTCAACCGGGGGCGACTCTCGCTCACTCACCCGCCGGGTCTTCTCCACGTCCCCACACGGCAGCCGCTTCACAAAGTCGATGCCCGTCAGCGGCGTGCCCGTGGGGGGCAGCAGGATGGAGGCGTCCATCATGAGGTATTCCACGTTCATGGGCTTCATCTGGAAGACGCGGCGAGGGAGCCTCAGCGGGCGGCCTTCCCGCCGTCCCCGAGAGCCCGGCGTCCCCCTCCCGGCCCGGCCACGCCCCCACCCCCCGCATCGCCCCCGCTCCCACCCAGCCCTGTGTCCCTCGTCTGGGTCCTGCAACTCCCCCCGCCCAGCCCTGTGTCCCCTTCCGGCCCCACGTCCCCTCCCCCTGGGGCAGGAGCGGGATCGGGGAGAGGAGCCGCCAATCGCCCCTTCTCTGCCCTCGTGCTTCTGGCGGGCCGACCCTGAGTGGTGGCTCGGCAGCTGCCCCCCTCCCCGGCTGCAGACCTCTTTCTCCAGTGCTCCAGTGGCGCCCCCCAGCTGCCTCCCCCTCCCCAGCTGTGCCCCCCTCTCTGGCCGCACCCTTGCCCGTCTTTATTTCTGCTTCCTGGCTCGCACCGGGTGATGCCCAGGGCCACGCCTGCTCTGCGCTCAGAACCACCCCCGGCCCCTCTTCACCCTCGCTCCACATCCGCAGCTCACTGGGCAGGAGCTTCAGGGGGCCCTTCCGGCAGCCCCGGGGGTTCCCTAATCCGCTTCTGGGAAACGGAGACTCAGGCAGGTGATTTCCGCTGACCGACTGACCACGTCCCCTCATGGCCGAGCCCGGGACCATGGGCCGGGGCCACTGACCAGGCGCCTGTCTGCGAGGGCCGGGATGTGCAGGCTCGTGCCCAGGACACGGGGGCCACACAGGGCCAGGCTGCGCCGTGTCCACGTGGCTGACCCCGAGGTGAAGCCACCTGCCCTGCCAGTCACGGAGGGAGGCTGCAGCCCCAGACCAACCCTCTCTCCTCTGGGGCGTCACTGGGGGCTCCCGGGGGGCCGCGAGTCTCCCTGGACAGTCCCCAGAGACCCAGGCGTGAGGCAGGACAGAGCGGAGGAAGGAGCACCGGTTCACGCCCTGCCTCAGCAGCCGTGGGCTTGGGGGCCTGTTTCACAGATGGGAAGACCAAGGCTGAGCACAGGACCCCCCACCCCCAGCTGCAGGGCAAAGGGAAGGGAGGTGGGGCGGCCCAGAGAGCCTCCCCTCCCCATGGGAGCAAACTGGAGGACCGGGGGTGGGAGGGCCAGAGGAAGCGGCCAATGGCCACAGAGCCCCTCCAGGCCACTCACAGACGGGGGGGTGGGGGTGAAGACAGATACTGCTTGGGGCGGGGGGGGGGGGGCGGGTGTCACAGGCCAGTCCACACACTTCGGCCGCCTCCCGCTGGGCATCCACAGATGTAAACTGGCCCAACGCAGACGTTCCCTGGCCCTGGGTCTGCAGAGGCAGCCTCTGCGCAGAGGACCTGGGCCCAGACTCAGTGCCCACTGCTGCCCACCTGCCCGCCTGTCTGCCGCCCGCTGTCCACCTGCCTGCTGCCTGCACCCCCTGCCTGCCTGCCACTCTCCACACAGAGGTGTGCTGTGAACTTCCAGCGTCGTGGTGGGCCGTGGGCACGGACAGGGCCCCTTCCGCCCTCTCTGTCGAGGGGCAGGAGACAGGGATGTGGAGGCGAGGGGCCCAGCAGAAAGGGAGGCGGGGACGCGGGTGTCTCCGCAGCCCACCCCCTCCCATGGCCCCCGCCACACCGCCAGGGAAACTTCCGGGCTGGCATGGCAGACTCGGGGAAGGAGGGGCAGCCCCCAGATGGGGGAGCAGGGAGCCGTGGGGGGGAGCCCCACTCAACCACTCTCTTGCAGTGGGCGAGACGCCTGCTCAGTTGGGGAAACTGAGGACTGGCAGAGACGGGCCTGCAGGGCAGCGCCCACGGCGGGCACGGCGAGATGGCCTGACACTCACCGTCATGCTCCTGTGTTCATCTTCAAACATGTCCAGGAAAATTTCTTCTCCCTACAAAACAAAACAAAAAAGGGAAAAAAAAAAGAAAGGAAGAAAAGAAAGGAAAGGAGCAGATTATGCCTATTTTTTTCCATAAACAACAAGAGTTTTATAAATTCCAGCTCGCGGCTTTGGGGGCATCTGTTTCCCATTAGCGAGTTCTCCAGTTCTCGTAAATCACCAGGAAGTGAAGCACACACGTGAAGCCGGACACTCTCGCCCCGCGGACGGGCCCAAGATCAAGTTGCATTTGCAACATTTTTTTCCGTTTTTTAAAAAGCTAAAGCTTCTATCGTCACGGAGTCTTCTGTTGCTGACAAGTATGAAATGAGATAAAATAAGACTGTACAGTGGAAACAGTGATGGCTTTGAAGGGTGGGCTCCGTCGGGGGGGCCGGAGAAACGGGGACCCTGGCTGGGGTGGCGTGGGGGGCTCACTCCTCTGGAGGGCGGAGAGGAATTCAGGGTGCAAGGGGCCGGCCCGGGTGTGGCCCTCAGATCCACACTGTGGGGTAGAGCCCAGCTCAGGGGTCAAAGCCCACCCCCACCTCTCAGGGCCGCCAGGGACAGTATACCCCTGGGAGCAGGGCTCAGCCGAGTCCTCCTGCCCCGTCCATTCCCTTCCCTTCTTGTTCCTTTTTTTGTTTTGTTTTGATTTTTGGGTCACACCTGGTGATGCACAGGGGTTCCTCCTGGCTCTGCACTCAGGAATCACTCCTGGTGGTGCTCGGGGGACCCTATGGGATCTCGCAGTGCTCAGGGCTTACTCCCGGCTCAGTGCTCAGGGGTGGGGTGTGGGTCACGGGGGTGCCACCCCGCCTGGGCACGCTCACCACACAGGCAGAGCTGCACGGGAGGCGGCTCCCTGGGTGGCGTGGCCCGCCCGTCCCTCCACACGTGCCGACACTAATCGTCCTGTGACTGTAGGAGCTCCCCGTCACACTGGACACTCAGTGCCCATGAGGGCAGGAGGCGACTGGAGACACGGAAGCGCCTGCAGCTCAGGCCCCAGGGCTGGGACCCTCGGAGAGAACCCCCGAAGGACACACATCCGCACACACGTGCCGGCATACACGGCACACGGGCTCACACGAACTCCCACCCACGTGGTGGCTGAGTCTGGGCCACTGACCTTGTAGAAGTACCGCACGAGGTGGACGCTCTCTTCGCGGGCGCCCTGGGGAGAGAGGGGGGAGGCGTGAGGGGACCTGGAGGGGAGGAAAGCAGGTCACAGTGACGGTGCCTGAGAACCAGGTGGGCTGGACGCGGGGCCTGCGTGAGAGGCGGGACAGCGCCGAGCGTGGGGAACCGACGACAGGGGCTGCGATGCTCGAGCCTCACGGAAAGAAACGCCACTCGGGGGTCGCATGTGAGCGACAGGCGTGTCTGGACCCACAAGGGGAAGCATCAGGGGCTACCGGGGCTACTGAACTGTGCGTGTTCTGGACTTCTGAAAACCAGGGAGTGCGGCTGAGCGATAAAAGGCCTTTAAGACGACGCATGAGGCTACAGGAAGAAACGGGTAGCAGCCGTGCGTGGGCTGGAGCTCCGGGGCAGACGGTGGGCCGCGGGTTTGGTCCCCAACCGACCCCCATGCGTGAGGCCCCCGGGCCCACTGGGGAGTCCCCTCACTGTCCCCCCGGGGCTCGGGGGACGCGACGGCCTCACCTCCAGGCAGGCCAGGTGCACGTCCTTGATGATGCAGCCGGCGGCCGTCACCACCTGCTGCTTCAGCTGCAGGCAGCTCAGCTCCAGCGTGGCCAGGCGGATCTTGCCGTCTGCGGACACACAGCGTCGGCTCCAGGCTGACCTGGCCCAGCGCAGCCACCACGCGCGCCCGCCACCCCCTCGAGGCTCCTGCCACTGCCTTGGGAAAGGTGGGGTGTGGCGACCCCCCGACTTCCTCCGCCGGCGGCTACGCGGGGAGCACAGGGGCCGTGACGAGTCCCGGACTGTCCCGGGCGCACCCCAGACTCCGGGCATGCGGTGCTGTCCCTTCCCAGCTGGGGGCCGTGCTCCACCCCTCCTCCCACCCTGGACACGGCCCAGCGTCTCTTCCATGGTCTGAACCACCCCCTAACCCACAGAGCCGGGCGTGGACCCCCCAGCTCCCCTCTACTGAGGGTTAAGCAGCCACCATGCAGGACTCTGCCCCACTCGGGCGACCCTGGTGCCATGCCTGCACCCCCACCCCGTGGGCTCCGGCTCCCACAGCCCCCGCTGTACCGACAACCCAGGGAGGCCCCCCACCAGCCACGCCTTTCCCGGGCCTGCCGGTCATCGCTGCTGGCCATCAGGTTGGGGAGCAGGACCCCGGGCTTCTCCTGTGCTGTGCTGACCCCCAGGGCCTCCCGACGTGACCCGGGGTCCCTCGGAGCTGCCCCCAGCTGAGAAGCACCACAGCAGCCCCCGCCACCCCCGGGCACACACACCCGGGCGCTGGCAGGAGCCTCAAACACCAGGCGGCCCTCAGCTGACACAGCGTCCGTCCAGGCTCCCGGCCTGGCCCGTCCACTCCAGCCGCGGCTCCCGACACAGGCCCGGGCGCCCCCACCCCGAGCGGCGCCTGCACCTTGCTGGGCCGCGTTGTTCATGATCCGGATGAGCCGCTCGGCCAGCAGGTGGTTGTAGCTGCTCTTGTCGGCCGTGCCGGGCGCCGGCAGCTGGATGCGCTCCAGTTTCTCGGGGCCCATGCCTGCAGGGGACACGCCGTGAGCAGGGGACGGTGCCCACGGGGAGGCTCCCCGGAGCAGGGCCGCCTGCGCCCCCGCCCTCTGCTCCCTCACACCTGGCGCTGAGTGTGGTCCAGCAGGTGCTGGCCGGCACCGATGGACACTGGGTGAGAGGCCGACTGAGTCTCAGGGCTCTGCCAGTGTGCCAGGGAGAGAGAGTGGCAGCTACTGACCGGCGGGCACCCGGGGTGACCCATCCCCGGAACAACTTCACCACGAGACCCACGGCCACCTGAGCCAACCTAGGACACAGCCCCCACAGCCCCCCAGAGGCCACAGAGGCCAGCAGGAAGGACAGCATGGTGACATTCGGGTGACACTTGGGTGACACTCGGGGGGCATTCAGACGACACTTGGGCTCCCGACCTGATTTCATGGCCTGGTTTCTGGGCAGCACCCTGGATCGGGGGATCCCATGCAGTGCCAGGACGGATTCTGGGCCAACAGGCTGAGAGGCCAGCAACCGCCTGGGGTCCGGTCCCCTGTCATCCCCGCAGTAGGAACTCGGCAGAGGATGGCGGCTCTGCGTCACCCGTGGACGCGAGGGAGGAGGAGGAGAGGCGGGACCCGGGAAGATCCGCCCAAAGGTGCTGCCCCGAGCTCTCGGACGCACCCAGAGGGGGCCTGTGCCGCAGGGCACGGGGAGGCACTGGCAGGAGGGAACCCTCGACCCACCCGTGTGCTCCCAGGGAGGCCCCCAAGCCCATCAGTGGGGGGCGGCTCTTTCCCTCCAACAGACACGGCGCAGGGGGAGACGGGGCGGGGCGGGCTCGGTTCCACACCACGCCTGCACACCCCCTTGGAGAGCCGGGCTGCAGTGGGACACATGGCTTTGCGCGTGGGAGCTCGGGGTCGGCCCCCAGCACGGCACGGTCCCCACAGCACCCCCGGGAGTGGACGCCCAAGCACTGTGCTGGGAGTAGCCCTGAGCTCTGTTCCTCGATCACCCCGAGCACTGTTTCTGGAGCAGCCGGCGCAGCTTCAAAGCAAGCACGCAAATCCCCCTTCGGACATCCCCCAACTCCCTTCCGTGTCCTCTCCACCTTCTCCCCGGGGACCGGGCGTTTCTCCCATTTCTGTCTCGCCCAGGGCCACTGAGGATCCACTCGGTGCCTGGATCCTTCTCCCTGGGTCCCTGGTTCCCCCTTCAAGTGCTCTATGGGGCCCTGACAGGGCACGAAGGGAGGGAAGGTGACAGGCGTCTGCAGATGACACGGACGAACACGCAAACACACACAGCTGGGGGAGGGGGGCAGTGCTGTCCGGACGGCACCAGCCCTGACCGCCGATGCGGACACGCATGGCACCCACGACCCACACGGGACCCACTGACTCCTGGCCGGCCCCTTGCTGGCCTCCGCTGCCGCTAGGCCCAGAGGGGTCGGGGGTCTCCCCCACCCAAGAGTCACGCCACAGTCACGGGGCAGGGGCTGCAGCTGCCCCGATCTGCAGCAGAAGGGAGGGGCGGGGCCCCCCTCGCGTCAGGAGCCAGTTACGGGGGCCCCACCCGGTTCTGACTTCCGGGTTTTCCCCGAGGAGTGGGGGGCCCCTCCACAACGAAAGCGGGAAAGGCCCGGGCCAAGCAGGAGCGAACCCGGGGCTGGAGCGACAGCCCAGCAGGGAGGGGGTCGGGTCCCCGGCACCCCGTAGGGTCTCCCAAGCTCCGCCGAGAGTGACCCCCGAGTACAGAGCCAGGAGCAACCCCTGACCATTGCTGGGTGTGGCCCCCAACACCCGAAAAAATAAATAAGCAGACGCCGAAGCAAAGCACTCCGGGTGAGGAGCCGGGGGAGCAGCAGGTGAACAGCGTTCCGCAGGGGGATGCGCGTCCCCGCCTGCTGACGGCCATCACAGACACTGGCCGGGGGTGGCCCGCGGCCAGCACACGCCCGCCCGCGCCGAGGATGTGTCGGGGCAGAGAGGTGGGGGCGGCCCGGCCAGCCCGGGAGAGCGAGAGCTCCCTCTCGCCTATCACCTTCCGGCCTTTCCCAGATCTCTCGCCCGCCCGCCCGTGTTCCAGGAACTTCTCTTGGCTAAACAAAAGCCCAAAACCCAAAGCCCAGATTCTTCCTGGAGGAACAATGGGAACGGCAGGAGCCAAGAGGGTGTGCGTGGGGGGCGGAGCAGGAGAGACTCGTGGATCCAGCAGGAACAAAGTCCCGCTGGTCCCCACTGCCTCCCTGCTACACACGGGGGCCGGAATACAGGCCTCAACCCGGCTGATGAGAGAGAGAGAGACAGACAGACACCCAGGGAGAGACAGAGACACGGAGACAGAGATGGAGAGACACCGAGAGACAGGGAGAGAGACACAGAGACACCGAGAGACAGAGACAGACGTGAGGTCCCAAAGCAGGCAGCCATGACAGGCTGCAGCCAACATGAAGTCTCAGTTTCTGTTTCCCCTAAGCAGGACTTGCAGTTTCTGGTGAATTCCCGGTTGAGTAATCTGCCAAGAGAAGGAATTGGGCAGTTGGGTCTGGCCGGTCATGAGGGGTCACTTTCCCCTCCTTAGACGCCGTTACTCACCATTGCCTAATTGCTGACCACCATAGGGCCGATGCTAAAAATAGACCAGCATCTCAGTCGCCTCTTCACTCTGACCCCTATAGACACCGCTTGTGATTGGGAGTCGGGGTCCTTGTCAAGACTCCACTGCACTGGATGAGACAGACTCGGACCCTAGCTCAGGCTAGCGCTGGCTGGGGCCAGCAATGAAGTTCCACTGCTTTTGCATCACCATGTGTGGACTTGGTCTCCCCGCAATCGGAGACCCGAAATTCGGGCACAACAGAGCCAGAGAGGGACAGAGAGGCAGCGACAGAGAGAGCGCGTGAGCCTTCTTGCACTTGTCAGCCCCCTTGGCTGGGGGCCGCTCGTCTCGCGCCAACTCGTTAGGACTTACAGGAAGGCGTGAGCTGACGCTTGGTTTGTACTGCCGTTGCTTCTGACTCGTCGGTGGTGACCAGTGTATTGGAAAGAGCCCGGGCCGTGAGGGGCTGACGGTGGCCAACCCAACACGCAGACCGCCCAACGTGGACCTGCCCCAGGAGACGGGGATTCCCCGGGCCCCATGGCATCCCTGAACTCTCGCCCGCCCCCGCCCCCACCCGGCCTCGGAACCCCATGCCCACCAGGTCCAACCCAGCACAGTCACCACAGCCTCAAGCCCACGTCCCGCCCCCAGGGTCCTCTCCTCAGCTCCCGCAGGGCAGGGGCCCCTTTCACTGAACCCCCATGTTCAAGGCAGTGGCCTGCCTGGCTCTGGAAGCCAGTAGAAGCTGCGGGCGTGTCTGTCTCTGTGGCCAGCTGACTCCATCCATGTCAGCCCGGGCTGGGACCTGCTTCCGACTGAGAGTCCCCACTGGTATCCGCTGGGCATGACTCAAGAACTACGGCAGGAAGAACAGCACCAAAATCGCACAAGGAGAGCAGATGTGGAATCATTCCCAGACATCGGCAAACAGAATCCGGCCACGCACCAGGGTGTCCCCACGGCGGGTGGCACTGAGCCCCGAGGGGCATCGCCTGCAGGCGAAGGCAGTTCTGGGCAGGCCCCAGGGGAGGGACCAGTCACAGGTAAGACTGACACAGAGAAAGGGCAGCAGGACAGTCTGCAGAGTGGACACGGGAGACACAGGCAGGAAGGCCCGCAGAGTGGACACCAGGCAGGGCGGACAGGCATGTCGGCCCTGCCCAAAGCAGCTCATTTCTCTGGAAACATTTCCACATACACAGCCGTTCCCGGGAACCCTGAGCCCAGCTGCCAGACTGTTCCAGAAACGCACAAGGCGCCGAGATGGGAAGATAGACCTTCAGCCCTAGGACTTGAACCGAGTCGAATCGAGACCGACGCCCGGGCCAAGATTTGCTGGAGGCCCAGCCAGGGCCCCGGAGGGCTGCTTGGCGTGCCCTGGGCCCCGTGCGCCCCCACTCTCCCTCTGGGACTTTCTCCACGCAGTAAGTTCCCGAGAGGCGGCTCTGGCTGCTTGCAACCTAAAGAACATTCGAGTCCGGGCACTCCCGGGCAGCCAGCCGTGAGTTTCTCCCTCCAGAAGGGTCCAACACGATACGCACATCGGGCTGGAACCAAGGGTCGGGGAGAGGAAACAGGGGCAGTGAGAAGGAGCCGGAGGGAGCTTAAGGAGAAGATGCTGGGGGCAGAGGCGGCCCAGGGCCCTGGGGTCACGGCAGTTCTGGCCTCGGCTGGCCACTTGACCAGCACCAGGAGTGGCTGCGATGAGCTTGGGAGCGAGAGATGCTGACAGAGCCCGAGAGAAGGACATTCTAGAGGGCACCTGGGAAGAACGGGGAGAGAGGGCGAGGGGAGGGGAGTGGCGAGAGGGGCCCTGGGCTGGGAGCGAGAGCATCGCCCCCCCGCCCCCCACCACCGTGGGCCGCGGGAACATCTGCCAGCAGCTTCGGTGTCACTTAGTAAGAGGAGGACGCGTTGAGCAGTGGCGCAGGGGGAAGGCAGGAGCCGAAAACGTGTTGACACCCAAGCCCCGGCAGCAGGCAGCCTCCAAGCACTGCCGGCCCGGGGCCTCCAGGTGTGGCCCCAAGATAAGCAGAAAGGAACAGCCAACAGACTGGACATCTGAGCTGGTTCCGAGGAAGAAGGGACACAAAGGGGAATTTCTCCACGGTGTGACCTTTTGCCAATGTCAATTTACTTTCGCCATCCAAGGCTGAGTGATAAACACTTCCCAAGGTCGAGTGGGTTTTATTTTTTGCAATGTCTGGAATCCCGGCGGTCTGAGTAGAACCCAACCCCACCTACTCTGATAAGCGCAAGAAAGACCTGCGAAGGCTCCCCTGGTGCCAAGCCTCGTGGGTGCAGACCGGCTCCTGCCAGGGGCCAGAAGGAAAGTCTCAGTCTCCTCCTCAGGAGACAGAGGGGCGGCAGGATGGTGGCGAACTCAACGTCCTCAGCGCTGAGGCGGCCGGCAGGGAGGAGGACAAGGGGCAACACAGCCACTTGTCTTCCGGGTCCTGGCCAGGCTCCCGAGGCTGGAGGCTGGCACAGGACCACGTCTGAGATAAGCGACTCAAAAACAGCTGGGGACAAACTGGGCATCGCCACTTTAACTGGCACCCCAGAAGAACACGCCAGCAATGAAAACGTCCCGGTCTTAGTTCCCACTCACAGTGACATCAGTCTGGCGTGAGGAACAGACATGAAAGACGGAGCAAAAGGAAACGGGCTCGGTGGGTTTGGGCATGAACCACTGATCCCTTGCCCAACGTGCTTCACACCTTCAAAGATGACGATGCCACTGGCTTTGTGGGGGGGAAAAAAGAAGAACTGTGGCACGGAGGGTGGAACTGTGACATGGGAGGAGGACTGGACTGTGATGCTGAGGAGGGGGTGGAACTGTGACGCTGAGAGGATGGGACCGTGATGCTGAGTGGAGACAGAGCAGCGAGGCAGAGAGAGAACTGTAACACGGGGGAGAGACGGCTCAGAAACCCAAGTTCAAGTCTTCTGGCGCCAACTTGTCTTGCAAGAGAAGAAAGTGTCCACAGAGTGGATGGGCACTGACTGTGCTGACCGGGCATCTAGACTGCGGGGCAATATTCAAGCACGGCCCATCTCTCAATCTCCAAATAAATTTGACCTTTCATCTACCAAAAAGAGAGGGAGAGAGAGGAGAAAGAAGGGAGAGGGGGAAGGAGAGACAGAGAGAGACGGAGAGAAACAGAGACAGACACACAGAGAGAGAGAGAGAGAGAACCAAAGAGGGAGAGAGACAGAGAGACAGAGACAGAGAGTCTCTAACGGGTTTTCAAGCCAGGCGGCACCGCGCGGGAGTGACTGAAGAATCCCGATGAAGCACCCACCCAGCAGCGCCAGGAACCGGGGCCGCCAGCGGGACGGCCACACCTTTCATCGGAAAGGAAATGACGCCGCCCCGCCCTTACCCGGGGTCTGGCTTAGCTCTGCGCCCGGAGCAAGAACAGCTATAAATAGCGAAACCCAGGCCAGGTGTGAGTGATGTCAGGTGCGGGGTCAGGAAGGAGGTCACGCCCGCCAGCTACCCAGCCGGGGGAGAGCACCGGCCGCGGGGTGACCAGCCGCTGGACAGTCCGCCCTGGGACCCTCCCCCCACACTGCCAGAGTAAGCAGCTGCAGACAGACGGTTCCTCGGGGCGGCTGCCTCCCTCCCTCCCCTCCACACAGCGGAGGGGATGACAGCGAGCGTGTCATGGCCACTGGACACGTGTCGGGGCCACCGGGTGTCACAGCCACCGAGCACGCACGTCACGCCGAGGGCACGCCTACCTTTGTTGTGAGACATGGCGTAGAGGAGGCACAGGACAAACAGCGCGTGGTAGTCATCGTCTGAGCTGTCCAGGGCGTGGTACACCATGTCCAGGAAGGGTCTGGAAAGGGGCCACACAGTGAGCACCTCCCTCCTCCCACCACCCCTCCCCAGGCCCACGCAGCGCAGCGGGGGCTCCAGCTGGAGGAAGCTGCTCTCAGAGGGAAACTGAGGACAGACGCCTCGGTCACTCCGCGAGCATTCACGGGGCAGGGTCACTTGTGAGCACTCACTGGCTGCTCCGACACTGGACACCACTGGCCCAGCATCCTGCTGCGGCTGTAGACCGCAAGCCAGGGGCAGAGAAAGGGACAGACAGACACATCCTGACTCGAACACACAACAGGGGAAGAAGAAAACAGAAGAGCCGGAGGCAACGCCAGCAGAGTCAGGAACGTGGGGCTTGAGTCGGGGCCTGGTCTGGGTCCGCTAGAGGGCCGCAGACCCACGGGCCGGTCAGCCAGACCTCGCCTGTGCGTGTGTGTGTGTGTGTGTGTGTGTGTGAGAATGTGAGTGTGAGGGAGTGTGTGTGTGTGTGAGTTTGTGTGAGTGTGTGTATGTGAGTGTATGTGCGAGTGTATGAATGTGAGTGTATGTGTATGTCTGGGTGTGTGTGTGTGTGTGTGTGTGTGTGAGTGTGTGGGTGGGTGTGTGGGTGGGAGGGGAACCCGGTGCCTCCTGGGCTCCTTCCAATACTGAGCCCAATGGCCACAGGGCCAGGCGCCTGGGGAACAGCACGCAGCACCTGGGGGCTGTGACCGGGCTTCTGTTCTCACACTCGTAGCAGCGCCTCCTCCATCTGACGGTGCAGGGCCTGGCACAGCCACACCTCCCCACGACCTTTCTCGACGCTACAGATGGCCAGGCAGTGCCTCAGCCCTCCAGCTTGGCAGGGCAGAGCCAACACAGCACAGGCCCCTTCCCGGGGCGGGGCCAGTCCAGAGAGATTCGGACAGCGGGACAGCGGGACAGCGGGACGGGAGGCTCCGATCCCGGGTCCCTCTGCGGTTGCCTGGATGCCAGCCTGAAGCTAAGCGCCTCAGTGAGTGACCAAGGGCCCGGGCCTCGGACCCAGCGGCGGCCAGGCAGGCGGGCAGTCCCTGGCGAGACGCGGGTCTCTGCCGGACCTCGATGCTGTGTCATTGTGAACTCCAGAATGGACCGACACTTCCGAGCGTTAGGATGAAAAAAAGCAGACAAACCTGTCCCGACCTTTGCGATAAGCATGGGACACACAGAAATGAAGAAACCCCTTCCTGGGGTGCGGTCTTGGGAGCCCCTGGCCACCGCGCCCAGATGTCAGATGTCGTTACAGGCAGCTGCGGGGAACGTGGGCCGGCTCTCCCTCGGGGGCACTCTGAGGCTCCGGGGAGGGGAATTCCATTCTCTCCTCTGAGAGAACAACCCAAATTCGGCCTTGAGGGCTGACAGTAGGTAGGAAAGGAGAGACCGGGAGAGAGGGCAGGAAGGGCACAGCCCAAAGGTCTCCGAGGGAGCGCCCTAGGGTGCAGCCCAAGGACACTTTCCCCTCTCTGCTTTCCAAGGATTTTTGTTCCGCTTTTTCTGAAGCACTTTTGTCAAGTTTTATAAAGTGTGTGTGTATGTGTGTGAGTGTGTGTATGTGAGTGTGAGCGTGTGTGTATGTGAATGTGTGTGTATGTGAATGTGTGTGTGTGCGTGCGCGCGTGCACAGCACGGGGGACCAAACCCAGGGCCTCACACGTGCAATGACTATTAAAATGGTCAAGCTTTCCCAAGAAACAGTGTTCTGAGCAAGTTTCAGTCTCGTCCACCTTCCGTTCACCCGAGAGCAGACAGCCACCCCCCGAGACAGTCCGCTCAGAACAGCAGCCGTGACTCTCGAAGCTCAGGCCCTTCGTCTGCTGAACGCAAGCCCCATGGCCAGTCACCTGAGGCCTTTCCAACCCTCCAGATTCAAGACAAGCTGGGCCGAGCCCTCCAAGTGTGTTTTCTCCGCCCTTTGTGTTCAGAACAACTTCTCATGATCAGAAATCTGGGAGTTGGCGAGGGGACGGGAGCACCCGTGATCCCTCAGAAGGATGGGAGCACCTATGACCCCGCAGAGGAATGGGAATCCCATGACTCCTCTGAGGGACGGGAGCACCTGTGAACCCTCAGACGGATGGGAGCACCCATGACCCTGCAGAGGGATGGGAGCCCCTGTGGCCCTGTAGAGGGACAGGAGCACCGCTGATCGGTGTTGTGCGGTCTCTGCTCTGAAGCAGTCCCGTCACGGTCCCTCTTAGGAGGGTGCTCCCAGCCCCTTGCGCAGGGGGAGGCGATGGGGAGGTCCAAGGCGGGGGAAGCCTGGAAGGTGGGACGGGCAGCAGTTGTGACGGTCATCCCCGGATGGACCCCTGAGTGCAGGTGGACGGTGGACAAGGGCACTGGATGGTGCATGGGGGGGGCCCTGCAGACGGTGGGTGTCAGGGAGGGATGGGCAGAACCGGCTCCCCGGGGGATGGCTCCAGGGAAAACCGGGCAGCTGGAAGCCTCTGCCCCTGGGGCAAGGCCCAGAGACCCTCCCGCCCCCCAGCCAGGGAAGGGCAGACCTGCTCCACAGCGCCCCCTCGGCGCCCACGCCCGTGGCCGCCGCGCTCTTCTCCTCGTCCGTGGTGTTCTGCTCCTGCACGGCCGGCTCCGGCAGCTTGCTGGGCTCCATGATCACCATCTCGATCTCTGCCAGGAGACACGGGGGTCAGTGGGAAGGAAGGAGGGGGGGCGCCCACCTCCCAGCCTGCTCCGGTGGGGGGTGCGGGGAAGCAGGAGGAGTGTCGGAGGGCCGAACCGACTCTGCCGAGGCCAGCCCAACCCTGGTGGCCTCCCTGCACCCTTGGGCGGCACAAAGGGGCTGGGAACCTCATTTCCTTTCACCAGACGCCAAGGCAACGGGCCCGGGTGGCAGAGCGCGGCCTCCAGGGACGCGGGGCAGACTCTGCCCCCATGTCTGCCGGACGCTCAGGAGGCAGCCCCCCCCCCCACCACGTCCCAGGGAGACACATGGAGGGGAAAGGCTGACGCCAGGGGCACCCCCACACCCGAGTCTCCCGCTCCTCTCTCCTCCCCTCTTCCTGGATGTCCCCACAGCCGATGGGGGCCACAGCAGAGGTTGCCCTGGAGACCTCACCTTCGCAGCCCTTTCCAAAGCCCACCTCTTCGCAGACCCCAGCTCCGCACCAGCTTCCGCTTCTGTCTCTCTGGAAGTGGGCCTGGCCAGCCTGCCACCCCAGCACAGCTCCTTCCTACCCCAACCCCTTTCTCCTGCTACTGTCCCAGCTGGGAGAACCCCCCCATTCCCCGACTTTGCCCGAGGGGAGCCCTTGGGTCGTTGGCAGAGGGTCCCGCCAGCCTGGGCGAGTCTGATTCTCTGATGAGGGGTAGGGAGACCCCAGCGGGGAAAGCCCTCCCAGGCCGTGACCCGGATTCCTGGCACGAGGCTGCCCAGGGCCCTCCCCAGGAAGGGTGCTCTGCCTCGACTTCCACTCTGATCTCCCAAGCAGGCAGCGGGCTCGGCCCTGTACGAGCGGGTCTCAGGGGGGCTGGGGGGTGAGTTCTGGCTGCTGGAGGGGGTCGCTACAAGGGTCTGCGTTGCTCTCCTGCCCCGGCTTGCCGAGCCTGTCTGGGCACTGGCACTTCATGCGGACGCCCTGCCCCTCCGTGAGATGCTCGGCGGATGTGAGGACCAGGGGGAGGCTTCGGGGCGAGGGTGGTACCCGGCCCGCTGCTCCTGGACAGACTGAGGTATCTTTCAGCCAGGGCACCACCGAGAGGGGGGACCTACCCCCATCACGTGGGGTCACCGTGCAGACCCCAGCTCGCCACGCAGCACTCCCGCCACCAGGGAAAGCAGAGCCAGGCCCGCACGGGACACAGGGTCCTGGCGCTGGTGAATGTTTCCGGGGGGCTCCGCCCGAGCCCGTGGCCCCCACCCCCACCCCAGCCAGGTTCCCGCTTTGGTGGCGGGAGGCAGGCACAGAGGCCCAGCCCAGTCCCAGCCAGCTGCCGGCTCCCCAAACCCACGGTTCTGGGTCATTCGCTGGGATGAGCCGAGAGACCGCCCCCCGCCCCGCGACGTATGGGCGCACATGTACCAGGGAATTCACAGCAGCACCGTTTGCAGAACGCTGGAAAGCACCTAAATGTCCAGGCACGGGCTGAGTAAGCGCAGGGGCATGTGGGAGCTGGCAGGGAGCGGAGGCTGGAGGGGGCTCGGGGCAAAGGGCAAAGGGCAAAGGGTGGCAGAGCCCACAGCGCAGCCGCCCCCGTGAGCACGGAAGACGAAGGGCAGGAGCATGTCGGCCGGTGAGCTCCAGGAGGCGGGGAACAGCCTGGAGGGACCGCGGGAGGGACACTCCTGGGGACGGGCCCTTGGTTCAGATCTGCCTTGGTTAATCCCTGGAGAGCCGGGCCTACACAGGCAGAGGCGAGGTTGTGCGTGCGTGCGTGCGTGTGTGTGTGTGTGTGTGTGCGCGCGTGTATGGATGCCTGTCTCCAGGAGCATTCTTTTTTTTTTCTCTTTTCGGGCCACACCCAGCAATGCTCAGGTCTCCTCTTGGCTCTGCTCAGGAATTACCCTGGGCGGTGATGGGGGGACCCTATGGGGTGCTGAGAATCGAACCCGGGATGGCCGAGTGCAAGGCGAACGCCCTCCCCTCTGTGCTATCACTCCGGCCCCTCTGGGAGCGTTCTACCATATGCCTGTGCTCCCTGTCCTGCTGCGGCCCCACCAAGTGGGCCCCGACCCAAGCCCAGACCCCCAGGAGCAAAGAGCACCCTGGCCGTCCTGAGCCCGCCCCCCGGCACTGCTGCCCAGGGACAGAATCGGAAACGGCGAGTCCCCGAGTTAGGAGAGCCGAGGGCAGGGGCTGGGACTGTCACAGGCGGCCCACCCAGGTGCGGTCCCGGCATCCCACAGGGTCCCCCGAGCACCCCCGGGAGGGTTTCCAGAGTGCGGAGCGGGAGCCGGCCCTGGGCACGGCCAGGAGTCCGTCTCCCGGTGGAGAAAGAGAAAGTGAAGGACCGGTCGGGGAAACGAAGGGGTTTCCCGTCAGGCCCGAGCGGCGGCCACCAGAGGCTCCTCACGGCCACAGCTGGGCCACCGTGAGTCCACCTGTGAGAATGGGCCAAGGACAGAGACCCCTGGGTGAAAAGGGCCGAGAGGCTGATGAGGTGCGGGGACTGTCACTTCCCAGCGGGGACCGGGAGCGCAGCCCGCCCTGGAGGGAGCAGCAATGCCTTGCCTGGTGGCCCCAGGGAACAGCCCCCGGGGCAGAGGCGACAGCACCCCAGGACATGGCATCCTCTGAGCCACATTCCACCAAGCAAGCGGAGCCCCGGCCTAACCCTCAACCCAGCCTGGGTCGGAAAGAGGCACGTCTCGCGGACACCCAGGCGGGGAGACACCGCAGGCCTCAGGGACATCAGTCCTGCCAGGGGCAACGGCTACGGACATTAGGGTCCAGCACGGGTGGGGGCAGAGACGCGGCGGTTAAAGGCCCACCCAGTGGAGGGGAATATCGAAGGAGAGGCAGGGTGAGGCCAAGGCCAGAGGGCCACAGCGCTGTGGGGATCCCAGGGGCTCTGCCTGGGACCCGGAGGCCAGCTGAAGGGGTCCGAGGGAAGAGGCGAGAGGGGCGGCCCCCGTCCAGCTGCAAAGGGACCAAGAGAGGGCACGAGGCAAGAAGCACGGCGCCGGCGAGGCGGTGAGAAGGGAAGCCTGGCGAAGGTGTTCCTTGGTTTCGGCCTCAAAAAGTCTTTACTTGGGAAACAACGTTCACATACAAAATTTCCGAGTGCACGAGACAAGCCCAGGCTCCGTGAGAGCACAAACCCAACCGCAAAATGCAGAGAGTAAATCGGCAGGTGCAGGGGGCTGCATGTGCCTGGGAGGGGGTCCGGGGATAGGAGCCGGCAGAGCACCGGGCCGAGAGGCCCCTCAAGCTCCCCACAGCCCAGAACCCATGATCCGTCCCAAACCGCCCCAGACTGGGCCCTGCTGACCAAGCCTGAGCCGTTCCAGAGGGAGAAACGAAGACGAGGGGGGCTGGGTAGTGCGGGCGGACGTGTGCGTGGGACCCTGAGCCCCGCCAGGAGTGACCCCCGGGGGCAGAGCCGGGAGGAAGCCCTGAGCACCACCGCGTCTGACTCCCAAACGAAAGTAAAGCCCCCAACTCAGGAAGGCCTTCAGCTACAGGGCCGGAAGCTGGGTGCTGCCCAGGCCAGCAGGCGGGGAACCACGGTCAGGGCCCCGGAAACACAGCCCCGCACGCCCACTTCATGGATGCCCCGGAACCCCGGAGAGACAGGGCCGGGGCGGGGCGGGAGCTGCCGGTTCCTGGAACGGGGCTCGGACGGGAGAGGAGGGTCTGGGGATGGTGGGGGCAGGCACTGGGCGGGCAGGACGGCTGCTCGCTGCAAGGCCAGAGCCCGTCAGCCCCGCGGCGTCCAAGCAAGCCGCTGGCACGCTCGATTTGGAAACGATCAGCCGGGCTGGGATGACGAATGTCCTCATCGGACGACTATTCGGGAAATGCAGCTTCTAGGGCCTGGCCTCGGGTGGGAACGCCGCTGACCCCTGCTCCAGGCCGTCTGCAGCAGCGCCTGAGTGCTGGGCCCTGCGGACAGATGCTGGGCGGCGGGAAGGGGGAGGAAAGTGGCCCCGGGAAGCGGGGACGCTGTGCCGGCCGGCCCCGATGTGGGCAGTGTGGTGGGACAGCAGGGCACTGGCTGGCTCCAGCGCAAAGACTCCTGGTCCCAAAGCACCGGCCAGCACGGGAGTGCGTGCGCGAGCACTGGGGCTGAGCTCTGCTCCCTCTCAGCCTGGGCGGGCAGCACCACGGCGAACTCAGGACAGCCCTCAAAGGAGATCTCTTCGGGAGACCTACCCGCACTCACCTCCAACCCTCACCCCCAACCCTCACCTCCCTCACCTCCAACCCTCACCTACTAGAGTCACCTCCAACATTCACTTCTAATCTTGCTGCTTGGGCCCCGTCGAAAGGTCCTTCTCCCTTTCTTCCTTCCCATGAATGTGCACACACACACGAAGACACACGCAGACACATGTGCAGACCCGCGCACACACGCACACGCACACACACTCTCTTTCGTTATCAGCTTCTGGGGGGTGGGGGGGAGTCACTCAAAGAGGTGCTGAGGAAGTTCGGGGAACCCACCCTGGCAGTGCTCAGCCCACCCGGCCCTAGTAACTCGATGCAAGTGCCCAAGGATGTGGCGTGGACACGGTGTGCCTCAGCCTTTAGGGCTCCCCGGGCCCCCGGTGATGCGCAGGGTCTCTGGGGTCCCCACGTGGGAGAGGGAGCCGCTTGGGCTTGGCTGCACTGCAGGCCTGGACTCTCCCTCCGCCCCGTCCCAGACACTACTGAGAGATGAACCCCAGGGAAGGCGCCCCTCCCCGAGCACAGAGCCCCCCAGCAAACTCATGGCCCCTCCGGGCCCCTCCCTCTACTCTCCACCTTCCGGGGAGGGCCAAGCCGCGGGCAGGACCCCAGGGAGGAAGGCGGAGCAGCGCGGAAAGGGGACGCATGATGCGCCCAGTTCAGACCCAGGTGGCGCAGGCCGAGATTAGGTGGGGAAGCCCCTGGGGGCCAGGCTCGGTGCCAGGAGGCGGCCGGGCCTCCCTCCCTCTCCCGGGCACGTCCCAGGAACTAAACCACCAGCAAAGTGCGGGCTGCAGCTCCCGGGCTCGGCTTCCCACTGACACGGCTGGTGCAAAGCCAGCTCGGGTGCCGTGGTCCCTACCGCTGCAGGTCGGAGGGACGGCGGGAAGCCGCGGCCCATGCCCCCCGGGCCCTGAGCAAAGCCCGAGTTCCCACAGGAAAGTTCCAGCCAGCCTGAGAGTGAAGCAGCCGCGTCCAGAGGGCTGTCAGGGCATGGCCAGGCACACTTGCTGCCCGTGGCGGGTGGACGGGGGCCGCCCCTTGCTCCTCGCTGCACCCAGAGGGGCCCCCAGATGGCCTGGATTTCAGAATGAGTCACCGTCCCAGGGACACGAGGCAAAGGGGGTTTCTCTGCAAAGCCGGGCTGGGGTGGGTGGTCTCAGGCATGGATATAGCACCCCACGTCCCAGGCCTGGCCCACAACACAGCGCCCTCTGCAGGGCCCAGCGGAGCCCAGCCTCGGCCTCGCCCCCAGGCCAGGCCCGTGCGTCTCGTTCCGCTCAGGCCCGTTTCTGAGGTTCTAAAAACTTCCGGATTCTGCCGCTGCCAGGGCCCAGCCGACCTGCATCTGAAACCAGCAGCCCCATGAGTCAGACGCTCTCGGCTCAGTTTCCAGGTGGGAACAAGGGGGCGGGCGTGTGTGTGTCCAGGGCCTAGAGACCCTCCAGGGACGCCTGGAGCCAAGACGCTGTCGAGGCAGGACTCAAGCCAGTGCCTCCCTTCCCAGCCCCCCACCCCCCCTCCCCGCCACCCTCTAGCCCCCTGCAGAGGTCGCCACAGGCCAGACCCCCAACTGCATCCCCCCCGCCCCGCACGAGCGTGACGAGGAGATCTGAACCACAACCCGGGAAGCCCGGAGGCTGGTGGGGGTGTCTACCCCCTCCCCCCCTCCCCCAGGGAGCCCCAACTCCAGCCCAGCAGCCTCATGCACCGCTGCCACCAAAGCCCCCGGCGCCAACTCCTCCCACGGTGAGTCCGAGGTCACACCGGGACTGTCCACCCCTGTCAGCCTCGGGCCAGGCCTGGAGAGAGAGCAGCCCTGAGAGGGACAACAGAGGGAGCATCCTCGGAGACAGGCCGAGCAGAGCACAGGGTGGGGACGCGGGGCAGGACAGCACGGCCAGTGTGGATGCTGTTCTCCCCACTGACGCTCAGAAGATAAACCCCAACATTCCAAAGCCACAGGCCAGTGGGGCTTGGCCCAGGCGGCCACCCCACCCTGCCCGAGCGGCACCTTCCAGCCAAGGGTCCCCAAACCCCAAACCTCCCTGACTCAGAATGCGCCCTGCGGGCTCACATCCCTCCTGGCAGGCTCCGGGGGCCTGATGGAGTAGAACCCGGGCCGGCTGTGTGCAAAGCCAGGGTCACACGTGCTGTACCATTGTTCTGGCCCTGAACCAGCCTCGTGGGAAGCACCTTCAGGGTGGGGACCCGCGTCAACCCCTGAGAATATGGGTGAACACGGTGCAAGCGACGAGGCTGACACCGTGAAGGGGCCCCGCGTCACTGCTGGCACCGGGAGACGTTTCCAAACGACACACTGGCCTGTTTGGAAACAGGTCTGACACAGGCCAGCTGCCACCCACCCTCCGCCCGAGGGCAGATGGTGCCACGCCTCGCCTGCTGCCAGCCCAGGGGTGGGCACTGGAACAAGGGGCTGCCCAACATCTGGGGGGCGGGGCTGCAGCAGAACCTGCACACATGAGCGTGTACACACACGAATGAGTGTGTACACACACACACACACACAAACACACAGACACACACAGGCACATACCCATACACACACAAATACACACACAAGCACATCATACACACACACACACAAAGACATAAACACACACAGGCACATAGACACAAACACACACACACACACAAGCACATACACAAAGACATAAATGTACACAGGCACATACACAAAGAGACACACAGGTAAATACACAACACACACACACACACCCCCAGCGCTCACCTTCGTTCTCCCCGCTGGCCTTGCTGCCCTTGGGGCCCTCGGGGCCCTTGGCCTTCTCGGCGTCCTCGGGGCCCTCCTCGGCGGAGCCCTTGTCGTCGTCCTCGTCCTCGCCCACGTTCTTGTAGTTGGGCCGCTTCTGCAGCCGCCGCCGGCCCTTGTGTTTGCTCATCTCCAGGGAGCGCTCCAGGGACTCGGCGGGCTTGGTGAAGCACCGGATGCTGGGCTGGGCCTGCAGAAGGGACAGGGGCGGGGGCCTGAGCGCCGGGCTCCCCGTGCCCCGGCAGCCTCCCGGCCACCGCAGTCTGTCCGCTGCTCCGAGCGGGCCCAGGCCGGTGTGAGCACTGAAGGGTGAGCGTCGGGGTGAAAGACCCTTCTGGGGACCCTCGCTGTGATGCACTCTTGGGTTTTTTGGGGGGACGATGGGGTCCTGGGGACAGGACCCGGGGTTCCCGCCAGCGCCCCCGCCCTGAGCCTCCCCCTGTCCCCGTGATGCTTGGTCTCTGCCGATGCTGTTCTCGGTTCTAACACACCGGAAGGTCACAACCAGCCCACAGGCACTGCTGCTCTGTCCTGAGGAGGGGTAGGGGCTCGGGGGCACCGGCCAGGAGGGGCAGAGCTGGGTCCCGGCTGCTTCTGGGGCCCCAGGTAACGTTCAACCAAGATCAGCCGACTCTTGCTACAGCTGCAGCCGACGGTGCCAGGAGGCGTGGGCCTGGGCAAGCTCCCTGCCGTGCTCGGACCCCCTAAGCAGCCCGCACAGTGCTCAGGGGCAGGCAGTGCCAGGGATCTCACTCTGGGCTCTGCACACACAGGGAACGAGCTGGACCACTTGTGCTCCCTCCCAGGACCCCAGGACCCTCTTAGCCACTTATTCTGTGACTTTGGGGAGCAGGAGATGTGGGTCAGACATGGCGGTGCTCAGAGGCTGCTCCCTGGACGGTGCCTGGGGGACCATGCTGTGCCAGGGATTGACCCCAGGCTTCCACTGGTAAAGCAGGGGCGCTAGTCCCCTGAGCTGTCCCCCCACTGACTCCTTAAATAAACTTTGTTGGGGGTTGGAATGATAGTAGCAGGTAGGGCGTTTGCCTTGCACGCGACTGACCCGGGTTCGATTCCCAGCGTCCCATAGGGTCCCCCGGGCACTGCCAGGAGTCATTCCTGAGTGCATGAGCCAGGAGTAACCCCTGAGCATCGCTGGGTGTGACCCAAAATGAAAAAAAGAAAAGAAACTGTCTATCTGTAGATCTGTAGAATACTAGTGTCCTTTGCTATCAAGAAAATGGCAGAAAATAATAATTTAAAGAATACCCAAGGTGGGTGGGATGCAGCTGAGCGTGCGGCTGTGACAGAAGACAGGGGGGCTGGATGTTGCCCCACCCGGAAGTGACCTGCCCAAGGTCACCGCGCTGTGATGCAGAGGCGGGATATGGTGGTGCTGGTTCTTTCGTGTGGGGTCCACACCCGGGGGTGCTCAAGGCTTCCTCCTGGCTCTGCTCTCGGGGATCCTTTCCGGGGGGCTCAGGGGGGCGTGTGGGAGACTGGGGACCAAGCCAGGTCTGCCGCATGCGAGGCCAAGCACCCTCCCCACCGTCCCACCGCTTCAGAGTCGGAATCTACACGGAAGCTCGTCCCATTCCAGGGGGAGATCCCCAGGCACCCAGAGGCAACGCCACACGCCTGCACCTAGCGGGGAGAGGCCCCAAGACACCGTCGGGTCCCAAGTGCCAGGGCCGAGGCGGACGCGCGTCTCTGCGTCCAGAGCACAGAGGCCATTTGGACAGGCCTTCATCGGAATGAAAAAGGAGCCAGTCTGGAAGTGGACTCCTCCGTTCCCCTGATGCAGACGATCCATCTTCTGAATTCCTCCCCCAGCCCCAGCGACGCGCCGCCCCCCACCTCCCGCGACCCACAGCCCTTGCCAATAAGCAGGATGGTCTCGGGGAACACAGATTAATTTCAATAACGCTCAGAATGAAACCTAATTGAAAGCTAAATTAGCATCCAAATACAAACATTAATTTTTATTCGCCCGCTATGAATTCATTCATCCATGCACACGCACAAAAAGTGACAGGTGAATTGAGCTATGGTCCGAAGGCCCCGGAAACCAGATATTCATGATGAGGCTGACGGCCCGGGGCCCAGAGCTGGCAGAGGGAGGGACCTCGCCTGACCCGGGGAGAGGGGTGCGGCCTGGCGCCCTGCATCTCCTGGCGCACGGAGAGAGAAGATGAAGATGAAGCAGCCGCTTGCCCCGACCTCTTCCCCGTGAGGAGGGGGGGCACGCGCCGCCATCCATCACAGCCTGCAGAGGAGAAGGCCGCGCTGGACACCAGGAGACGCTGCCCACCGGAGGTTCTCCCAAGGAAGCCACGGGCTCAGATGCCCACCGTGAGCGCCAGTGGGGCAGACTTGCCGGGCACGAGGCGGGCAGAGCGGCAAGGGCAGGAGGCCTGGCGGGAACAGGCCCCCCGCAGCCACGCACGATGCCGGCTTGGGGAATGTCCAGGCACAGACTCAGGCGAGAACACAGCCCCCGGAGGCAGAGTTCCTTCCGGGGGGGGGGCTGGAGTGAGAGCAAACGGGGAGGGGCGGGGGCGCGTGCCTGGCACACGGTTGACCAGGTTTCAATCCCTGGTACCCCCCGGGGTCCCCTGAGTCCCTCCTGGAGTGGCCCCTGAGCACGGTCGCGTGTGGCCCCAAACACCAACCCCGAAGAAGAGTTCCTTCCGGACCTGGCCCCGGTCCCCACCCAGCACGCAGAGTAGGAGATGAGCAGCTGGAAGCAGCACAGGTGCCAAGGGGAGTTGGGGTGGCAGGGGAGGACCCAGGCACCGGGGAATTTCAGACATTTCAAATGCAACCATGCGGGGACCCACGGAAATACCCTAAATGCCCATCTCCCAGGAGCAGTGGGTGGTTCCGGCTGGTCAGCGTGGGAAGCCACGCAGATGTCTCGGGGACCAAGTTCTTACCGATCCGATTTGACTGGAGGCCATTCCCAGCGGTGCTAGGGCTCACTCCCAGCAGTGCTCAGGGCTGACTCCTGGCTCTGTGCTCAGGGCTGACTCCCGGCTCTGAGCTCAGGGCTTCCTCCTGGCTCTGTGCTCAGGACTCACTCCTGGCTCTGTGCTCAGGGCTCACTCCTGGCTCTGTGCTCAGGGCTGACTCCTGGCTCTGTGCTCAGGGCTCCCTCCCAGCAGTGCTCAGGGCTTCCTCCTGGCTCTGTGCTCAGGACTCACTCCTGGCTCTGTGCTCAGGGCTCACTCCTGGCTCTGTGCTCAGGGCTCACTCCTGGCTCTGTGCTCAGGGCTCCCTCCCGGCTCTGTGCTCAGGGTTGACTCCTGGCTCTGTGCTCAGGGCTCACTCCTGGCTCTGTGCTCAGCGCTGACTCTTGGCTCTGTGCTCAGGGCTCCCTCCCAGCAGTGCTCAGGGCTTCCTCCTGGCTCTGTGCTCAGGACTAACTCCTGGCTCTGTGCTCAGGGCTCACTCCTGGCTCTGTGCACAGGGCTGACTCCTTCTGGCGGTGCTCAGGGGACCCGACAGGGTACTGAGGCTCCAGCCCAGGTTGGCCGCGTGCGAGGCCAGTGCTGGCGCCTACGCTCTCCCGCGTCCTTCTCCTAGAGAAGGGCGAACGCAGGGTGAGCTCCGGGATGCAGAGTGTGACAGCAGGCAGGGACAGGACGCAGGGGAAGGCAGCTGCCCTGCATGCAGCTGACCCACATTCGGTCCTGAACCACCGGTGGCCCCCAGAGCACCCCCGCCCTCCCCAGCGAGGAGGAGGAGCTGTGTGCCGAGGCTGCGGGGGGTGGGGGGACACTTTCACCTTCCCGTCCCGTGGCCGGCTGTGTGGCCCTGCTCCCACCCAGAGGTCAACGGTCACAGGTCAGTGCCAGCCACTGCACGGACCCAGGTGGAGGGGTGGGCCTGCCACGAGAGCCACGTCCTGTGTGTTTCCTCATGGTGAATGAGCCAGGCCCGCGGCCTCAGGGGCGGGGGCAGGCCCGTTCAGCTCAACCCAAACAAGTGAGCCCTGGTGGCCCTGGCCATGGAGGATGCCGTGACCACTCACCCCTCTCGCGGCGCTGCCTCATGGCCGGGAGAACTCCGGGGTGCGGGGTGGAGGGTGGGGGGACTGTGCCAGGAGGGGCTGGTTTCCTGGTCTAAGGCAGGCCTGGAACGCTAGAGAAGGTGGGGGGGGGGGGCGCCCCTGGACACAGGGGCTCCGGTGGCTCACGGGAAGCTGGGGTGGGGCTGGGCCACCCAGTGACCTGTCCACTCTCTGCAGCCAGCAGGAAGAGCTGCCGGGGTATCCCTGCCCTGAGCCCAGGGCCGGATTTCCTTGCACCGACTCAGACGTGGGGGAGCGGGGTGGGGGGCACAGAGGTGTTTCTTCAGGGAAAAGTGTCACTCCTTGTTCTCGGCTAGGAGGGGCCAGGGACTCCCCGTGCCCAGAAGGGGACAGCAGCTCCAGCTGCAGCTCAGTGGACAGCGACGAGCAGTGCGGGTGGAGATGGGGCGCAGGCAGCCGGGGCCGGGTGCCAGCCGGGGGACGAGAACGGACGGGACAGTGGCCGGGTGCTGAGGGGGGTCCGGGGTGAGGCGGCGGAGACGAGCCAGCATGTCCTTCCTGGAATGCGCCCAGAACCCTCTCCCGGCCTCAGGTGCCCCTGCTTCCGGCCTCCGTCCTGCCTGGGGCTCTGACCCGCCTGCCACAAGCTGAGCTATGTCCCACGCACGGCACAGCCGCCTCCGCAGGGAGTCCTGAGGGCCAGCGCCAGCCCCCCGGGGCACCCGTCACCCCTCCGCTCCCCCACTGCTGCTCTCTCTCCCCACATCCCCGTCACCGTTGCCGGCTGTCTCCCGGCCCGGAATGCCAGACCCGGGGGTTGGGGTCCCTCCAGTTCCCGGTCCCCTCAACTGCGAGTTGAGTCCTTGCACATGGCCTCTCCGTTGGGCAGCGCTGGGGAAGGCGTCCACGCGGGAGCCATCTGCACAAGTGACAACCACACCGACACAGCGGCAATGACTGTGACGTCTGCTCACTGGCCAGGGCAGGGGCGAGCACCGAGGGCCGAGAGTTGGACAGCCCCAGGGGGCCGGGAGCGACAGTCCAAGCACCAGGCAGCCCCAGGCTCAAACACACACCCCCGCCCCCCCCCACCCCACCCCAACAAGCACCTTCCGGAGCAATCCCTGAGTGCAGAGTCAGGAGTGATCCCTGAGCATCACCAGGGATGCCCAAAACAACAACAAAAACTAACCCGTCTCCAGACTCAGCACCAGGCGCGCCCTCACTCCCACTTTTTAAAAGATCGTTTAAAAAATCATCTGAAAAAAGGAGCTGGAGCCATAGCACGGCGTGAAGGGCGTTTGGCCTTGCACCCGGCCGACCCGGGTTCGATCCCAGGCACCCCAGAGGGTCCCCCGCACACCGCCAGGAGTAATTTCTGAGCGCAGAGCCAGGAGGAAGCCGTGAGCATCGCCGGGTGTGACCCAAAAAGCAAAAGCAAAACACAAAAACACCAGAAAGCCCTCAAATGTCCAGGGAAGAGGTGCAGGTTGATGCTGTCAACGGGCTAAGCTGAGGACAGAAGGGACAGGGCCATCCGGACAGAAACCAAACGCACTCCTTGTGGCCCATCAGTGACAGCCCCCCATCCCCACCCTGCCCCAGCTGTCCTCAGGATGGTGTGCCCGCAGAGCTGGTGTCTCGCCAGGCTGGGTCATTGTCCCCTGCCTGCCCACCTAGAGTGCCCTGGGAGCCCCTCCTTGAGGGGCAGCCCCAGAACACACCCCCCCTCCATCCCACTCCTGGCTGATGCCAGCAGCCCAGCCCAAGGGCTCCCACCAGCTTCCGGCCTGTCTCTGCACAGCGGGGCTGGTTCCCTGGGACGCTCCGTGTCTCCAGAGAATAGTCTGCCTGATCCTCTCCGCGAGTCAAAACTGCCTCATGCAGGGGCTCCACGCTCAGGCCACACAGACCCAAGGCCCCTGCCACCCCCTAAGTGGGGGAAGCCACAGTGCGTCCCGGAAGGCAGCCAGGCAGTGAGGTCCAGGGTCTCCAGAGTCTCTTCCTCCCTCGGGCTGTGGTGGCGGCACAAAGCCTATGCCTCGAGGTGCCAGGCCACTGTGCCCTCAGCCCACGTCCTGGCAGAGGGTCCAGCCCGGGAAACGCGGGGCCCACAGAGCCAGTGGCAAGCCTTACTCTCGGGGAATCAGCAGCAGGCACCCCCCAGTCCCATGCCCGGTCACTTCACTGCAACGCCTCAGGCAGGAAGGAGCCAGGTCCCCAGAGCCAGGGGCCTCGGTCCCCTCTTGGAATCTGCAGTGGGACCCGGGCTGTGAGGGTCCTCGGGCCGCCCCTGCCGTGAACCTGCCACCAGGACCCCCTGTGTGCCAGGGCCCACGTCGGGGTGCTGGTCAGCTCAGGCAGCGGCCAAGGACGGACACACCCTGGGACGCAGGCAGGTGGGGCGGCACCTCGTGCAGGCGCGAACTTGCACCTGGCCAACTGGGGGTTGACTCTCGGCACCAGGCCTGGCGTCCCCAGGCCCCGCTGGGAGGGAGCCCTGAGCGCAGAGCCGCACAGCACACAGAAAGACGGAAGCCTCGAACCCGCCACCCGTGGGCGCTGTTCTCCGGGCGCCTTCGCTCCTGCCAGCGGCCCAGGGGGGTCTGCCCCTGGGAACGGGTGGGAAATGGGGCCTGGACAGGGTGAGCCAGCCCGTAGCCCAGCCCTGGCTGACCTCAACAGCACTCCCAGAGCCAGTTTCTGAGCAGAGCAGGGGTCCGGAGGGTCAGACTTGGCCTCCTGAGAGTCGTAAAGAACATTCAGGAGGAGCAGGGAGCACCCACATCCCCGCTGGACACACTCCTGCAGAGAGCACCCCCACATCGCTGGCTGGGCCTGACAGCTCAGGGGGCGCAGGCAGCTCCCGGACTCTGTCTCCGGGGCGAGTGCAGAGACGCAGCTTCCCAGAACACCGCCCTGCCCTGCAGTGCAAGACACGGAGGACCGGGAGTGGAGCCCAGGGCGGAAAGGGCCCTCGAGCACGAGCTCGCGGGGAAGGAAGCGCAGCCCCAAGCCCGCCTGCAGGTTCCTCAGGGGACTCCCGGGCCCCAGAACAGCTTCTGAATCGGGTCCTCTGACTCTCCCGGCAAGAACTGTGCGCGCTTCAGACGCCAGCTCGCGGCCGGCCCCGCGCGAGCGGGAAACGGAGGGTCTGCACGCACAGACGCGCTTCAATCAGGCGCTGATCTGACCACCACGCCGCCGTGTTTTAAATTTAACCCTGAATTACAGACTTTTCAAATAACTCCCTGCTCCCCCGGCCTCTCGCTCTTCAATTTTGGTTTGGTTTGGTGAAAGGTCTGCTGGTAAAGAACTCGGAGCAATACCAGTAACTTATCTACAAATTACGGGAAGGAGAAAGTAGGTTAAACAAGACCAAGACACTCAGAACAAGTGAGACCAAACCACATCCGAGTTCGGCAGGAAACAATAGGAGCCGGTACTGCTGGAGGGGAGGGCGGTGCCCACCAGGGTCCCACGCCCCTCCCGGACCCCAGAGGGGGTCAGCGATCAGAGCACAACAAACCCCCGACTTCCCACAGGCGAGCGGGGCAGAGACAGCCCCGCCGGAAGCAGAAAGCTGACACTTTCGCTTGGGCTGGCAGCTCCTTCCCCGTCAGTCTCGTTTTCCGCTCAGGCCTCTACCCTGCAGGCTGGCGGCAGGACCCCTAATTAGAGGGAAGCAGCAACGGAAAGGAGGGGGAGGCGCGGGGAGGGGGGAGGGGGGCGTCCAAGGCTGGGAGGTGGCACTTTCTGCAACTTGCACACTCGGGGACATCCGTAGTCAGGGGCATCGCTCTGGGTCCAGCCCGGGGACCACACGCCCATCCACTTCGACCAAAAGGCAAATAAACGAACAGGCCGGCGGCAGCGCCCCAGGTGTCAAGACTGGGAGGGGAGGGGGCAGCGTCTGGGGCACACACCGCCGGGCAGACACCGGCAGGGCATGTCCTCTGAGGGCCTGAGCCCCGGCAACACAGGCCAGGCCAGCAGCACCTTGTCACACGCCTGCACTGAACCAGGGCCTGCACACTGGACCTCGGCTGGCTCGGGACAGGCTCCGAGCTGGCCTCGGAGGAGAAACTTCCAGAGCGTCGGAGCCTGGAGCTTATGAACTTCCCTTCTGAGTGCGGTGAAAAGCAAACCAGACGCTTGCGGAGCAGGGCTGTGCCCTGCGAGGCGGGCACCCCGACTGTGTCCCACCGGGTGGAATAAGGTGCGCCAGGGGAACGGGGGCTCTGCCTGCGGGGGCCCAGGTTCGATTACGGTGTCTCACTGCTAGGAGTGCTGCCCCGGCACTAAGCAGGGGCCCCACCACCACCCTGCAAGAACAATCAGTGGTTGGGCGGGAGCGATAGCACAGCAGAGAGGGCGTTTGCCTTGCACGCGACTGACCCGGGTTCGATGCCCAGCATCCCATAGGGTCCCCCGAGCACTGCCAGGAGTGATTCCTGAGTGCAGAGCCAGGAGGAACCCCTGTGCAGCGCCGGGGGTGACCCAAAAAGCAAAAAGTAAATAAATAGAAATCAGAGTTTCCCGAACAATGGTTGCATCAGCCCCGGTCACCAAGTCCAGCTCCCTCCCGCAGAGCCCAGGAGACAGGAGGGTGGAGGGTCCCTGGGCCAAGCACTGTCGGCAGAGCCTGGGGGGGTCCCCGGCTCCAGCATCATGTGGACTGTCCGAGGAGTCTTGCACATGCCCAGGACAGCGCGATACAGACAGGGATGACGGAACCAACCAGAACCAGGGACACAGCAGGCAGAGACGACAAGAGGGCAACCCCCTCCCGCTGCCCCTGCCCATCTCACGCTGACGTCACCCAGGAGCACGGGACCCTGGCAGCCTTTCCAAGTCCCTGAGCTCTGTCATTGCGCAGAGCAGAGGGGCCATCCCTGTGCAGGCCACAGCAATGACCAGAGGGGACTGGGGGGGGGGGCCGAGGGCAGAGGCCGGGCCCATCCCCCCACACTTTGGTTTCCCAGTCCTGCTCCGGAGCCGATGGGGGACCAGCCACCTGCCCCCGGCAGCTCAGGGCCTGCTGAGACCTGTGCAGAGGAAGGAGCTGGGAGGAGCGGAAAGGTGGCCTCGCGTCCAGGACCTGGGGGCAGGCTGGGAGCCAGGAGCCGGGCCAGGCCGGGATTTCCCTTCTGCTGGAAGCCCGGGCACAAGCGTGTCCTGAAGACAGCACAGGGGCCGGGCTGAACTCTGCAGCCCAGCCCATGTCCAGCCTGCAGCTACTCACATCACACTGCGCTCCCCACGCCCCACTGCCCCCCACTGCCTCCTCACCGTCCCCTTATGCCTCCCTTGGGGCCACTGTCATTCATGCGTCCTCCCCGCCCAACCAGTCTCGCCCGTCCCCTGGCCAAGGCGTGCTCTCACCCTGTCCCGGTGCCCGTGACCACCCGATGCAGAGCCCGCGGGCCAGACGGGGTAAGACTGTGCTCCGGTGTCAAGTCCCCATCTCGAGGCGGGCACCGTCGTGGCCCCAGGGACCAGCAGCAGCCACGGCCGTGGGTCACGGCGCAGGAAGAGCCCCGGCCCTGGACACTTACGCTTCTCGGGACGTCCTGCTCGGTCTCGGCGGGCAGCTCCGACGGGTCCCCATTCAGGATGACCTCCGCCAGTGAGTTCACCAGGGGCGCGTGGTGGATGATGAGGAAGACCTGGTGGGAGGTGTGGGCGGGGGGCACTGGTGTGAGCGGAGTGTTTCTGGGCACCCCCAGGATGCCGGGCCCACCCGGGGTCCCTGACTCCCCCCATCTGGGGCCAGGGCCCTCTGTGGAGGCAGTCGCCTGGCCAGCGGGCAGCAGGAAGGACAGCAAGGCCAGACTGTGCCTCGTGTCTGCCTGACACCAAATGGGGTGTGGAGCCACGGGAGGGAACCCACCGGCACCATCCCCCCCCCCATCAAGAGGATGCTCTAGCCGCAGGGAAAGGGGGGCTCGGCCCGGTCAGCACCTAGGAGCTGGCACCCCCGCGGGAGGTCCCGAGCAGAATGCCACAGCGGCATGGGAGACGTGGGGAGGCGGGGAGACCGGCCCCGGTCCACCAGCAGGCGCTGTTCCGGCTGTGTGCCCTGTTCCAGATGTCCAGCTGGGCTGACACACTCCACACACTCCTGCCACTGCCACTGTCTGAAGATGCCCAGAGATGGCACAGCAGGGAGGGCACTTGCCTTGCACACCGCGCACCTGGGTTCAATCCCCAGCATCCCACAGGGTCCCCCACGCCCACCAGGAGTGACCCCTGAGCACGGAGCCAGGAGTAGGCCCTAAGCACCACCAGGACGGCCCCAAATTAAACAGAAACAAAAATTCCATGGAGGCAAGAAGGTGACCCCGAGAGCCGGTGTGAGACCAGGCGTGGGGGGTCCTACTGACCCCGGGCAGGGGTCCAGACAGAGGCCTGGGCGAGGGTCCTGCTGGCACAGGCAGTGATCACAGCGAGGGGGACGGGGGTGGGAGTGACCCACAAACAACCCGGCCATGGAGTCTGCAGTGGCCACGCGGCCTCTGTGCCATGTCTGAGCGAGGCCTGAGTGCATCTTTCTTCCTTCCTGTGCTCAGTGAGCCCTGCCGAGGCTCGGAGCACGGACAGTCCCAACTCCGGCTGTGGACGGACGCGGTACGTGGGGGTCGTCCCTAGGACCGGGGTGGGGAGTGGCAGACAGAGACACACGGACACGGACACACACATACATACACACGCATGCACACATACATACATACACACATGCACAGACACATATATACACACATACACATATACACACACACGCACGCACACACACGCACACACACACACACACACACACACACTCTGCAGGGACTTGGTAGTGGACGCGGGCCACAGGCCAAAGCTTGTCTCAGTCAGACAAGTGCTCGGTGGTGGGGCCCAAGCACGCAGAAGCCGGGCCAGTGGACGGGGCTCATGCCTGCTTGGAGGCTGTGCTAGAACTCCAGGAGGCTCGAATCTCAGTGCTTGCACTCGAGTCCCGGAGGAGCGTCCAGCGGGCTGGCGGCTCTGTGAGCCGTCGCGGCCGCAACCGCAGGGGCCAAGGTGGGCTGGTGCTCAGGGAAACGCAGGACCAGGGAAAGGCGCCCGCGGCGGGAGACGGGGGCCGCCTCACCCCGACCGATCCGCCCCGATGGGGAAGGGGCCCCCCAGGGCCACCGGGGGCCTCGGAGCTGCCGGAGAGACCCCAGGTGGGGCGCGGGCCGCAAAGGGCCTCGGCTCTCTGGGAGCCCGCGGGGGCAGCAGGCCAGCCTGCAGCGAGGCGGCCCGAGCGTCGGGGCTGCTCGCAATAAAAATACTTCCCGGGTTATGTAACTGGGTCGCCATGGAGTTTTTCCCTTCTTGTAAATATTACAGAATCCGGAGGAGGAAGCGCCTGTCGGAGGGGCAGGAAGCAGCCCGGCGGGCGGGATCAGGAGCCGAGAAACCTCCAGGGGGAGCCACGGGTGTGGGGCCCGGGCAGGGATCCACTGGCGATGCGCTAACGGATGCACACCCGGGGCGCCCTAAGCCCGGGGCCCCGAATGAGGACCCCTGCAGTTCGCCGCCCAGGGTGTACAGAACATTCTAGAACCACCCGGCCCCAGTTGTGCCCGCGTGCATTTTCCATGTGTCTTTATGTTTGTTTTTGTCTGTTTTGTTTTGCTTTTTGTTTCACACCTGGCAATGCTCAGGGGTTACCCCTGGCTCTGCACTCAGGAGTGACTCCTGGCGGTGCTCGGGGGACCCTATGGGATGCTGGGAGTCGAACCCGGGTCGGCCGCGTGCAAGGCAAAGGCCCTCCCCGCTGTGCTATCGCTCCAGCCAGCCCCTGGCACGCGTCTTTAGAGGCCCAGCCCCGAGTGTGTGAGGGCGCCTCGGGGCGGCCCAGCCACACTCCACACCCCAGAGCACAGACCTACCTGGGACAGCAGGTAGAGGGACACCGGCAGGCTGATCTTCGGCCTCTCCCCTCCCTAGGGAAAGGCGCAGAGTGAGTGGCATAGAGCCAGCGGGTGAGGCTGAGGCCCCCTCCCCCCACACCCCTCCACCCCCGCGAGCGCTGGGACCCTGCAGCTCCTCCCTCCATCGACGCTCCTGACACAAGTCGTCGTGCTGCAACTAGACGGCTCAGCGCCGGGCGGGCCCCACTTGGCCTGAGGCATCACCCACAAGGCTCTCGCGAGCAGGGGTGCTCGCGGCGACATATCTGGGGCGCTCGGCCTCGGGGAACCCCCATATCTGTCCCGAGAGCCAACAAGCTCCCACTCACTCCAGGCCGGAAGGACTTTGGGGAGGATCTGCATTTGGTGCCCGGAGGGAGAGGCCGAGGGTGACCCTGCGTTGCCTCCAGGCGCGGACAGACCCCCGCTCCCGCCCTGGGGAGCTGCAGCCCCCGGGCCCACCATTGGGTGGGACGTGGTGACGTCGGTGGGCCCCACGGGTGGCTCGTGTCCACCCTATCCTGCCTTCACCGAGAAATAGCCCCAAAGTTGGGAGAGGATTGGCAGCTTGACCTCATGCAAATGATCAAGGCATAAATATCTATCGGCTCCGATTGACAGCGTCAGTGGGTGAGCAAGAGCCCTTCCAGCCTGCACTGAGAAAGCCGGAAAGGTGGCTTGATGCTTCTCTAGCCGCTCAGAAAAATCTGGACGCGGGAAGTCATTTCCTATCAACCAAACCTGTAGGTGAAGGAGTTACTCCTTTCCATTTTTTTAATGATAGAAATGGGTATGGCGTTACGATGCCTCGGTTCCTGTTGCTTTGACTCTTGCGTTTGCGAAGACAGCAAACCACTCTGTCCTTACTGGGTAAGAAAGGACCTTCCACTCCTCCAGGGTCTAATCATCTCAAGGTGACAGCCCTCCGTCTAAGTGACCTGATCTTTGCTTTCAGGTAACTTCGGGAACCGACCAATTCGTTGCCTGGGGTCCACTAAAACTAAGGCAGCATGAGATTCCACCCCTTACGCGGGCAGGGTCCGCCCCCCTCTGTCAGCATGAAGCAGCTCCACAAGTCGGAACTTCGACCATTTTCCCCTTCAAGATTTAAGGCGGTGAAATCTCTAGGGGGAACGATGGTGTAGGCAGGATAGGGAAGGCCCCTTCCCAAGGCAACGGCGAAGATTTCCTGGGAAGAAAGAGCCTCGGAGTTGCTGGGAGAGCCCGATAAAAACCCTCAGAAGAAAACGGGAAAAAAACAGGAACCAAGGCCCGATGAGACCCTCAACCATCCACAGCCACAGACCCAGAGAAGCTCCTGCAGAACAAAGGAATTTCAAAGAAGGAATTTCAAAGAAGACCACCACCACTCCCAACCCCCCGAACCTCCTTAGCCAGGAGCTTTGACTCAGGTAGAAGCCCCACGTGGGGGCAGTTTGGAGAAACCCTAGAAAGGCCACCTTGGACCGAGGAAGCGTGAAGATGCTGCCCAAGCCCGTGTGCTGCTGGTGCCCACGTGGCCGGGCACACGCGGTGCCTGGGCATACGTGCTGCTCGCATCTCCCCTCTTGAGATGGGGACTTTCACGCTCTCCTGTCTGACGCTGGGGTGTGTGCAGGGGCTCTCTCTGCCCTTGGAGAAGCCCGGGCTTTCTCTCAAGCACGTTCCTCTCCACTCTCTGCCACTTTCTCCCCCTCCTCCCTTCAAAACCTACAAATAAACACTGCGATTTCACGGCTCGTCTAAGTCCTTCCTGCGAGGCAAGACAAGAACCCAGTAACCCTGGGTCCCGGGTGGCTCCGCAGGGGCGGTCGGGGAGAGAGTGACCGTCTTTCTCCCCCCCACTTCACCTGAGCCAACCGTGGCGCCCACTGACATCAGTGGGGACCCACAGGAACTGTTCCGGGGTCACTGCCTGGCACGGCTTCCGGTGTGCCTGGGGGACCCCGTCCCGTCCTCCCAGCGCCACTGCCTCTCCCGGTCAGTGAGCTGCAGGGGGGCCCCCCCAAGAGGGGCTGCACAGACACCGAGGGGAGGGGAGGGGAGGGAGGGGGTGGCGGAGCAGCGGCCGGGAAGGGCCAGTGGCGTGCTGGCCGTGCCCACCTTGCCCTGGTTCTCCAGCGAGGACACGTAGAGGGGCAGGAAGAGCCGGTTGAGCAGGTGGTCCGTGAGCACGTCGTTGAGGAACTCGCAGTTGATGATCAGGATGTCGTTGAGGTAGTGCAGGTGGTCCAGGTGCTCGGCCACCAGGTCGCTCAGCTTCCCCCTGTTCCGGTGCCTGAGGAGGGGGGGAGGAGAGAGGGAGGGAGAGGGAGAGAGACAGGGACAGAGAGACAGAGACAGAGACAGAGGGAGAGAGGGAGAGAGAAGGAGACAGAGGGGGGAGGGAGGGGAAAGAGGGAGAGAGAGGGAGGAGGGAGAGGGAGCGCACTCAGGCAGGGTGGGCCGACTCCTATCAGCCCTCCTGACAGCAGGGACCCACGAAGGGCAGGTGGGCAGGGCCCTGTGATCGACTCGATCGCTCGGGGCGCCCCCGGCCGGACCAGCTCACCCCGCGCCCCCTGAACAAACCCACCCGGGCTCCGAGCAGTCCAGCCCAGGGGCATCGGCTGAAGTGGAGAGAGCCCGAGATCCAAGCGGTCTAATGGGACAATAAGCCCGGCCGGTGACCAGGCCAGGCCGCAGCAGCCACTGCCCGCCAGGACGGGCCGTGCCCCCCTGCGCCCTGGGAACTGTCAGCATGCCGGCCGGGTGCCAGGCAGGTCGGTCCCACCTCCCCAAGGACAGGACCCCCACCAGCTGGGGGCCGGTGTCCCCTCCACCGGAGCTTGGCCCCGAGGAGCACTGTGGGAGGAAGACACTGGCGCTGGGCCCGGGTTACTGCTCGGTGCTGCTCCTCTGGTGAGACAGAAAACTAAAGGAGGAAGCCTGGTCCGAAGACGCCGGCGCCCTCGAGAGCCTGACACGGCTCCGGCCCCCGGCCGTGTCCCCAACATGGGTGACCTGCGTGTCCTTGAGGGAACTCGGCGGCCCTGGTGCCAGCCACGCGGCCCCTCTCAGTCCCTCTCAGCCCGTCCGCGGTGTGGCCTCCGGGGCGGCCCCCACTGAGCTTCGATGAAACCTGCCCTGCCGCTGGGACGAGGACACAGCTGCCGTCAGCAGCGGCCAGGCAAGCGCCCCACAGCCTCGACGGATCCTCAGCCGGCCCCATCGCCTCAGCAGCTCCATCGCCTCAGCCGGCTCCATCATCTCAGTCAGCTCCAACACCTCAGCTGGCTCCATCAACTCAGCGGGCCCCATCGCCTCAGCAGCTCCATCGCCTCAGCCGGCCCCATGGCCTTAGCCGGCTCCGTCACCTTAGCCAGCCCCAGCACCTCAGCGGCTCCATCATCTCAGCAGGGTGCACGGCCTCAGCAGCTCCATCACCTCAGTCAGCTCCATCACCTCAAGCCGGTTCCATGGACTCACAGCCCCAACACCTCAGCCGGCTCCATCAACTCAGTGGGCCCCGTCGCCTCAGCAGCTCCATTGCCTCAGCCGGGTACATGGTCTCAGCAGCTCTGTCACTCAGCCGGCCCCACTGCCTTAGCCAGCCCCAGCACCTCAGCAGCTCCATCACCTCAACCAGCTCTATCACCTTAGCTGGCTCCATCACCTCAGCGGGTATAGTGCCTCAGCAGCTCCATCACCTCAGCCGGCTCCATGGACTCAGTGGACTCCACGGCCTCAGCTGTTTCATCACCTCAGCTGGCTCCATCACCTCAGCAGGGTGCACTGCCTCAGCAGCTCCATCACCTCAGTCGGCTCCATGGCCTCAGCAGCTCCATTACTTCAGCAGTTCTGTCACCGCAGCTGGCCCCATCACCTCAACCGGCCCCATCACCTCGGCAGCTCCATCACCTCAACTGGCTCTATCGCCTCATCCAGCTCCATCACCTCAGTCAGCTCCATCACCTCAGCCGGCCCATGGCCTCAGCAGCTCCATTACTTCAGCAGTTCTGTCACCACAGTTGGCCCCATCACCTCAACCGGCCCCATCACCGGGCAGCTCCATCACCTCAACTGGCTCTATCGCCTCATCCGGCTCCATCACCTCAGTCAGCTCCATCACCTCAGCCGGCCCATGGCCTCAGCAGCTCCATTACTTCAGCAGTTCTGTCACCACAGCTGGCCCCATCACCTCAACCGGCCCCATCACCTCGGCAGCTCCATCACCTCAACTGGCTCTACCGCCTCATCCAGCTCCATCACCTCGGCCGGCTCCATGGCCTCAGCAGCTCCATCACCTCATCCGGCTCTATCACCTCAGCCAGCTCCGTGACCTCAGCGGACTCCACGGCCTCAGCTGTTTCATCACCTCAGCTGGCCCCATCACCTCAACCGGCCCCATCACCTCGGCAGCTCCATCACCTCAACTGGCTCTACCGCCTCATCCGACTCCCTCACCTCAGCCGGCTCCCTCACCTCGGCCGGCTCATGGCCTCAGCCGGCCTCTACGCCCTTCCCGGGACGTGCCTGGGCTCCTCGCGCCACGCGGGTCCTTCCGCGCCGTGGGCTCCCTCGCCTCTGCGCCCCCGCCCGGGGCTCCCCCCTCCCCACGGCCTCGGGGGCGTCCGCGCGGCTGCCCCCCCATCAAGACCCCGCGGGGGCCACTCACTCCTCGTCCGTCTGCACGCAGTCGTCCAGCTCGATCACGTGGCTGCCGATGAACCAGACCAGGTTGGAGAAGTAGGGGACGGCCGTCTTGTCGCGGATGTAGTGCAGCATCGCCTGGTTGTCCACTGGCCGGGGCGGGGGAGGGGGCGTTGGCTGCGGGCCGGGGACGCGCCCACCCCCGCAAGCAAGGCAAAGGGCCGCGGGTCCGAGCCTCTGCCTCTCCCAGGGAGCCAGCCGGGCCGGCCCGGCGACAGTCGGAGCTGCGGGAGGCCGGGGACGGCCCGGCCCGCGCGCGGGCGCCCAGAGGCCAGCGGGACGAGGCCCCGCGCCACGCGAGGCCGCCGGGCGCGCGCGGGAGGGGGCGTTTCGAAAGCGGAAAATCAGAGGCGAGTGACTTACATGACACTGGAATAAGGAAGGCGGGAATCGGCAGTGAAGGCAAGGCAAGAACAGACAGCGGTTAACGGGGTCCGAACCGAGCGGGGCGGGGGACTCGCGGGCCGGGGCGCCGGGCTCGGGGCCCGCGCTGGGGGCAGGGCAGAGGAGACAGAGAGAACAGAGCACAGAGGGCAGCGGAGCTGGGTCTGGCGGCCGCGCGGCTCGGTGGGCAGCTCGGGGCCGCCCCGGACCGGGGGGCTGAACCCACGTTCCCTGATCCCCAGCACGAGCCAAGCCCTCCCGACCGGAACTCTCCCCTGCCCCCAGGGACCCCAGCTGCGGAGGCCCCGCGGGAGAAATGCTCTTCTCGGTTCCGGGGGTTCTGGGCAGGGGGCTGCAGGAAGCCCCTGGGAGCCCACCTCCGGCCCCTGCAGGGTCCCCTCCCAGGACACGGAGACTCGGGGTCAGAGCTGCCTGCAGCAGAGAAAACGGGCTCATGCCAGTGGGCAGAGGCCGGGGCCGAGACCGCTTGCCCCGGGGTGGGGGTGCGTCTCCATCCAGCTCAGGCACCAGGCAGCTGGCGGCCTGTCCCTGCAAGCTGGCCGGCGGGTTGGGGATACAATGCTGCCCCCTGCCGGCCAGGACGTGCTAAAGACCACGGACCCCTCAGCGGGCCACCGGGAGCACAGAGTCCCACCCCGCGGCTGGGATGAGCTACCCGGGCCCCACGGGAACTCCTGGGGTGTCTTCACACGCGGAGGGCTGAGTGGTTGGGACGGTAGTGGGGCGGCCGGCTAGAAGCCCGGCGTGGGCTGAACCGGCCGGCAGGACCCCGGGAACACCCCCGGGAGCCCCCAAGGAGGGGACGCAGGGTCCCGGAGCCCCGCACCCACGGGGACACGCACCTTTGTAGACATTCAGCGTGATGGTCCTCACGGCGATGCGGACCATGCTTTCAGGGTGGTTGAAGAACTTGATGGCTTCCGTGTACAGGGCGAAGTCATTGGTGTGCTGAGACAGAAGGGGTGTCCGCCCCCCAAGTGAGCTCCAGACCCCAGTACTGGGCCAGCCCCCAACCCGAGCCCCCGGGAGTCAGAACCATCAGACTTCAGTTTGGAAAAAAAAAATAAAGATACTGGGCTGGAGCGATAGCACAGCGGGGAGGGTGTTTGCCTGGCACACGGCCGACCCGGTTTTGATCCCAAAAAGAAAAAAAAAAAACAAAATAAGGACACTAATGGAGGAAGACCGCCAGGGGGGACCCTGCGGGCTGGGCCAGGCCCAGCAGGGAGAGGAGGAGAAAGGGCCAAGCAGGGCCCGACCAGGACCTACCCCTCCCTCCCGTGTGATTCCTACACCTGTTTCTCACCCCCGTGATGGAATCACTTCCCTCCAGGATCCTTCTGGACCAGTGAGATGCCTTGGGGGACCAGAGCGGTAGGACAGGGGTGATGGCGTCCGGTTTGATCCCTGACGCCCCACACAGTCCCCTGAGCTGGCCAGGGGTGATCCCCAGGAGTGAACCTGGAACTTTTTTTGTTCTTAATTTATTTTTATTTATTCTTGCCTTTTGGGTCACACCCAGCGATGCTCGGGGGTTTCTCCTGGCTCTGGACTTAGGAATTACTCCTGGCCTGGGGGACCATATAGGATGCCGGGGATTGAACCCGGGTCAGCCATGTGCCAGGCAAACGCCCCCGCCGCCGGGCTATCGCTCCAGCCCAAACATGGAACTCTTGGGTGTGTTGCCCCCAACCCAAAAGGGCAAAGCAAAGGAGACAGAAGAGGGAGGCGCTGGGCAGGGGGAGTGGGGGGCTGGGGAGTGGGGTGGGGAACCACGGGCCCGGGACATGAGCACCACCAACAACGCTGGAAATCGCAGACCCTCCGGCATTTTTCAGAGGTTTTCTTTAAATGAGACGGTGAATCTCGTATGTTAGGCTCTCCCCGTAGCAGACTCTCGGCTCTATTTCTCGATTCATACATAGTAAAAGGACAAACATTATCCCGAAGGCCGAGGGTGCTGGGAATGTTCTCACATTGAGCAGAGACCATCAAGGGGCCGGAGTGACGGGACGGGGGGAGGGCGTTTGCCTTGCCTGTGGCCTACTAGGGTTTGATCCCCAGCATCCCAGAGTCCCCCCAAAACCTAGCAGGCGTGATCCCTGACAGAGAAGGGAGGCGACCCCAGGAGACGTCCCGGTCAGGCCTGAGCGCCGCTGGGCGTGACCCCCAAACAAAACGAACAAAAAAACTTGAAAAATTAGGTACGTTTCATCAGGCTGGAGGGAAAGAGCCCAGGCCCGGGTCCCACGGAGTGACTCTGCTGCCCCCTTCTGGCGAGTGCCCCCCACAGCCCCCACAGGCCACCTGCGAGGGAAGAAGCCACAAGCACCCTCAGCCAGAAGACGCGGGTCCCGTGGAGCCTCGCCCACGGGAGCAGGAGGCAGACGCTCGCCACGTGCTGGCTGCCGTCCACGGAAGGCGGACGCGAGCCCACTGCAGGAAGCCGCCCAATCCCCTGCGGGACACACCCGGCTCCTCCACCCCTGGCCTCCACGCCCAGCAATGGCCTCGGGCCCGGCTGCCCCTGAACAGAGGGAGAGTCCCGCCCAGCAGGTGGCCACTGCGGGGTGGGAGAGGCCTGGGGGACGCAACGGCACCCCTCAGGGCCTGACCATGGCTACCGAGCGCGTGCGACGGCCAGCCCTCCCCAGCTCAGACCCGGGGACAACTGGGGGGGAGGGGACGGTGACGAAACCTAACACGGCAGGGGCTAGGCAGGCTCCAAACACGGGCCACGGTGCCCATCAGAAACCCGCAGGACAGCCTGATGCCCCTGCCCTCCTGGGCCCACCCCTGGGCTCCCTCTCCCCCTGGGGTCCCCGCGATGCCGTGGGACCTCGGGGGCGGGGCTGACTGTCCTGGTTTCCTGGGTCGTTCCTCAGGGGACCACTGGCCTGCCAATGGATCCTCCCACCCCGACTTGGACCTGCGGTGGTCACTTCCAAAGCATCGCCTGCTCTGTCCCAGGGCTGGGTGGGGAGGCTTCCAGGGGAGGGGGTGTCAGGGAGCTGGAAGGGACAGAAAAGGGAGGCGACCTCAGGAGACGTCTGGGCAGGGGAATGAGTATGTGATGGCTGGAACCACGGCTGGGGGACCAGTCTGAGGTCGTGAGGGGCTGAGCCTGGGGCCTGGGTCCCCCGTAAAGGTGGTGCCACAAACAAGCCTGGCCTGGGGCGAGCCGGCACCTCCCATCCCTTCTGGTCTGCACACAACTCGACTCTGCTGTCTGGGCTCACTCCTGGCGTCTGCTTTTGCTTTGCATTTGGGACCCAGCCCCGGCAGGGCCCAGAGGCTACTCCCGGCTCCGGGCTTGGGGGTCACTCCCTGCGCTGCTGGGCTTCAGGGTGCTGAGGAACCCACAGGCTCCAGGCTCCCACTCATTGCGAGTGTTGGTACCCACCCAGGTCATGAAGATGAGTCCTTGGACGCTGCCCTGCAAGCAGGAAGCAGAACCGGGATCCCACACTGCACTACGTGGGTGAGCGTTAAGTTTGAGAGTCTGACTGATAGAGCGAAACTAACCCTCGGCGGCCAGCAAATTCCTGCAGCACAAAGCAGCCGCTTCTCCTTTTCACGTATTTCAGACCTCGCTAAACTTTAGATTTAAATCATCCTCTCCTGCTTATCACAGACCCCAGGTGTGAGGAGGTCCTGATGGGACTGAGGATGTGACCTGTGTAATTGGCCACATTTTTCTTCTCGTAACTGACTGTGTTCTCATTCCCTCTGGTTCTTTGTTCTTCCCAAGCTGCTGAATTTCACTGGTGGTTCTTACCACGCTGCTGAAATTCATTGGCCGTGGTTCTAAGCCAACAAATAAAAGGAGGCCGAAAAGATTGCTCTGTCACAAGATCTGAGCGAGTCTCGTGATCCTCCGTGAACCGTGATTTCTTTCACATTCCTTGTCTCAGCGCCTCAGACGGCCTAACCCAATGTCCGTGCAACGCAAGAGCAGCTAGTGTGGATGACTTAAGCGGCCAGATGAGCTCCTGGAGAAGCCCTGGGGACGGCAGCTTATTAAAAAGCAAAACGAGGCGGCGCGGTGACAATTCTAGGGAGCCAGGGATGTGCCAGGAGGACGACATCGCTCCGTCTACCTCCTCTCTGGAAACCCGACGCCTTTCTGCAGGCGAGGAGGCAACTGAGGTTCAGAGGGCTGGGGTGTCCCATGGCTGGATGGCAGGAAGTGGCCAGCCAGGAATGACCGGAGCTTCTCTCTCCCCCTCACCGAGAAGTAAGACCCCAAGTCAAATTGTTTTCATCGTCTTTTTTTTTTCTTTTTGGATCATACCCGGCGACGCTCAGGGGTTTCTCCTGGCTCAAAAACTCAGGAATTATGCCTGGCGGTGCTCAGGGGACCCTATGGGATGCTGGGAATTGAACCCGGGTCGGCCGCGTGCAAGGCAAAAGTGCTCCCCGCTGTGCTATCGCTCCAGCCCCCCAAGTTAAATTCTGAGCACTAGGTCTCACCGAGCAAGACTGACTCAGAACAATTACAACTGAAGAGAATCCTAGAGCAGTTAACATGTTAGAATCGTTCATGAAGTGGGCGCAGGGCAAATGTGTTGCTGCGTGAACAAGGCCACAGCCGGCCGACAAGCAGACTCACGGCCCCCATGGACGGGGGCCACCCTGACCACTAGGCTTCCTACCCCAGCCCCGCCTCCGGCAGTGACTCACCTCGTTGTAAAAGAAGTGGACTGTGTGGTTGTTGAGCTTCAGCGACAGCGTCTTCAGGAAAGATATGTAATACGCCATGATCTCCTCGTCGGAAAAATCGAACTTATGGACAATGATGGAGTTCACGTAGTTATTGGAGAGCAGGTAATCTGGAGGGGGAAGGGCCACGAGAGGAGAGAGAGAGAGAGAGAGAGAGAGAGAGAGAGAGAGAGAGAGACGGTCGGCGTGTGTGGGGAGAGACACTCGAGTACCAGCAGCCTCTTCTGGGGCTGCTAGGGTCCGACAAGCCATTGGGGAAAGGGGCCCCGGGGCGCCACCACCAGAAGCCCCGAGCCAGCCCAGGGCCGGGCCTGGCCAGAGTCCCACCCACACGGAGAACAAACCCTCTGCTCCGGCAGGAGGCGGAGCTGGTGGGGGGTTCCGCAGTCAGGTCACCTGCTTCACACAAGCACCGCGCCAGCCTGCGAGCTTCCCGCCAGCGTCCACATGTGGGACGAGAGCACAGAGCACGCCCAGCCTGGCCCGGCCTGCAGGTGAGTGGCGAGACAGCCGGGCACAGAGGTGGGATTCAAACTGTGGTCTGCCATCAAAGCCGGGTTTCAGCCGCCGGCCACCAGCCTATCGTCCTCGCCAGTGGGGACCAGTAACAACGGCAAGTCAGTGACTGGGGCCCGGAGCACCGTGGCCAGCTGAAGAACAGTGGTGGCCCTCCAGCTCTGACTCTGGGGGGTCCGAGGGAGCAGCCGGGGCTCCTGAAACCCCTCACGGCGTGACCCACTTTCTGCGGTCTCCCTCCCACACCAGCCCCAGTATCTGGAAGTGACCTCGACCCCGTGGGACTGTCATGCAGGCCACAAGCCCCTGGGCTGTGGGCACACTCGGGAGGACGTGGCTGGTCGGAGGAGAAGCCTGGAAGCCACGGTGATGTCCATAGCCAGTGGCATGAGCTCTCCCCGCACCCCGAAGTCCTAAACCAACTGGGGGCTGGAGAGGCGCTCCCGAATGGCAGGACGGGACTGGCAGAACCTGCACCCTGTCTTTAGCATGGTGGAGGGGGCACATCCCGCGATGCTCGGGGCTCACTCCTGGCAGGGTTCGGGGACCCTGTGGAATGCTGGGGGTGGAACCCAGATGAGCCGTGTGTAAGGCAAGTGCCCTCCCCATGCTGCTCGTGCCAGTGTTTTTAAGCCTTGAGTGGCCGCCGTTGCTTTACAATCACGTCTTTCTCTCTCCTGTCAGAAGGGGAAATCAAAGGTCCTGGTCCTCACTCGCTGGCACCAACCCGGGTTCTGCAAGCAGGCAGTGACTCCAGCAGCCCTGTGCCCGGCAGGACTTAGCGAGGGTAACTCGAGCCAGGGCCTGGGGGAGTGTGGGCCCAGCGAGCCCCCAGGGGCATGGGGTAATACCCCTTGCCAGCCCCTCTCCGCCCCCAAACCGGCTTCGCAACTCCCCCGTACTCCTGGGAACTGTCACTCTCCCGGCCTCAGGGACTGTGCTGTGTGGGGAGTTTCCTCCCTAAGTACAAGCATGGGTGGACCTGGTGGGATCTCGGGCCAGCCCCTACACCCTCGAGCTGGGTGTTCTCAGACCTCAGGTCACTCGCAGCAAAAGCCAGAGACAGGAAATCAGGCACCTGGGCCAGTTAGCCGGCAGCACAGGCCTGCGGGGGACACCTGGGCCCACAGCACCCTCTAGTGGCCACACCCCAGAGCTGCGGCAGCTCCTTCCTCCAGAAGGGCAGATACCACCCAGTGACCAGAAAACCCACCCGGGACCCCCACTTGCTCCGTCACTGACATTCCAGGCTCTGTCCTGTCTGCCCATTTCCTGCGAGAGACTGGGGCTAGGAGCTTGGCTGGGGCTTCTCCCCTGGCACGGCACGGGCTGGGGACTGACAATCCTTTGGGGCAGGCCTCCTCCCCACTGGCCCCATGACTGCCACCCCAAATGCCTCCGGATGTTGGCAACGCCCTGCGAGGCCCAGCACGAGGGCTGAGCCCTGATGACAGCAGCCAGGCCGGCGCTGCTCCTGTGGGCCACAGACCCTAACACCAGGGGCTTAAACATGGGAGCAGGCCTCCTGGGGTCACTGCCCCTGAGGCAGGACCACTAGCCAGGGGAGCCTGGGGGCTGGAGCAGGTGGGGAAGCCCCCCACTCCTCCCTCTGCCAGTCCCAATGCTTACTCTGTGACCCCACGTCTTTAACAACCCCGTTTGCAAAGAAGGGGCGCAACCCCTTGGTCTCTAAGCCAGGAGAGCCACCTTCCCCATACCCCACGAGGCAGGGATTAACAAGGTGCCGGGGACCAAACTGCGAACCCCCAAACTCAGACACCCCAAAGCCTACACCCCCACCCAAGGTGGCTGGGACGGGTCATGCAGAGGGGAAGGTAACGGCCAAGGCAGGGCCTGACACCCAAGAGAGAGGGTAGGAGACTCCCTGGTGAGGGCCAGGGGCAGAGGCCAGCAAAATGGGGGGGGGGGGGGGGGTGAGAGGAGGAACCTCCCAAAGACACCCTGATGGAGGGCTCGCAGCCCCCAAGCCCAGGACGTTAAGACCCTGGTGGGCGACCTGATGGCAGCATGGAAACCACGCCCACCCGGGAGGCCACGCCCATCGTGAATGACACGCCCACCAACATATCACACCCACCCTGGGCCACGCCCTCCCAAGAGGCCACGCCCATCGTAAATGACACGCCCACCAACATATCACACCCACCCTGGCCACGCCCTCCCAATAGGCCACGCCCATCGTGAGTGACACGCCCACAACATATCACACCCACCCTGGGCCACGCCCCCAGAAGGCCACGCCTATCGTGGCTGACACGCCCACCAACATATCACACCCACCCTGGGCCATGCCCTCCCAGGAGGCCACGCCCACCGTGGATGACACACCCACCAACATATCACACCCACCCTGGGCCACGCCCTCCCAAGAGGCCACGCCCATCGTGGGTGACACGCCCATCAACATATCACACCCACCCTGGGCCACGCCCCTAGAAGGCCACGCCTATCGTGGGCGACACGCCCACCCTGGATGACACGCCCACCAAAATATCACATCCACCCTGGGCCACGCCCGCCCAGGAGGCCACACCCATCGGGGGATGACACGCCCACCAACATATCACACCAACCCTGGGCCACGCCCCCAGAAGGCCACGCCCATCGTGGGTGACACGCCCACCAACATATCACACCCACCCTGGGCCACGCCCACCCTGGATGACACGCCCACCAAAATATCACACCCACCCCGGGCCACGCCCGCCCAGGAGGCCACGCCCATCGGGGGGATGACACGCCCACCAACACATCACACCCACCCTGGGCCACGCCCACCCTGGATGACACGCCCACCAAAATATCACACCCACCCCGGGCCACGCCCGCCCAGGAGGCCACGCCCATCGCGGGGATGACACGCCCACCAACACATCACACCCACCCTGGGCCACGCCCACCGCCCCGCCCACACGAGGGCCACGCCCACCCGGAGCCACGCCCCCGCAGAGGGCCGCCCCTTACAGAGCGAGGTCTCGTGGCTGATGTTCTCGAAGAGGATGTTCAAGGTCTGCAGCAGCTGCACGCACACGTAGCGGCCCGACTTCTGCCGCAGGATGTTCAGGAAGAAGACGAACATGTTCTTCTCCAGGAAGAAGCTGGGGGCGGCAGGGGGCGGCGTCAGGGGTCATCTTCCCTCCCCATGAGGAAGCCCCGAGCACTGGTGGCCCCTGAGCCCACCCATCGGCCTGACCGCTCGTCCCCCTCGGTACTGCCCCCGCCCCACCGCCGCCCCCGGCCTTGCTCCCCGGGCCATCCAGAGAGCGTCGGTTCCCTTGCAGGTTCGTAGCTGCCGGTCTGGAAGGGAAAAGGAGCCAGCGGGGTGGGCGCTGGCTGGCCCCCCAGGATGGCTGCTCTCCTGTCTAGGGGACAGCACTCTGGAGGTGCAGCCATCTCTGCGCTGTGGACAGGAGGTGGCAGTCCCTGTGCCCTTCCTCATAGGCAACCCTCGTCATTTCTGCTTCCACGGGCTCATGGGCGGACTGAGGTGAGCCCTGTCCACTGCTCGACTGTCCACACAGCTGTAGCCGGGTCTGCCGGCACCCTGGGGCAGGGTCATGGGTCTGGCACTTGCTCATAACTGGCACCTGCAAACTCCCATGTGACTCCGGGCAGGGGGAGGAAGAGAAACAACCTGAAGACGAAAGAAACCCCCCCCATACCTCGTCCAGCTCTCCCCCTCTCCCCCTAGAGCTGTGTCTAGTGATCTGTGCTGCCCACAGCACCCACACAGCCTGCGGAAGTGCCAGTCCCTGGGTCCTGTGCAGGATCGACGGAAATCAGTGCAAAATCCAGGAGCCTGGATTTTAAAGCACACCCAGGGAACTCGGGAATTCCGCGGGGGGAAGTGGCTGATTCTGGGGCAAGGGCAGGGCAACACGAGATGGCACAGAAGTCAGGGTGCGAGTGTGCCTGTGCCAACCTGGATGTGACCCCAGCACCACAGCTGTTCCCACGGTCAGTCCCGGCGGGGCCCTGGGGACCATGTGCGGGGCTCACAATCGAGCCCAGGTGCAAGGCAAGCCCCCTACCTGCTGTGCTATCTTTCCAGCCCCCTGAGTTTCTTTTTTTGGGGGGGGTCGCACCCGGCGATGCACAGGGGTTCCTCCTGGCTCTGCACTCAGGAATGACTCCTGGCGGTGCTCAGGGGACCATATGGGATGCTGGGAATCGAACCCGGGTTGGCTGCGTGCAAGGCAAACGCCCTGCCTGCTGTGCTCTCTCTCCAGCCCCGAGTTTCTCATTTTTAAGTCCAGTGACCTTTTCCATTTCAAAACAGATTGCCAACAAAACCCACCCACAAGGGACCCCCAAGAAGCCCGACCGGCTTCCTGAGAACACGGGCGCAGGCTGGCCCGGAGCGCACGTCCGCTCTTTACCTTCGGAACCAAGGAAAATGTGGGGTTGTCAGGAAAGGCGTCACCCCAGACCACGGGGTCCAGGCCCCCCTCCGGAGCCCCCCCAGACAAGGCCACTCTCCGCCCCCTTAGATGGGCTTTGCCGAGAGCCTCAATACTCATCATTGACATTCTCTATAAAAACAGTATCTAGGGGTTGTCAGAACCCAAATCGTCCTGCAGAGAGACCTGAGGGGGTCCCGGGAAGGGGCTTCACGGGACAGTCCAAGAGCAACATCCTTTGTCACTGTTGTTCGGGGGCTACACCTGGCGTCGCTCTGGGCTTGCTCCTGGCTCTGTGCTCAGGCAACCCTGAGAGTACACCTGACCGCACTCGGCTCACCTCGGATGCAGGGCGGGGGGAAAAAACTGGTCCCTTGGGGCTCAGGGTCTGAGCACTGTTCCCCCCTCTGTCAGGGGGTGACCCAGCAGGAACCCCCGACCCCAGGCTAACTGAGAGATCTGCAGCTCCTGTAACTGTGGGCCTCAGTGGCACAGCCAGGGGGGGGTCCTTCCTGCACCCCCAGAACCTGCCCCCACCACGGCAGCTTCTCCCTCCTTGGGGTGGATCAGAGACACCCCCCACGCCCACCCCAGGAAAACCATCTCGGCTATTTTCAGATTTTTGTCCCCGCGCTCCCTGCCCTGCGCTCCCTCCTTCTCAGCTGCCTTCCCCGAGGGTCCCGGCAGGCAGAGACACAGGCTCGGCCCTTACTCAAACACGGAGCTGTCATTCTGGTCGCCCCAGATCAGGATCTCGGTGATGGAGCGAATGGTCTCCACCAGAAGGTTCCGGTTCTGCTCTGTCACGGTCGTGTTCTTGGTCAAAACATGGTACAGATACCTGCGGGGCCGGAGAGCAGAGAGGTTAGCGGAGGGTGGGACGGGCCAGGAAACCCGAGCCGAGCCGGGTCCAGCAACTGTGGGCGCCGTTCAGGGGGCCAGCACGGTCTGGACATTCAGGTTCCCTTTCCCTCCGTCTCCCAGGCAGGCGAGACACGCCTCCGGGGCCAAGGAAGGGCCGGTGATGCTGGGGCCATGAAAGAGCCCGGAAGCGCCCGCCCAGATGGAAGCAGAAGCATCGCCGGCCCCTCGCAGGCCACCATCCTCGAACCCAGGTGAGCCAGAGAACGTCTGGGTTACCGTGCTCCCTCCCCCAGTCTGTCACATCCCCCCACTATTCGGACGGAGAGGACAGCAGGGCTCAGGAGCAGAAGCAGAGGCAGAGACGGGCAGGTGGGCAGCGCCCCAAGGCCACAGCTGGGGCTCCTGCCGCCCCACCCAGCACAGCGCCCGTCGGCACTGAGGGCTCCCAGGAAGCAGGCAGCCCACAGACGCCACCTCTGCTGAGATTCAGTCTCTGGGGATTCGGAATCTCCAGGGCTGTGAGGTGCCATCCAAGGGGTCCCACCGTCCTGCGGTCTCCCGGTTCCCTTTGCTCGGCCGGCTGGGAACGTGGCAGTACCGCACGGGGGTCTGCACGGGAGTCTTGCAGAGTGGTGGCTGGTGGGGCTGAGGGACTTCCTTCTCTGGTTACCCCGGAAGCCTCCTGTTTGGGGGCCACACCCGACAGTGCTCGGGGGTCGCTCCAGGCTGTGCTTGGGTCTAACCAGAGGCTCTGCCATGCACAGCGAGAGCTCAGCCCGAGTGGCTTCAAGACTTGCAGCGGAGCACTGTCGAGGCAGCTGTTTGGGGGCGCTCAGGATCTGAGAACGGGGATCCTTCCCATCTCCCCCTGGCGGGAAACACATCTGGCTCCTCGTTCTCTCTGTACAGCGGCTGGTCTCTGATGCCTGGACCCCAATGGCGATTCCGCCCAGGTAACCAGTCTTCCCCTCAGAGAGCGTTCTTTGCTTCAAATGTAAGAAATCCCTATCTCCAAGGTTGTGAAGAAAGGATGTTTCCTTTTTTTCTTTTATCTTTATTTTTCTGGCTTTTTTTTGGGGGGGGGGGTCACACCCAGTGATGCTCAGGGGTTACTCCTGGCTCTGCACTCAGGAATTACTCCTGGTGGTGCTGGGGGATCCTATGGGATGCTGGGAATCAGACCCGGGCCAGTCGTGTGTAAGGCAAACACCCTCCCCACTGCAGTATCGCTCTGACCCCGTTTTCTTATTTGATTTGGTTTTTTTTTTTTCAAGTTGCACCCAGCAATGCTCAGGGGGTTCCTCCTGGCTCTGCACTCAGGAATCACTCCTGGCAGTCTCGGGGGACCCTATGGGATGCCAGGAATCGTACCCAGGTCGGTCACATGCAAGGCAAATGCCCTCCCCGCTGTGCTCTCACTCTAACCCCAGTTTTCTTATTTGAAAGCAGCAGCTGCTTTTCCCTTCACATGACCCAGTGTCCCGGCAGCTGGTTTCCCTGCGGTCTGAGGCACCGGCCCAAACTCTGCCAGTGGACTCCACCTCAGGGGCCAACAAGGGACCGACAAGGCCGTTTCCCCAGTGCCCGTCAGTGTCACCGTGGCCGTAGGTGGCCTCCCACCCGTCTGCATGTGACAGCCCCGTGCCATCAGCTGAGCACAGCTGCTGCAACACGCAAGCCCCCCAGCCCTTCCTTCCAGTTCTCTCCCGATCCCAGGGGCGGCGCTGGACCCTTTGCTTTCCATGTCGATTTAAAAATCACCTTCTCCGGGGCTGGAGCAAGAGCCCAGCGGGGAGGGCGTTTTGCCTTGCAGGCGGCCGACCCGGGTTCGATTCCCAGCATCCTGTAGGGGCCCCTGAGCACGGTCAGGCGTAATTCCTGAGTGCATGAACCAGGAGTAACCCCGGTGCATCACTGGGTGTGACCCAAAAAGCAAAAAAAATACATAAATAAAATAAAAATCACCTTCTCCATCCCCAGAGAGATGCCGGCGAGGATTTCCTCTCAGGCTGCCCTGGTTCGGGAGGAGTGACACAGCAGGGGGGCTCACCCGGCTGATTTCTAGGGAGCAGGGGTGGCTCCCTCGTGAGGATGCCCGGGGGTCGGGGGGCTGAGATACTCAGCACAGACCCCACGTGCGCTCTCCGGGTCTGCCCTGCTTCCTGGGGGCCGGCTCATCACTCAGGACCCCGATGCCCTGGCTCTGGGTAGGGCCCAGGAAAGAATGCCGGACGGATTCACGTTCAAGGTCTGAACACTGCGCCCGAGTCCAGGGCTCCGCGAGGGCCAGAAACACAACTGCCCAGAGAGACCTTGACCACGTCCCCGTCGTAACCAAACACTCACTGGAGGCAGGCTGGACATTTCAACGGCCAAGAGCAACGGCGAGGGCTGGAGTGATAGCAGAGGGGATAGGACATTTACCCTGCACGCGGCCAACCCGGGTTCGATTCCCAGCATCCCATACGGTCCCTGAGCACACTGCCAGGAGTGATTCCTGAGCGTAGAGCCAGGAGTAACCCCCGAGCATCTCCAGGTATGACCCAAAAAGCAAAAAAAAAAAAAAAAAGAGCAACGGCGATGGTGCCTCACACCTGCCTGGAAGTACCCAATGCCTGCGGCCTGCGCTGGTTCCCTGGGTCTTTCCCTGGGCTGCGGGCGATCCAGGGTGCCGAGGGTCTGAGTCCCTTCCTGGGCCCACATTTTGCCCCACCTCCTGATGACATCAAAGCAGCCATGGCTCCTGTCACGACACCGATTCCCAGACACCTGCACGGCCACCAGGAGAAAAACTGCAGAGGTCTGCTCCGCCGACAGCGTCCCCACTCTAGGGAACATCGGGTTCCCCAAAGCAGGTGATGTCTCCCAAGGGCCACTGGAACCCTGGTGGGGCAGTGGCACAGGCTCTAGAATGACCCGAGGGGAGGGGAGGGGCGGGGCGCCTGTTTGTTGGCTTAGAGCCAGCAGATTGCCAGGGCAGCTCTGAGTCCTGTTAAGAAGCGGGCAGGTGGCCAAACACTCCGGGACACTCTGGTTTAGGGGGTCAGTAACGTGTGTGATCCCCAGCATGACGCAGCCCCCCACCCCCTGCCCCTGCCCTCCATTCTCCTGCCCCCGAGGCACTGCCAGGAGTGATTCCTGATAGCAGAGCCAGGAGTAAGCACGGCCAGGTGTGGCCTAAAAAGAAAACACGCAAAAAAAAAAAAATAGAAGTTGAAGAAGCAGAAGGCGGGCCCTGCTACGAGGCCATCCCAGTGCAAGGCTGGGCCGGTCTCTGAACTGGCCAAGGAGGCACAGTTCACTCCAGTGTGTGTGTGTGTGTTCAGGAATGGAACTCAGGACTCACGCATGCCAGTCCTGGGCGTGACCACTTGTACCACCTCTCAGGGCCCTGGGTTCACATTTTTATACCCTCCCGGGAACAGCTGCAGCCCCGGCTGTGAGAACCTGGGCAGTGCCTGCAGAACAACGCGCCCACCCACAAGAGCCTCCCGGCTCCCCGGCGGGTGAGTGCTCTGGGGTCCCAGAGGCAGGGCCCAGCCCAGAGTCCCACACCTCAGGGCATCTGACCCCAGATCCCAGGATTAGAGCCACTCTCCTGGACAAAAAAAAAAAAAGAAAAGAAAAAGAAAAAGCAGGGCTGGAGTAATAGCAGAGCGGGTAGGGCGTTTGCCTTGCATGCAGCTGACCCGGGTTCGATCCCCGGCATCCCCCGGGGTCCCCCTGGCACCGCCAGGAGTAATTCCTGAGTGCAGAGCTAGGAGTGACCCCTGAGCATCACTGGGTGTGACTCAAAAAGGAAAAAAAATGCAAACAATGTGGCCGATGCCAATGATGGCCACTCCCTGGCCTAAGGCTCGGCAGGCCTGACTGTAAGGAAACCAAATGGCCGTGAAAACCTGAGCCACAGGGGGACCCGGCTCCTGGCATCTCGGCAGGTCCCTTAATCCCTTATTGGAAACGCCGTCAGCGCATCCCGTGGTGCATCGAAGCCCCTGGAGGCTCATCGCCAAGTGACAGACTTTCCATGCCAGCACACCCTTAGCCCCTCTCTGCTCGGCAGACAGAGTGGAAGCTCGCAGGGCGCCCCCCGCAGGAAGACCCCAAAGCTCCTCCGCAGGCCAGAGTGAGGGGAAGAGCAGAGTGATGAGACCGGGGGACCATCCACCCGTCCACTCGGATCACCCTCAAATTACAGTGTCCTGCGCCCGCCCACACAGAACCCCAGCGGCTGGAAACCTCCACACTTCACAATCACCACCCAGCTCCCGGCCGGGCCCCAGGGCTCAGACGAGCCTCATCCCAAAATCGACTTGTTGAAAAACGCAGGGATGTGGGTTTTGTAACTGAAATCGCCAGGCTTTCACCGAGTCGGGGGTGGGCTACCTCCCGCTGTCTCCCTGTACTTCTTCCCAAAGCCCCGGCAGTCACATCCACACCCCAGAGCCATCAGCCGGTTCAATTTAACTCCAGGCATATCACCCCATTAAACCTTTTGGACACCCTGGGTCTCGACCCTCCAACACTGACAGACCAGGAGTGGCACACGGGATCGGATGGGCCGTGACGCAGAGGGTGACCAATCTCGATGACCAGATCGCAACACAGACAGCTCAGCCTCTGACATCTCAGTAAACTTAGATGAGGGCTTGCAGGCTCCGGGGTGAGACTCAAACCATCTTCACTAACTTTCTTCTACCGGAAACCTTTTTTGATCATCCTTTTAGCAAATTACCGAAAACAACATAAAATAAGTGACTTGAGGGCCTGCTAAGGGGATAGGCTTAAGGGGTGGTTGGGAAATTGGAAATAATGGTGGTGGGATTGGTGTAGGAAAATCGAATGTCTATAGCTGAACTGATGACTTAATAAAGTTATAAAAAAAAAAGTAACAGAGCCCAAGGGGTAGGGCAGAGGGGCTGCCACCCCCCAGAACTTCCCCGACGCGCCCTCACTTTGCACTGCAGAAACCTCCCCTGGCAAGTGGCCAGGCTGGCGGGCAGGATGAGGAATTGTGGGTCGGGAGGATGGCGGGCAGGAGCCCCAGATCAGCGGGAGGGTGTGCTCCCAGAGGGGCTTCTCCTAAGGTGTGACGCCGGCGCTGGGGCCCTCGGCGAGTCCTGGGATCCCGCCCCAGAAACGGCTGCTCCATCCCGTCTTCCGGGGACAGACGCTTCTGGATCCCCGACTCTGCCGGGCCCCACCAGGCCACGCGCGTGCTGAGAGACGCGGCAACACGTAACACAGTCAGACCACGGGGCACAGCACGAGGACGCGCCTGTACCGTCACCCCACGCGGGGCAAAGCGGGCGGGGCAGAGTGCCAGGGCCTGGAGCCGGTCTGACGGGGAAGAGACGGCCGTGGGCGCTGACAGGGTGCGCAGGGACCCATGAGTCACGCCGAGGGGGGGGGTTCCCGGCTGCCATCAGCAGGGCCGTCTCAGGGCAGAGCCACGCTTTAAGGACCCAGGCGGGCACCATGGGTAGGAAGAGGCAAGAGCTGAGAAGCAGCTGGCAGGTGGCGAGGTAGCACCACGCGCCCCCCAGCAACACCCCGCCACTCCGTGTCCCCGCTCTGGGAGCAGGCGGACGCTGAAGCCCAGGCCAGGAACATCAGCGCTCACTCTAACGCCGGGGGGTGTCGTGGGCGGGTCCCTGGGGAGCCCACTCTTCCTCATCCTCTGTCCACTAGAGCCGGTGGCCCGGAGAGACCACCCTGGGTTCAGCTGGCTCGGGGGAAGGTGGGGGCAGCTGGAGGCCCCCAGCACCCCAGAGCGGAGGGACCAGGGCAGCCCTCAAGGACAGGGCCAGACCTTCCTCCTGGGGATCAGGCCAGCCCAGGTGGGTCTCTGGCCCTTTCCTGCCCTGACAGAAACGCGACAGAACCCAGGGCACAGCGGGAGCCCGCAGAAGTGGTCCTGGGGGCGCAGGTCTGGCTGGGCAGAGGCCATGTGTCCTGTGCCCCCAGCACACCGGGGGTGCCGGTGCCTGGATGCTTCCTCATCAGGAGCTGGGGGGCACCGTCCCCCGCAGCCCAGCAGCGGGAGGCTGAGCAGGAAGAGAGCTTCCTAGCTGACAGCTGCAATGAGATGCAGGATTCTGCGATCCCAAAAGGGCTCCCGGCACCTCATTATCTTCTCCATTTTTCTGTGACTCTCAAATTGTGCTTAAAAAAAAAAAAAAATATATATATATATATGTGTGTGTGTGTGTGTGTGTGTCTATTTTTAAAAGGGGGGAAGGTTCCCGGGTTCCCGGATCCTTTCGTGTGCTACACACACACACACACACACACCAAGGTGTTTCTCAATTCTGTGAAATACCTCGATCACTCCTCACCTCCACAACACCATGGGTCAGAGCGTACCAGAACTCTAATACCAGAACTGTGGCATCAAAACAGTGGCACTGGCACCGTGGCACCAGAAGTGTGGTACTGGAACCGTGACGCTCTCCCAACCTGTACCACGGACCAGGGCTCTCGCAGTCCAGCACTGACAGTCCCTGAATCCCTGGAGCACTGGACAGTCATCGTGTCCCTCCCGCTCCCTCCCCCCCCCACTGCCTGCTCCGGGGCGCCTCCTAGGAACCCGCCCAAGGTCCCCACGGGAGCCGTGGCTGTGTGACCATCCGGGCGGTCTCACCCCTCAGCCACGTCTCCTGCCCTACCTACACACTCCCTGGGGCAGGGGCTGCCTGGCACCCGCAGACCCAAGGCCTGCGACGGTGACGGCAGAGCTGCGGCCACTCACTACCTACGGCCTCCCCCCCACCCCCCACGCCAACACGCGAACCGCCGAGTTCCTGAGGCTCTAACGAGTCTGGTCTGCCTGACCCACACACACAGTTCAGGTTTCCGCAAAGTCCCAAGGGCCACTGGCAGAGGACACGATGGACCCTAATGGACACACAGCAGCTCTGAGGCAGAGACGCCCCCACCAGTCCCCCCAGGCTGGGGAGGAAGGGGTCCTTTATTTCTCTATTTATTTTGCTTTTTGGGTCACACCCAGCGGTGCTCAGGAGTCACTCCTGGTGGAGCTCGGGGGACCTGGGAATCAAACCCTGGTTGGCCACGTGCAAGGCAAACGCCCTGCCCACCGTGCGATCGCGCCAGCCCCGGAGGCTGCTGTCCTTCAAAGGCCGGGGTATCCAGACCCACTTTCAGCAGTCCACCCGACACACACACACCCTTGGGACACGCAAATTCGACCCCAAAGCTCAGTGTCCGGAAAGACACGGCCAAGAGTCTCCCCGACACCCAGCCAGGGGAGGCCAAAAAACGCACTCAAGAGACGCCCAGGTAATGAGAAAAGGGCCCGGGAGGAAGGAAGTGGCAGGTAGCCAGAGGCTGGCCCCAGGCCTGGGGGGTGACACGGTGACACGCCGCTCCCTCTCCCGGCCACCTGCCCCGCACATTCCAGCGGCCCCACACCCCCACCCCGCGCCCTGGGCAGCCTCCTCCCCGGGACGGTCATCTGTACCCCCGAACCGATCCTCTGCACGTGGCCAGCCCCAGACCCCACTGGCGGAGATGCTCCCACCTGGGGTAAGGCCCCCTGCTCCAGGCCAGAGGGGTCCGGGGTGGACACGCAGGAGAACCCCCAAGGAGCGCTCAGGGGGGCTGCATCTGCCCCCTCTCCCGGGGGTCCTGCAGGAGCCCCCTCCCGGAGCCGGTCCAGCCACCCCTCAGCACCCCAGGCCTGCCTGCAGCCCCCTCCCCGACCCTCGGCACCCTCAAGTCCCCATCCCGGGCCCTGCTGGACCCCGTCTGCAGGCTCAGGCTCTGCACCTCGCCCCCCCACTCGGCCGCCTCCTTGACTCCTGGGGGACCCGCAGGGCCCTGGGCACGGGGGCCCGGGCCCCCTCCCAGCAGAGAGGCGGGAGCCAGTGGGACCCCGGGGTGCCGGAAGAGGAAGCCCCCGGGGGGACGCGCTGTGGCCGGGGGGGACCTGCCCGGCCGGACCCACGAGCGACCCGGGCCGGGGTCTGACCCGCGGGGGGGGGGCGGGGAGGGCAGCTGCGAGGGGGTCCGCGGCGGGACCCCGGCCCCGCCCCCCGGCCCCGTCTCTGGGGCGCCCCCCGGGCCCCCTGCCACCCTCGGACCCGGCTCCAGGCCCCTGCCCGCCCCCTCCCCCCCGCCCCGCGCCCCCGCCCGCGCTCACTTGAGGTGGTCCAGGGAGTGGATGTTGCGGGACGACCGGCCGGGGCCCCCGCCCACCCAGCTCCGCGAGCGGCCGAACATGGCGGCCCGGGGCCGGGCGGCGGGTCCAGCCCAGGGGGCAGCGGCCCGAGGGGCGCCCAGGCAGCGCCGAGCAGCAGCGTCCACCCGGGCCCGCGGCCCCGCACTGACATTCAGCCGGAACCGGCCGTTGCGCCGCCCGCCGCGCTTGACGGCCGCCGCCGCCGCGCTTGACGGCCGCCGCCGCCGCGGGGGCCGCCGGGAGTTGGAGTCCGGCCGCGAGGCGCCGGCCCGCGGGACTCCGCGCGGGGACTACAAGTCCCGGCGTGCCCCGCGCGGGGGCGGGGGCGGGGCCGGAGGCGGCGAGTCCGCGGTCCCGGGAACTTCGGGCGGGGCGGGGGCAGGGCGGGGGCCGGGCGGAGGGCGGGGCGGGCGCGAGTCGCGACCCCCTCGGAGAGTGGAAGTGAAGGAGGATCGCTCGGCGGGCCTGGGGGGTCGCCCCGAGGGCCGGGGCGCCTTCCCTGCGTGCACGGGACCCGGGTTGCCTCCCCGCCGCCGCAGTCCAGCGAGCGAGCAGCGCAGGGGACAGTCCTCGGGCCCGGGAGCCCCGGGGAGCCACCCCCCACCCCCTTGAAAAACAGCTTTTGCAGGGGCCGGGGAGATGGGACAGCGAGGAGGACGTATGCGTTGCAGGATTGACCCCTGAGCGCAGAGCCGGGAGGGAGCAAGCCCTAAGCACTCCTGGGTACAGCCCCCCTCCCCCCATCAAATAATAATAATAATAATTAATAATAAATAATAAAGGCCCTCCCGTTGATCGTCGATTTGCTCGAGCGGGCCCAGTAACGGCTCCATTGGAGACTTTGTTGTTACTGTGTCTGGCATATCGAATACTCTCGGTAGCTTGCCGGGCTCTCCGCATCAAATAAATAAATAAAAATAAAGCTGATTTTTATCCTAGGAGCTGAAAAGACGCAGCTTGTGTATGACGCATTACTCTGTGACGCTGACCTAAGCACTTGATACTATAAGGCTGCATGATTCCCACTGACTGAGGAACTATTACTGCTTTCCCCATTTACCAGGACCGAATCACACTGCGATTGATTTGTTCAAGATCTTGCACTTCTGCTCCAGCACCCTTATTTTTATCTTTCACTAGGCCACACTGCACCAAATCAGACTTTTTGTCCTTGCGCTCTGTTCCGTCCCCCCCCCCATTAAAAAATAAATATTGGGACAGGGATATGTGAGGCCCAGAGTTTGCTTCTTGTCAATAAGTGAATATTGTAAGAAATGTCCCCAAAGGTATATTCTGTTCTCCCAAGGGATTTTTCTTTCAGGGAGTCTTCACCCCAAGCCCATGCCACTCCCATTTTGTTTGTTTTGTTTGGGGGCCATACCTGGTGGTGCTCAGGGCTTACCCCTGGCTCTGCGCTCACAGATCATTCCTGGAGGAATCAGGATGATATGGGGTATCAGGGATTGAACCCAGGTTGCCATGTGCAAGGCAGAATCCATGATAGTGTGACTCCAGCCCCAGTGCCTATCACTTCTAAGAAGGAAGGAAGGAAGGAAGGAAGGAAGGAAGGAAGGAAGGAAGGGAGGGAGGGAGGGAAGGAACAAGGAAGGAAGAAAAGGAAGGAAGGAAGGAAGGAAGGAAGGAAGGAAGGAAGGAAGGAAACGTCTTAACATACCCAAAGTTTCTTATATAAGTCGAGAAGATTCAGGCATATTTCTTTCTTAGATGAGGAGAGGGAAACGGTGACAGTACAACTACCTGTTTATCATTTATTTGCTCATTCATTTCTATATCTCATAGTTATCCAAGAATGCTGAGTCCTGTGACCTGGGCTCAGGACAAAACAGGTGCCAATGTGCCCTAGCCCATGTCTTGGTGCTTAACAGGTGTTCAGCAAAGTGAATGAATGAACTCCAGTCTGCCCCACCACCAGCAGGCAGATGGGAGAGAGAGAACTTAGTGGAATTTAATGGCTTGTGCTAAAATTCAGCTACAGTGACAAAAGAGAAAGGTTCTAGCCTGGGAATATATATATACATGCGCAGGTCCACCAGCTGCTAGGCTTTTGCCATTGGTCTCGGTCTCTTTTTGCCCCTATCTATAAAATCAACGCCCTGTGGCACTCCACTAAAGCGAAACGTGTCATGCCCCCAATGTTGTGTGGTCTGAGATGTAAAATTCGTTCACCTGCTTTGAAAAGTGCTTTGCACAAGATCAGCCTCCAGAGAGATGTTCTCGGGTAGCCCAGAAAGAGGGAAGAGGAGGAGGGGACACAGGCTTCTCTGCGTCCTTCTCGGTCGTTGGTTTGACCGCCTGCGCGTTTATTCTTCGACGATGTGGCTTACCGAGTTGGGAGTTGTTTTTTGGGTTTTGTGGTTTTGTCTTGCTTTTAAGATCTGGGGCGTGATTCGGTGGTAGAATCGCATTTATCTTCCTTGTGCTCTGGGTTGGATCCCTACACTGCAGCGATCAGTGAGAATAATAATATGAAGAACAGGGAAACAAAAGCAGCCTGGTGCCGGCCGTCCGGCTTTATTTTATTTTTACTGGTAAACTGAGTCCCAAGCGGGGCCTTCCCCTCAAGTCCCTGCTGGAAGGTGCAGTGACCGGGGCGGTCTCGGGAGTAGTTTTCCACCCGGCCGACTCGGGCGCGGCAGGGGGCGGTTTCCCCAGAGCCAATCAGGCTTGAGAGGGGCGGAGCGCCGAACCCGGAAAGCGGCTCCGAGGCCCGCCCCTCGGGCAGGCGCGGGCCAATGGCCGCACGCCGGGCCCCGCCCCCCCAACCGCGGCGAGGTGGGCCCCGCCCTCAGGAAGGCGCGGGCCAATGGCCGCGCGCCGGGCCCCGCCCACACCCCCCACAAACCGCGGTGAGGTGGGCCCCGCCCTCGGGCAGGCGCGGGCCAATGGCGGCGGAGGCGGACCCCGCCCTCGGGAAGACGCGGGCCAATGGCCGCGCGCCGGGCCCCGCCCCCCCCACCGCGGCGAGGTGGGCCCCGCCCTCAGGAAGGCGCGGGCCAATGGCCGTGCGCCGGGCCCCGCCCACACCCCCCCCCAAACCGCGGCGAGGTGGGCCCCGCCCTCGGGCAAGCGCGGGCCAATGGCGGCGGAGGCGGACCCCGCCCTCGGGAAGACGCGGGCCAATGGCCGCGCGCCGGGCCCCGCCCCCCGCCCCCACCGCCCCACCGCCCTTGGGGCCGGGCCAATGGCCGCGCGCCGGGCCCCGCCCCCCCACCGCGGCGAGGTGGGCCCCGCCCTCAGGAAGGCGCGGGCCAATGGCCGCGCGCCGGGCCCCGCCCCCCCCACCGCGGCGAGGTGGGCCCGCCCTCAGGAAGGCGCGGGCCAATGGCCGCGCGCCGGGCCCCGCCCCCCTCCACCGCGGCGAGGTGGGCCCCGCCCTCAGGAAGGCTCGGGCCAATGGCCGCGCGCCGGGCCCCGCCCCTCCCACCGCCCCGGGGCCCGGGCCAATGAGCGCGCCCGCCGAGCGGGCCAATGGGCGCGGGGGAGGCGGCCCCGGAGGCGGGGCCGGGAGCCACGCCCCGCCCCCGCCCCGCCCCGCGGGCGACGCGGCGGCCAGCGGCGCTGGGCGCTGGGCCTGCGGGGCTGCGCGGGGGGCTCGAGGACCGGCCGCCGCGGGCCGGAGGCGCCGCCGCCGCCGCCGCCGCCGCCGCCGCCCGGACGGACCCTCGACGCTGAGCGGCGCCGCGCTCCCCGCCGGAGCTGCCAGGGCCCGCGAGCGCGCGCCGGGAGCCCGGGGCCGCCGGCCGCCGCCGGTCACTCGGGCGGCCGGAGCGCGACCCCCGGGGCGGCCGAGCGGCGGGGCCGGCGCGGGCGGCGGTGCGGGGTCCGGAGCGCCCTCCGCGGGGCCCGCGGCGGGCGGCCCCGGATGGGCGAGGGGCCCGCCGCCGCCCCCCGCACGCCCGGCGCCCGGGCCCGGCCCGCTGGACGCGCTGGCCCGGCCGCCCCCTCCTCTATGTTCTACGCGGGGCTGCTCTTCGTCAACGTGCTCATCCTCTACTACGCCTTCCTCATGGAGTACATCGCGCTCAACGTGGGCCTGGTCTTCCTGCCCGAGGACATGGACCAGGCGCTCGTGGACCTGGGCGTGCTCTCGGACCCCGGCGCGGGCCTCTACGAGACCGACTCGGAGCTGGACGCGCTGGACGGCCCCCTGGAGTAGCGGGACGGGCCCCGTGAGTGCGCGGGGCCGGGGGGCCGTCGGAGTCGGGGACCCCGGGACCCCCGGAGCCCCCCGGAGCCCCCGGCCCCCTGGGCGGGAAGCTCCTCCCCCTGCCGGGCCAGGCGCCGGGGGGTCGTGGGCTGCCCCTCCGGCCGGCCCCGCTCGGACCGGCTGATGGAAAAAGCCCTGGCGGGCGCCGCCGCTGGCCGCGGAGCCTTTGAAGGCGATGCCCGCAGCTCCTCCCCCGTCCCCAGCCCGGCCCGGGGGTGACCTTGGCATTTGGGGGGTGGCTGGACGGAGCCCGGCCGGTCCAGGGCTCCTGAGGGGCAGGGGACCGGGCTCGGACCCCCGCCCCTCCTCTGGCCTGTGCCCTCTGGGGACCCGGTGGGGGCCAGGCAGCGATGGGCAAGAACTCCTGCTCCCCTGGGCAGCTCCAGCCTGGGGGCGGGGGGGAGGGATGGGGGTCTGCCTTCGGCCCCCCCCCCAGGGTGGTACTGGGTCTGGCTTTGCCCACGGCATCCATGCCCCAGCCCAGGGTTGCGGGCTGGAAGGTTTTGGAGCTGGGATAGGAAGGAAGGCCCAGGCAGGAGAGGAACTTGCCAAGGAGAGAGACAGAGAGGGAGGGAGGGAGGGGGTGTGGGCAGGGCTCAGAGGGGCTCCTGGGCTGAGCCCCCCAGAGCTGCACAACGGGGAGGATCCTGGCGCAGCCGTGAGGGCCCCCTTTGGAAAACAGGCTCCCACCGTCCCCCCTCCAGGCCACCCCAGCACGCCCCTGCCTTCCCCTGCCAAGGGGGCCACAGTCAGGGCCAGGTGGGGCAGGGTGGGACCAGCTGGCCGTGGTCTTGGGGGTGGGGGGGCCCACGGAGGAGGTTTTCTTAAGGAGAACCAGATCCGAGCTTGGCTGAGGAGTTTTGGCAAGAGGCACAAACAGGCCGGGCTGCAGCCCGCCCCGAGCCAGCCCTGCCGCGGACGGTGGGTGCGGAGTTTCCGGGGTGGGGGTGGGGAGAAGGATGCTTGCAGAGTCAGACAAGTGGAGTGACCAGGAAGGACCACAGAGCCTGGGGTGCCGTGAAGACCCCAAAGGAGGACGGGGCGCCCCCTGGTCTGTTCCCTGAACGGTGCCTGGTGCCCAGAGGGGCCTGTGAAGGGCTTGGGACCAGCAGAAGAGAGGAACGGAGCTGGGCTGCTTTGGCTGGGCGGCTGGAGACGGTGCACCCCAGCCTTGGCAGGGGGCACCAGAAACACAGGCGGAGTCGCCCGTGTGGGGGGGGGCTCTAGGAAGACCCCAAGAGAGGTGGGAGGCCACAGTGCGAGGCGGGGGCAGCCCCATTCACTTCCCCCTCGGTGGAGATGGCTGTGGGCAGAACACTTGGGCCAGGCCGGCTCGGGACTGTTCATTTGTCCTGCCCGGCGGGACACGAGGCCAGCAGGAGGCCAGTTCGCCCAGGGGGAGAAGCCCCTTCTGAGCCCATGGGCCTCTGGGAGCCCTTCAGAGCCATCCCAGGTCTCGATCCAACTCGCGCCCTGGAGAGTAAGTCCCCGCAAGGCGCACCTGGCCCTCACCAGGACCGGGTGGGTGGTCTGCTCCGTCATCCCTTCCAGCTGAGCCCACACGCTGGCCGCGAGCACTGAGCACTGAGCACTGAGCGGATACAGGAGGCGTGTCTCAGGGGCACCCTGGCACGGGGCCAGGCCTGTGGTCTGTGCTTCCCTTGCCGCGGGCTGGCAGGTCATGCTTTTGCTCCCTCCTCCTTCCGCAGACACGCTCATGTGACATACCCGTGTGCCCCACAAAGCCGGGCCAGGAAGCGCCTGCCCGGAGGGGGTGGGGTGCCCTGGCTGTGGGCAGGGTGGCGCAGGGGACACCGCCAGCTCCCACCCGCGCGACTCAGTTCCTGGGGGAGGCAAGACTGATTGGCATCGTTCCCGGTGGCAGCCCCCGTCCCAGGGTGACCTGGGCCTGGGCCTCCCTGTGCTTCTGTCTCCCTCCCGGCGATGCTCAGGGGTTCCTCCTGGCTCTGCACTCAGGACTCTCTCCTGGCGGTGCTCGGGGGGCCCCTCGGGGGTGCCGGGGATCGAACCAGCTCAGCCATGCGCAGGGCAAGCGCCCTCCCCGCGGTGCTACCACTCCAGCCCCAGGTGTCCCCCTCTCTAAAGCAACCCCCCCAACACACACGTACACGTGCTGGGTCCTTGCAGAGCCCCGGCTCTGAGCTTTTCTGGTCATTGTTGCAGGAAGCAGGAGTGGGGCCGGCCGCCCCCTTCTCAGGAGCAGGTCACGGTACCAGCCGGGGAGCCTTAAGCCAGGCAGGTCGCTCGGCTGGGTTGATTGGTCCCAGTGCCTGATGCAAGCCGCCGCTGCCTGCCAGCCTCCCCTGGCACCGGGGCCGGGCACGGGGAGGGAGCCAGGCTCCTCCGGGCCAGAGACAGGAGACGGCGGGTGGCAGTGGCAGCGTGGCCTGGGGGCACCACGTGTGGCGCTGAGGGTCCCCAGACCCACCTTCCCGGGTCACCCGTGCCGTCAGCTGGACGTGTCCCTGCCCTGCTCCAAACCTTCATGGGTTCGGGGGGGCGGGCAGGTTGTTGTGGAAGTGGGGTTGGGGGTTAGGGCATCATCCAGGTGAGAGGTGACCCCCACAGGCCACTGGCTGCCCCCCTATTATTTTTGTTGTTGTTGTTTTTTGCTTTTTGGATCACACCCAGCAATGCTCAGGGGTCGCTCCTGGCTCTGCACTCAGGAGTTACTCCTGGCAGTGCTTGGGGGACCCTATGGGATTCTAGGAATCGAACCCGGGTCGGCCACGTACAAGGCAAACGCCCTCCCTGCTGTGCTATCGCTCCAGCCCCCCAAGCGCCCATCTCTACTGTGAGATCTCTCCATCGTCATAGAAAGATTCCCCGCTGAGCGCCGCAGTTTCTGGGGAGAGCCGGCAAAGGAACCGCCCCCCCGACCCCCCGCTTGCTCACACGTGCCCACCCGTGTTGGTGTCTGTGGCACACACGGGCTGGTGCAGCTTCAGTGGGTCTGTGTCGGCCAGTGCGGCCGTTCCCGTGGCAGGTGCCTTGGAGAGGGTGAGTTTCGGTGTGGGGCGTGTGTTGCAGTCAGCCGGACATTTCAGTGGCTGCTGCCTTCTTCCCCCTCGGGACCTTCAGCCTCGAAGTTGGGAGATTCCACCCTCAGAGCCACTGGCCTCGGGTGGACAGTCCCCCCACAGCAGCTTCCCCACGGTGCCCTTTTGTGAGGGCCCTCCACAGGGGACGGGGTCCTGGACAGAATCCTGCCACCCTGTGCACGGTGGCCACTCCCCTCCCAGTGGTACACTTTGATCTTTGATCTTTGATCCCTGCCACCCCGGAGGGTCCCCCGAGCCCTGCCAAGAGTGAGCCCTGAGCACAGAGCCAGGAATAAGTCCTCGCTCTCTCTCTCTCTCTCCCCGGGCACTCTCTTGCCCTCTCTCCCTTCAGAGCTAAGGCTGCTGGCTCTAGTGTTTTGCTTTCTGAAATTCTACCTTCTCTGTGAATGCAGTTTTCATTTTTCGGAGGGGGAAGGGAGGGCGCCACGTCCATCAGTGCTTAAGGGACCATCTGTGGCATGGGGGCGAAGCCCAGTGGGGTCAGCTGCCTGCAAGTTGCCCACTGTCAAGTTGCCCACGGTCCTATCTCCCCGAGCCCTTTGGACGCGAGTTTCTGTCTCTGGAAAGGTAAACCCGCGTGCCCGGACGTGGATAAAAATAGTAAGTTCCGAAGCCATTAGCTTCGGCCAGACCACGACCGGCCACTGAAGCCCAGGGACTTGGGCTGCGGATCCCAGTTCCAACGAGGGCTGAGGGCCAGAGTAGGGGTAGGCGGGGAGGGCATCTGCCTGGCATGTGGCAGAGCTGGGTTTGATCCCTGCCACCCCGGAGGGTCCCCCGAGCCCTGCCAAGAGTGAGCCCTGAGCACAGAGCCAGGAATAAGTCCTGAGCACCTCGGGGTGTGCCCCCCACCCACACACACACAAAGGGAAGCTGATGCGGGGGTGGGACAGGGAGTCTCGGCGTGACCGAGGACCGGAAATGTCCCCACTCTGGCTCCGTCACCCTCACTGTTTAAGGTTCTCCTCTGCCCAGCCCCTAAACCTGCCACCCGAGGCTTGCTAGTCGGACTGCCACGACCCTCAGTGCCAGCTGCACCCACACCTTGGACAGGAGGCACCACCCCCAGCCTCAGTTTCCTCTCTGGGAGCCTGGTGCCAGCCCGTGACGGGAAGGCAGATGGACACCACCCTTCTGGGGAGCAGCAGTGACGCTGAGGGCCGGTCAGATGGGGGAGGCAGCCTTCCTCCTCCTCCCCGGGGCCTGCTGTCCTGGGGGCGTCTACGCGGGCGGGCAGCGTCCCAGAGACTGACGCGGAGTCCTCCCTGAGTCCTCCCTCAGGGTGCTGCAGCCCAAGCTTGGGGGTGCTGGGGACCGTTTCCGCCCCCCCCCCGGGCGGGCCCCATTCCTGAGATTCCTGCCTTGTGGGGTGTCGGAAATGGCCGCCCCGCCCCGGCATCACCCTGGCTTCCCCTGAGCGTCACCCCGGGAAGCAGGCCGGGAGCGAGGCACCAACACACCCCAGGGGCCTCTGCAGGTCCCAGGCTGCCGCCCCTGGGAGGCCTGGGCTGGACCCGGGCCTCGCCCCCACCCCCACACAGCCCGGCCAGGTCAGGAGCCTGGGCCCAGGCAGGGAGCAGGAGGAAGGTGCCCGAAGGTGCCCACCGTACCCTGCCAGCCCCAGCTTGCATGAGGAGCCCCGAGGGAACGAAACTTCATCCAGAGACCCCCCCCCCCCACCTCCAGCCTGGCCAGTCCTGCCCCCGCACCTCCTCCCCGTCAGAGGCAGCTGCTTCCTCGCTGGCCACCTCTGCACTCCCGACGGTCATCTCGGGGACAGCCCAGAGTCCCTATCCGGCCCGCAGTCCCACCCAAAGATGGGAAGTGGGGAGGGGCAGAGGACCCAGTGCTGGTGGCCCCAGCCCCAGTCTCTGGGGGCTTTGGACACCCCCTGGGACCGAGATGAACCGCGGAGGCGGGGTCCTTAAAACTTTGGGCCCAGGGGCTAGAGGAATGGCACAGCAGAGAGGGCGTTGGCCTTACATGCGGCCAACCCGGGTTCGATTCCCAGCATCCCATGAGGTCCCCCGAGCACCACCAGGGGTAATTCCTGAGTGCAGAGCCAGGAGGAACCCCTGAGCATCGCCGGGGTCCCCAGCACCCCCAAGCTTGGGTGCGGCACCCCGAGGGAGGACTCAGGGAGCACTCGGGAGGACTCAGCGTCAGTCTCTGGGACGCTGCCCGTGTAGACGCCCCCAGGAAAGAGAAGCTGTTCTTGGGAACAGAAGCAGCCGGGCACCTGCTGGTGCCGGTGCACACGGAGCCTGCGAGGGAGTGGGCCGCTGACCCGACCTCAGCCGAGTGGAAAGCCGGGCAGAGACGGGGTCTGCCAGGCCCCAAGACCGAGACATGGCTGTGCCCAGCCGGGGTGCTGCCAGGGGGCCCGACCTGCCGCTCTGCCTCGGCCACGGGGCTCGCGGAGGCCGTGCTGGCCCCTGGGCAGTGGGACAGTGGGCTGGGGCGTTCCCCGAGGCTGGTGGCAGACCCCACACATTAGAGGTTGTCCTGGCCGCGGGTGGGACCTGTTCGGGTCCCAAGGGAGGCCTGGCAGAGATTAGACTCTGCGGGCCAGGAAGGGGCTCCGAACTGGGGCTGGGTTTGCAGGAACCGGGCCAGAGGCACCCCCCCACCCCACCTGCACACAGAGACGGGAACTGGGGTTCCTGGTGGCCAGAACCAGGGGGTGCTGCTGGCCACGGGCTTCCTAGGGGCTGTGGCGCCTTTTCTGGGTGAGCGCAGGGGACCCCGGAGTGCTTCTCCGCTCGGCCAGCCCAGGGCCTTAAGGAATAAGACAAATTGAGTTTAAAAAAAATAAAAAAAGAGGAAGGATCGTGAATAAAAATGATAGGAATGTCTCCAGCCTGGGGTCCCCAAGAGGGAGAGTCCCCCTGTAGAGTGTTCTGAGGCCTGGGGCCGGGACCCCTGCCCCGACACAATGGCAAGTGGGCCTCTCAGTGTGTCCATCCCAGTAACGCTCCCTCTGCTCCTCCTCCCCAGGCCCGCTCTCCTCAAAAGCTTTGTGCCAACAGAGGGGCTCCTGTCCGGACCCCAGAGCCGGGGACAGAGACGCGGAGACTGAGAGCCCCTGTCGGGGTGGCCGGGCTCCGCTGGGGCCGCCCCAAGACCTCCCCTGCCGCCCGCGCCTCCAGCCCGGACCCGCCCTGCCGCCCATGGATGTTTACAGGCCCCCGCCGGCCCCCCCTGCACCTGCTCTGTCCACTTCGCCTCCGAGAGGACTTGCCAAGCCGGGGGACGCCTCCCCCCCCGCCCCACGCCAAGCCACTCCCAGCCATGTTTGATGCCAGGGCCAGCCCGGGCTGGCAGCCACCCACCCCGCCAGCCTCGAGACCCAGGGGACAGCTGAGAAGAAGCGGGTGGGCATCTCGGGTGGGGTGTCCTTCAGTTCAGACCTCGGTGTCGCCTCCGGCCCACCTCCCCGGCCACTGCCCCCCTGCCTGGGAGGGCCCAGGAGACTGGAGGGGCACGCAGATACTTGACTCTGTAAAGCAATACTGACGGGGCACCTCTTCATTAAAGAGCATATGCAACTCACGGCCGCCTCTTCTGCCTGGGGCCTGCGGGGGGTGGGGGGGCATGGGGGGGCTGCACCAGACTCCCCGAGCTGCCGCCCCAGCCCCAGTGAAAGCTGCTCCAGCGACCCCCTGACCCCACACCCAGGGCTGGCCCCAGAGTCTCCCAGATCCCGTCACCTCAACCCCTCCCGGACAGGCCAGGCGTGGGCAAGTCAGCTATGTGACCTGGGGCATGGTGCCAGGTGGCCGTGTGTGGCCCCGGGCCGGACCCCACACCCTGGGCCAGGGGCCCTTGTGCAGTGCCCAGACTGCACCACCGTCCGGGCCGCCCTGTCTGAACAACCCCAGCCCCCGGGCCCTGGGCCTCACACGAGGAGCAGCCCTGCAGGGGCCCAGCCCCCCTGCTGGCCGGGACAGCAGCCGGACACCAGCTCACCAGCCGGGTCCCACAACAAGCTCCACTGACCCGCGGGTGAGGACCGTCCCTGGAGCCTCCAGAAGCGCGGGGGAGACCTTCTGGGTGCACGTGTGTGTATGTGTGTGTATGTGTGTATACATGCGTGTGCGATGGCAGGGAAGAGCAATGCCCCATGGCCAGAGAGGCCAGCAGTGATGGTGGAGGACTCTGCGGGCTGCTCCTTGAGGTGACAGACCTGCTCCAGCCCGCGGCCGCCCCAGCTCCTACCCGGAGGGGGCCACGGGGGCCGGGAGGAGCCCCCACGGGGCCAAGGCCCTGCCAGATGCCCTGGGAACCCTGAGGGCTGATGTGTGCGTCTGTGTCTGTGTGTCTGTATGTGTGTCTATGTTTGTGTGCGTGTCTGTGTGTCTGTACGTCTGTGTGTTTGTGTGTGTGTGTCTGTATGTGTATCTATATGTCTGTGTGTATGTCTGAATGTGTGCATGTGTGTATGTCTCTGTGTCTGTGTCTGTGTGTATGTATGTTTGGGGTCACACTCCTGTTCTGTGCTCAGGAGTGATTTGTGGCAGAGCTCGGGGGGCCCTACGCAGTCCTGGGGATCGAACCCAGGGCCTCGTGTGTGCGAAGTACAGACTCTCCCTCTGAGCCGCCTCCCGCAGCCTCACGCCGGACCCTGAGGCACAGACAGAGCCTGTCCTGCTGCCCCCAGGGTGCGGGCAGACAGTGAACGTGGCACCGGCCCGGGTGCTCTGTCTGGGGTGGGTTCTGGTGCCGGCGGGAATCAGGTGTGGACTCGGTAACACCAAGCTGCTGAGCCATTCGACATGTCAGTGATGTAGTGCTAGAGATACAGGCCCCGAGGGACGCGGGGGTCCTGGGCACCCGGGGCGTTTGGCCGGACCTTGCAAATAGTGAGTCTGTGGACAGAGGCAGCTGCACCAGCAGGTCGGACACAGGGGGAGTCCCCAGGGGGGTCCCCGGAGCCGAGCATGCCCAGTTGGGCTGGCGCCATCCCTGGCCAGCTCCTGCCTGGCCCCCAGCTTCAGGCAAAGCCTCGGGGCACCTGGAAAGGGTTGCCTTGGCCACCAGGTGGCCGTCCAGTCATCCACCGATCCATCTGTCCGTCGTCCATCCATCTGTCCATCTGGGCCGCAGGCGACAGAACCAGACTGGGCCCTTCCTGCGCCTGGCAGGTGCCCTGAGGGCGCAGGGCCGGGCGCTAGGGTCGCGAGCAGCGGAGTCGGCGGCATCAACCAGCTCAAGGTCCCGCGTGCTCCATCCACAGAGGAGATGCTGGGGGGGGGAGGGGGCTGTCATGAAGGAAGGGGTGGGGGCAGCTGAACATCCCCTGCCGGGGGCGGGGGCTGAGACTGAGCAGGGAAGGGCCGGGAGGACAGAGGCAGCGGCACGGAGTTTGGGGGGACAGTGTCTGGGCCCCTGGAGGGAGGCTGGGGGTGCCCAGCCCCTGCTCTGCCCACCAGCAGGGAGCCCCCAGGGTCCCGGGCGGAAGTGGCCACGGGAAGGGCCTCGAGCCTTCCAGGGAAGAGCGGCCCAGAGTGGGGGGTGGGGCGTGTGTAGCCCCCGTGTCCCCCCCGCCAGGCCGCCCATGTGGGGACCCTCAGGCCCACACAGCTCAGGGGCGAGGAGGCCCCGGGTGACCTGGGTTCTGGGGAGGGTCCCCCGGCTTCCACCTGCTGCCCCTGCCACTGTGTCTGGGTGTGAGACCCCAGACCCCAGGCCCCCAAGGTCCCCCCTCCCCAGCACCCACTCACCTCATCCCTGTCCTGCTGGGGTCACCTCAGGCTGATCCGGGAGTCCAGCAGTTGCAAGTGCTCATGGACACCGAATGGGATGGTGGGTGTCCACAGCCTGCAGGGGGGGAGAGAGAGAGGGCCGTGGGGAGTGGGGTCCCCGATCCCTGCTCACGTGACAGAGAACCCGGGTCCTGAGTTCTGCGTCTGATGTTTACTTTTGGGGGGGTGGGACACACCTGGCAGGGCGTGGCGTGCTGGGCAGTGAATCCAGATGGACTGCACACAAGCTGAATGCCTTACCCACTAGTTCTATCTATCTCCCTGGCCCCCCTTTGCTGCCTTTTGCTGTGTGGCCTCAAAAAGATGAATCAACCTCTCAGTGCTTCATTCTCCTCATCGTTGCGAAGGGGCCGATTGAGAGTCAGGCCCTTAGCAGAATCCAAGGGTTCGGCATATGGAAGCACTTTGGAGGAACTGGAGCCCTAGCACAGCGGGGAGGGCATTTGCCTTGCACACAGCCCACCCGGGTTCGATTCCCAGCATCCCATGGGGTCCCCTGAGCACCGCCAGGAGTCAGTCGCGAGTGCTAGGCCAGGAGGGACCCCTGAGCATCGCTGGGTGGGACCCAAAAAGGGAAGGCGGGAAGGAGGGAGGGAGGGAGAGAGGGAAGGAGGGAAAGGAGAGAAGGAAGGAAGGAAGGAAGGAAGGAAGGGAGAGAGGGAGGGAGGGAGGAAGGGAGGGAGGGAGGGAGGAAGGGAGGGAGGGAGGGAGGGAAGGAGGGAAAGGAGAGAAGGAAGGAAGGGAGGGAGGGAGGGAGGGAGGGAAGGAGGGAAAGGAGAGAAGGAAGGAAGGAAGGGAGGGAGGGAGGGAGGGAGGGAGGAAGAGACCTGGAGTGATAGCAGAGCAGGGAGGGCATTTGCCTGGCACACAGCCAGCCCGGGTTCGATTCCCAGCATCCCATGGGGTCCCCTGAGCACCGCCAGGAGTCATTCGCGAGTGCTAGGCCAGGAGGGACCCCTGTGCATCGCTGGGTGGGACCCAAAAAGAAAAAGTTAAAAACTACTTTGGAACAGAGCCAAGTGTGATATTAGGCCTCAGACTCATGGTGGTCGGAAAACCAGGTGAGTGTAAAGCGTCACCAATTGCCAATTTTGTCGTTAAAACGTGTTGAGGGAGGGGCCGGGCTGCTGGCTCAGGGGGCAAAGCCCCCCGCATGCCAAAGCAAACGAGGATGCAGCCAAGTAGTTTTGGGTGGGGAGGGATGCTGGCCCGCGCGCCCTGGTGGCCACGACTTACGCCAGCCTCTTCACCTGCGGGCTCTTCTTCAGGCTGGCGGCCAGCTGCTGCGCGCCCGACGCTGTGAACTTGTTGTACTGGACACTGGGGACAGAGGCCTGTGCTCAGGACCCGCCAGCCCTAGCCCGAGGTCAGCGGGAGACCCGGCGCCACCCCGCAGCCCCCCTCCCCAGCCTCCCCCTCCCCGACCAACTCACTCCAGCTCCTGGAGGGTCCCCATCTCGGGCAGCACGTGGGCTAGGCTCTGAGCTCCCTTGTCGCAGATGCAGTTATTGTACAAGCTGCCGGAGAGCGAGGTCAGGCTCGGGGTGCGTGGGGACCCCACCCAGCTGGGCTCACCGCCCCCTTCTCCGGGCTGCCATTCTCCTGGGTCAGGCCGTGGGTGTTGGAAGGCGGCTGGACCCAGAGGAGGGGACACTCTGGCCCAGGTTCCGGCCCGGGGTGCCTTCACGGCCACTTCCCTCCCGCTTGGGACATGGACGTTCTAGGGACATGGTGGGGAGGAGCCCGGGGGTGGGCGAGGTCTGTGTGTATTTGGGGAGGGGGGCACACCTGGCCGGTGCCCTGGGGGTCATATAGTGCCAGGGCCGAACTAAAGGCTTAGCTGTGGTTATGGTCAGCTCCCGGGGGGCCTGGGGCCAGTCCAAGGCGTAGAGGGGACAGAGCAACCCAGAGTACACGGGGCCAGCCTGCCTGGAGGCCAGCGGCAGGGGCTCAGGGGTCCCGGGCACCCGACGGCCAAGCTGGCTCTAATTTCAGGGCTGTGATTTGGCCGCGACTCCGTCCCAGGTCCGAGCTAGGACCGCGGGGGCAAGCAGAGGGAGCCGGGAGGATCCAGGCCGGATCGGATCGGGTCCAAGTCCTGGGCCCCGACAGTAAAACAGGGTGGGAAGCCCTGAAGGCAAGAGGTGTTGTGCCACAGCGCCAGGAAGTGGCAGTGTAGGCCCTGCAGGACCAGCCGAGACCCCAGTGCTGGGGACCCCAGAAACGCTCACCGGCTGGTCCCTGGGAACGTGGCCGGCGCCGTCCCCAGGCCACGGGGACAGAGGCGTTTTCCAGCCGACGAAACGTGCTCAGGATGACCAAGCGACTGGGCCAAGTGCCCCCCCCGGGCCCCGCTATCCGCTTCTTGCCGGGGCATCGCCGACCCTGGGGGTGGGGGGTGCACCCCCGGCTAGTCTCAGCATCCCCACCCCGACCCCTGGCGGGAGGGGCCTGCTCACCTCAGCCTGAGAAGGGAGGCGGCCAGGGCGGGCAGCGCCTCCGCCAGCTTGCAGGCGCCCACGTCGGTGATGCTGTTCTGGGACAGGCTGTGGGGTCATGGGGAGGAGGTGTGGTGAGAAGGGGGCACGGTGAGGGGCGTGGCGAGGGGGAGCACAGCTAGGGGAGCACGGTGAGGGGCGTGGCGAGGGGAGCACAGCTAGGGGAGCACAGTGAGGGGCGTGGCGAGGGGGAGCACAGCTAGGGGAGCACGGTGAGGGGCATGGTGAGGAGGAGCACAGCTAGGGGAGCACGGTGAGGGGCGTGGCGAGGGGAGCACAGCTAGGGGAGCACGGTGAGGGGCGTGGCGAGGGGAGCACAGCTAGGGGAGCACGGTGAGGGGCGTGGCGAGGGGAGCACAGCTAGGGGAGCACAGTGAGGGGCGTGGCGAGGGGGAGCACAGCTAGGGGAGCACGGTGAGGGGCATGGTGAGGAGGAGCACAGCTAGGGGAGCACGGTGAGGGGCGTGGCGAGGGGAGCACAGCTAGGGGAGCACGGTGAGGGGCGTGGCGAGGGGAGCACAGCTAGGGGAGCACGGTGAGGGGCGTGGCGAGGGGGAGCACAGCTAGGGGAGCACGGTGAGGGGCGTGGCGAGGGGAGCACAGCTAGGGGAGCACGGTGAGGGGCGTGGCGAGGGGAGCACAGCTAGGGGAGCACGGTGAGGGGCGTGGCGAGGGGGAGCACAGCTAGGGGAGCACGGTGAGGGGCGTGGCGAGGGGGAGCACAGCTAGGGGAGCACGGTGAGGGGCGTGGCGAGGGGGAGCACAGCTAGGGGAGCACGGTGAGGGGCGTGGCGAGGGGGAGCACAGCTAGGGGAGCACGGTGAGGGGCGTGGCGAGGGGGAGCACAGCTAGGGGAGCACGGTGAGGGGCGTGGCGAGGGGGAGCACAGCTAGGGGAGCACGGTGAGGGGCGTGGCGAGGGGGAGCACAGCTAGGGGAGCACGATAAGGGGCATGGTGAGGGGGAGCACAGCTAGGGGAGCATGGTGAGGGGCATGGTGAGGAGGAGCACAGTGAGGGGGAGCACAGCAAGGGGAGCACGATGGGGCATGGTGAGGGAGAGCACAGCTAGGGGAGCACGGTGAGGGGCGTGGCGAGGGGGAGCACAGCTAGGGGAGCATGGTGAGGGGCATGGTGAGGAGGAGCACAGCTAGGGGAGCACGATAAGGGGCATGGTGAGGGGCATGGTGAGGGGGAGCATAGTGAGGGGAGCACGGTGAGGGGCATGGTGAGGGGGAGCACAGCTAGGGGAGCACGATGAGAGGCATGGTGAGGGGGAGCACAGCTAGGGGAGCACGGTGAGGGGCATGGTGAGGAGGAGCACAGTGAGGGGGAGCACAGCAAGGGGAGCACGATGGGGCATGGTGAGGGAGAGCACAGCTAGGGGAGCACGGTGAGGGGCATGGTGAGGGGGAGCACAGCAAGGGGAGCACGATGAGGGAGCACGATGAGGGGGCATGGTGAGGGTGAGCACAGCAATGAGAGTATGGTGAGGGGCACAGTGAGGGGGCATGATGAGGGGGCATGGGGAGGGGGAGCACAGTAAGGGGAGCACAGTGAGGGGGCACGGTGAGAGGGCATGATGAGGGGGAGCACGGTGAGGGGCACAGCAAAGGGAGCACGGTAAGGGGCACAGTGACAGGACATGGTGAGAGGGAGCATAGTGAGGGGAGCACGGTGAGGGGGAGTACAACAAGGGAGCATGGTGAGGGGCATGGTGAGGGGCATGATGAGGGGGAGCACAGCTAGGGGAGCACAATGAGAGGCATGGTGAGGGGGAGCACAGCTAGGGGAGCACGGTGAGGGGGAGTACAACAAGGGAGCACGGTGAGGGGGCATGGTGAGGGGGAGCACAGTGAGGAGAGCACAGTGAGGAGAGTATGGGGAGGGTAGCCCAGCCAGGGGAGCATGGTGGGGGAGCACAGCAGAAGGAGCACAGTAAGGGGAGCATAGCGATGGGAGTACAGTGAGGGGGCACGCAGAGGGGAGCATGGGTGGGGAAACGCATTGAGGGGGAGCATGGTTGGGGGAGCACAGCGAGGGGAAGCACAGCGAGGGGAGCACGGTGAGGGGAGTGCTCCTTTCCTACCTACACTTCCTGCCCCACAGCCAGCTGGGAAACGCTCCTCTTACAGGAGCTGCGAGGCATGGGCAGGAGCTGGGAGTCCGAGGACCCCTGGGCTCGCACTGGGGTTCAGTCAGTGTGAAGCGCACAGTAGGTGCTCAATAAACATGGACGTGAGCAGGGAAGCGAGGGAAAGGAGAGGGACGAGAGGTCTAGGACCCCAGGACATTCCAAGGGGGGTGCGGGTGCAAATCACCCCAGTGGGTCGCAGGAAAGAAAGGAGGCCAGGATGGGGGCCGGGCAGGGAAGAGGCAGAGAAGTTCCGCCCCAGAGTGTGATAAATCGGGAGTATCCCTAAGTGAGTCGTGGCGAATCCGGGGACTGTTTCGGTGGAGCCACGGAGAAATTGGACAGACTCTGAGGACTTTGCCTGGCTTGGCAGAAAAGCACGTCGCTGTTCGTTGTGGAGGATTGGGCGGATGAATGAATGAATGAATGAATGAATGAATGAACGGATGGATAACTCGGCGAATGCTTGGGTCAATGGATGGGTGACTGGATAAGTAACGAGTGGACAGATCAATGAGTGAGTGATGGCTGGGTGGGTGGGTGAGTGGATGGATGGATGATGGAATGGGTGGCAGGAACGAGTGAACGGCGGCAGGGGTGACCGGACGAGGGAGGATCACCTGGATCACAACTAGGCCAGCGGCTGAGTGGACGAGTGGACGTGTGAACGGGAGGGAGAGAGCGGAAGGGCAGACCCACTCACTTGAGCGTCTCCAGGGCCTTCAGCCGGGGGAAGGCGGCCGAGAGCAGAGTGACTCCATCGTCCCCGATCTTGTTCTCACTCAGCGAGTCCAGGCTGTGGTTTGAACGAGACGGTCCAGGGACACATCAGCCAGTGCCCCAGAGACAGTCTCCCGCCCTCGTCCCCGCACCCTCCCACACCCACCAGGCTCACGGGAACAAGTCTCCGCCGAGGCTGGGCAGCCACAGTCGGCCAACTAGGAGACCAGGTTCAAACTCCCGAGGGACTCGAGTCCCAGAACCGTTTCTGGAGAGTTCCATGAATTTGGACAACTTCCTGAGCCTCTGAGGACCCAACTTCCCAGGGGCTGCTGCCTCCCATGCCTCTGGGGGCTGTGGATGGGGGGGGGGTGTCCCTGAGTGGGCAGAGTTCAACGTTCGCCACAGGAAAGGTCAGTGTTTTCACTGTGGGGGTCCCCCTCGGGCGGGAGAGACGGGGAGGGTGGCAGGGGAGGGGGCAGAGGCCAGGGGCAGGGCTGGGGTCCCGGGCGTCCTACTCACTCCAGGTACCGAAGGGAGGAGAAGGCCTCCAGGATCCCGACCAGTCTGGGGAAGGCCTGGGGACCCCGCACGGGGCCCAGCCTGGGAGACAGAGAAGAGACAGTCAAGGCCCCGGGCGGGACGGGCAGAGCAGAGAGGCCGAGGCCCCTTTCCATGCCCCATGCCTGCCCACCCCCCTCCCCTCCAAGGCCCCCAAACTAACTAGCTTCATCTCCAGTGGGGGGCTGATTCTCACTGACACCCCAGAAAAGCGGGCCCACAGGCTGGCCCCGGTCCCAGGAGTCGGGGTGGGGGCAGAGCTCCGCAGATCTGAGCTCAGAGCCCTCTGACAGGAGGGGAAACTGAGGCACAGAGCACCAGCCGCCTGGGCTGAGAGTGCACAGACAGGGGAAGGCTGGTGGGCTCTGGCGTGGGGGTTGGCGACGCCCCCTGAACTGCCTTCTGTCCAGGCACCAGCTGTGCTGGCCTTTCTGGGTCTCAGGGATGGGGGAGGCGGGTCTGGCCCGAGATGTGTCCCCGCCACCGCCCGCCACCTCCAGTACCGCCCAGGGCAGTGCCCGTGCACCCCAAGCCCTGCTGCGCCTGACCACTGGCCCAGAGTGCCAACCGAGGGGCCCGGGGAGAGGCCCTGGGTGCCACCATGGGGGCGGATCTAATGTAAATGAAGGACACGCGTGGCCTTGGCGGAGCAGGGGGGCAGAGGACAAGCCAGAGAGCCAAGACGCGGGCAGGAGTGTGGGCAGGAGCTAAGGATGCGGGGTTGCGGCTGAGAGGGCCCCCGTGAGCACTATTGGGGGTGCAAGGACGTGGGGAGGGGCGGGGGGCGGGAACATCTGGCAGCAGCATCGTGGCAGCCCCCAAGGCCCAACTGTGTCTCGGAGCCTGGAAAGAACGTGGCAGGAAGTGGGGTGAGCCCGGGGTGGGCACCGATCAGGGAGGACCCTGGTGACCAGCCGAGCCCCCACGGGGTGCGAGCGGCTGAACCTGGTGCAGGGGGCGCCCGGTGGGGGGGCGGCAGAGGCGGCCCTGGGCTCCCGGCTCCCCTCAGAGCACCTCCCTGCCTCTTCCTGGCATCCTCACTGGGGCTCTGTGCTCTAGCTGGCCGGCGCCCCCCTCCCCATTCCGGGCCGTTCCACCCCACAGGCGCTGCCACCCTGAGCTCGGGGCTCTTCAAGCTGAAGATAACCCAGCCTGAGGGTTCCGCGAGGGTCCGACTGTCCCTGCCGCTTCCCCTGCGCAGCTGCTGCGTGCTGGTTTCCGTCCCGAATAAGAAACGTGTGGGTTCTGCTGGGTCATGTGGGGGGGGGTGGGGGCATTGGATCGGGAGGGACAGACAGCACGGGGAGTGAGCTGTGGACCTTGCGCAAGGGACCGGGCCTCCCAGGGCCCCCCGGTTCTTCCAAGTGTGAACTGGGGGTGATCCCGAGCCCCCAGGGGCTCAGTCAGAGGGTGCGCGGCACACACCGGCCGAGGCTCCCGGCTCCGTCTTGCTAGGAGACTGCAGAGCCCCAAGAAGCGCCAAACGCAAATTCAACCTTTGTCTTTGTCAGACCCAGAGCTGGGCTCAGCGGACAGATGCACAGACGGACGGACAGACAGACAGACGACGACAGGTGAACAGACAGACGGACAGATGGACAGACAGACAGATAGTCAGACGAACAGAAAGACGGATGGACAGACGGATAGACAGACAGATGGAGGGACAGACAGCCGGGCAGACAGATGGACGGGCAGACAGCCAGCCAGACAGCCAGTCGGGCAGACAGACAGATGGACGGATGGACAGACAGATGATGGGTGGAAAGACAGACGGACCGACAGACTGCCGGGTAGACAGATGGACAGACAGACAGATGGACAGACAGACGGATGGACAGGCAGGCGGATGGACAGACCGACAGACGATGGACAGGCAGACAGACAGACAGACAGACGTACGTACAGACAGAGAGACGTGCCACCTACGCGCCTGCACCTGTGTGCGGGGGCTGGTGATGATCCCCAGAGGGGCTCCCCAGGCTCAGGGGTGTAGGTGTCCCACCCGCATCCCGAGCTTCACTGCTGCCCCCTGGGGCGCACGAGCTGGGTGTTGCCCCTCTCGGTCACCGGGGCCAGCCTGGGCCCCCAGGCCCCCGCTGCTGTGCCCTCCCCCCCATCTTTGGCAGCTCTGGCCACAGGGGGGCGACTGAGGCTTTCCCTGCACGACGCTCAGGGCAGAAATCGGCACCGTCCCCAGCCCGGGGGTGCTCGGCTGGGGTGCTCGGCTGGGGTGCTCGGCTGCCCAGGCTAGGAAGCTCCCGGGCGTCCCTTGAGGGAGAGCCCCTGTTCTGAGCCTCAGGCGGGAGGGCCTGGGCACCCCTGCTCTGGGGGGGGGGGCAGAGGTCAGCCTGGAGGGGGTAGTTGTGCCAGAAAACCCTCCGGCTGGCCGTGGACACACACACGAGTGGGCACGGGGGACAGGTGGTGTGTCCGTGGGGTGTGCGGGCAGTGTCCTCCAAAGACCGAGCCCCACCCCCGGGAGAACCTTCTCTCTCCTGCGGCCTCCCACGCACCCCAGGCTGACGCCTTCTCTGCCACTTGGCTCTTCAGTTACCTCCTCCGGGAAGCTCCCCCAGCCTGCCCATGCTTGCCCTCTCCCCGCCCGAGTGGTGGGGTGGCAGGGGAGGGATGATTCTGGGGGCGCCCACCCGGTGCTGCTGAAGAGGACGGCGTGTGGCACCCCGAGCAGGCACCCCCCGACTTACGCAAACTCCAGCTTCCTCAGGCCCCGGACAGCCGGGAGCTCCCCTGGCTCGGCGTCCCCGGGGGTCCCTCGGGCCCTGCAGGAACGGCGGCGTTAGTGGGGGTCGGGGTCCTGCTGCCTCTGAGCCCAACGGCCTCCCCGAGACCCCTCTCCCCGGTGTGGCGGCACGGCACGGGGGTCAGAGCACGGCCCGGGCACCACCCACGACGGAGCAGCCGGGCCAAGGCTGGACCAAGCGCCTCTGAGCCCCGGGGGCAGCAGGGCAGGACCCCTGAACGCCGGCCCCCACCCCCCCTCACCTCTGCAGCTGCACGAGGTCGATCAGGTCCTCCACGTCCTTCGGGGACTCGACCTTGAAGGGTTCGATGGTGAATTTGTCCTCTGCCGCCCGCAGCAGCCCGGTCTGTCCCTGCTGCCGCAGAGACCGCCACAGCGCCACCGCGTCGCTCAAGGCAGCCCTGGGGAGGGAGGGCCTCAGAGTGAGAGTGGTGGAGGGCCAGCCCCGCTTCCTGCAGGAAGCCCTCCAGGACCACTCCCGTCCCTCTCCCTCCCTCTCCCTTCCTTTCCGCCCCCTCCACCTCCCTGCTCCCCAGAGACTGTCTTTCCCTTTTCCTTTTCTTTTCTTTTTCGTTTTGCTGTTGTTGCTCTGGCTACCAGGAAGCTCAGTGCTAAATTCTAAACCCCAGGGCTGGAGAGATAGCACAGCGGGTAGGGCGTCTGCCTTGCACGCGGCCGACCTGGGTTCGATTCCCAGCATCCCATAGGGTCCCCTGAGCACCGCCAGGAGTAACTCTTGAGTGCCGAGCCAGGAGGAACCCCTGTGCATTGCCGGGTGTGAAACAAAAAGCAAAATAAATAAATAAATAAATTCTAAACCCCAGCAGTGCTTAGGGCTTACTCCTGGCTCTGTGCTCTCTGCACTCCGGAATCACTCCTGGTGGGGCTCAAGAGGCCCCAGGGGGACGGAACCTGGGTGGGCTGTGTTCAAGTTCGGCGCTCTCCCCACTGGGCTATCTCTCCGGCCCTCACTGCTAAGTCTTGATTGAGCCACCGCGGTGGTGGTGCCGGGTTCCCCGGCCTGGCTAAAGCGGGTCCTGGGGCAGGTCCACCTGCCTCTACTTTAAAGACGGGGGCGAGGTGACCGAGCGGATTGTGGGACTTCACTGAACCCAGAAGGTGAAGGATCTCCCACTGGGAGCAGGAAGGGGCCCTGGAGGGTCAAGCAGGGTTGGGATAGGTCAGAGTCAAGTTCTGGAGGATGACCCAGGGGTTGGCTATAAAGTACATTAGAACAGAGAGGAGGGAGGCAGGGAGGCCTGAGGGAGGCTTTGGCCTTCATTGTGTGTGTGTGTGTGTGTGTGTGTGTGAGAGAGAGAGGGGGCAGGGGTTGGCAGCCACACCTGGCGATGCTCAGGGATCACTCCTGGCAGGCCCAGTGGACCCTATGGGATGCCAAGCATTGAACCCAGGTCAGCTGCGTGCAAAGCCAGTGCCCTGAACACTGTACTGTCCCTCTGACCCTGGTCTATTTTCTTAAAACAAAAACAAAAAAACTTTTACATGTGGGGGGCTGGAGCAACAGCACAGCGGGGAGGGGTTTGCCTTGCACGCGGCCGACCCAGGTTCAATTTCCAACATCCCATATGGTCTCCTGAGCACCGTCAGGAGTGATTCCTGAGTTACAAAGCTAGAAGTAACCCCTGAGGATCGCCAAAAAGCAAAAAGCAAAAAAAAAAAAAAACAAAAAAAAAACTTTTGCGTGTGTGCCAATTCCGGCAGTGCTCGCAGCTGCTCCTGGCTCTGTGCTCCAGCAGTGCTTGGAGACCCTGAGGTATCGGCAATTTCCAGGCCCCTTGCATGAAAGCTCAGTCCTTTGGGACAGTGGCCGGGAGGCCTGGATCTAACCATGAAAAGAAAAAAAAGGAAGAAGGGGCTGGAGCAATAGCACAGCGGGGAGGGCGTTTGCCTTGCACGAGGCTGACCCGGGTTCGATTCCCAGCATCCCATATGGTCCCCCGAGCACCACCAGGAGTAATTCCTGAGTGCAGAGCCAGGAGTAACCCCTAAGCATCGCCGGGTGTGACCCAAAAAAAAAGAGAGAGAGAGAGAGAGAGAGAAAGGAAGGAAGGAAGGAAGAAAGAAAGAAAGAAGGAAGGAAAGAAAGAAAGAAAGAAAGAAAGAAAGAAAGAAAGAAAGAAAGAAAGAAAACGGGCTTGATGAGAAGATGGAAAACGAATTAGAACCCGGGTCGCTCACCCTTGACTGGGGTGGAGAGGATAAGACTGCCCCTCCCAGCCTGTGGGACCCTGGACCAGCCGCCGTCCCCTTCTCTGAGCCTCGCCCGCCCCGTCTTGGAAAGGGAGGGTGTCCCTCGAGCCCCCCGACGGCCCTGAGACCCTCTGGCGGGCTCCTGCCCCCACCTGACACAGGAGACGCAGCTGAGTCCCACGAGGGTGGCCAGGCCCGGGGGGTCAATGCCCGTGCTGCGGATGTCCAGGGTGAAATCACGGCCGGCGGCCTTCAGGGCCCGGGCCAGCACGTGCACATCGGGGGGCGCCAGGCGGGTGCCTGGGAAGCCGAGGTGGGCGGGGAGCCCGTGCAGGGCGTGCTCCCAGAGGCCGGGGTCCTCCGCCTCGTGGGCACAGTGCAGGAGCTCCAGCAGCCGCCCGGCTGGCAGCAGCCCGGGCTGCAGGCGTTTCAGGTACCGGCTCAGCATCTTCTGCTTCCTGCCGCTCACGGTGGCCGCCACGGGCCCCACCAGTGCGGCCAGGCCGTGGGCGGGCGGCTGGAAGACCAGCCCGGCCAGGAAGCGGGGCACGGCCTCCAGCCAGTTGTCGTAGGGTCTCTTCTTCCTGGGCGTCAAGGCCAGGTACTGCGGCAGCTCCTTGTCCTTGACGTGGGGGCTCCGGGCCAGCCACACGGCCGCCAGGAAGCACTGCATGAGGAGGCTGGGGAAGGCCAGCTCAGCCTCGTGGGAGCCCGGCACCGGCTGCAGGAGCCCCGCAGCCCCTGCCCAGGCCCTGAGCTCGGCCGACGGGAGCTGCTCGGCCCGCAGGGTGCTGTGGTGCTGGCGGCCCAGCTCCCAGGCCAGCCTGGCCAGTTCCTCCAGGGCCCCCGGTGGGCTGCCGCGGACGGCTGGGCCCAAGAGCCCCACGTAGAGTCCAGTGAGCGTGGAGGGCAGCGGGGCCCCCTCCGCCTGCCCCACGAGGGTCTCCGCGAGCCGGCACACGGCCTGGCACGCCGCGGGGATGCGGCAGTGGCCGAGCAGGAAGGGGTGTGCGTGGAGGAGCCGCAGGGCCTCGTCCTGGAGCTCCGGCCTGTCCCGGTGCGCCCAGTGGCGCCTCACATAGGCCTCGGCCTGCCGGGCGGAGAAGCCGGCCACCTCGAACAGCGCGTCGGCCTTGCTGAGGCTGAGGGCCAGGCGGCCGCGGGGCCGGGCGGCCAGCAACATGGTGCAACCTCGCAGGAGCTTGCGCTGGAAGAGGCCGGCCAGCAGCACCCGCGGCGAGCAGGGCTCCGTCCACGCGTGTCCACTCGCACCGTGGGGGGGCCCGTCCTGGGCTTCCAGCTCTTCGAACGCGTCCCAGATGAGCAGGACGCGGTGTGGCCGCTTCACAACGTGGTCCAGGACCTCGGCGTCCAGTGGCTGCGAGGCCGCGAGGGACAGCAGGTCCTGCAGGCGGCACGGGTCGCCCAGACGGTCCAGGCAGTGGCCGCGGAGGAGAAAGACGAAGTCGAACTGGGGCAACTGGCCGCTGGCCCAGGCGCGGGCCACGCTCCGCACCCACAGGCTCTTCCCCTGGCCGGCTTTGCCCAGCGCAGCGATCACCTGCGTGTCCTGCGGCCGCCGGCGGGCCCCAGGGGCCAGCAGGATGGCGGCCAGCCCTCCACGGGCCGGCTGCCGCTCGGTCCAGTCCAGGATGGCCAGCTCCCGCTCCTGGCTCTTGATGCTGCTCCTCTCCAGCCGTGCCCTCACCAGGTCCACCTCCACCAGGAAGCCTTCCGGGCCCAGCGGCTCCGCCTGGTACTTGTCCCGCAGCGAGCGCTGGAACCGCTCCACACTCTCTGCAGGGGTCAAAGGGGGTGGGGGGCAGTTACGAGCGGCAGGACTGGTCTCCAGGAGGGCACCCGGGGGCTGTCCAGCTGCTTCATCTACTGATTACAGCGTCCACTGGGGCCTTCTTTATTAGCAGCCTCTTTCACTTAGCCAGGCATCCATCCATCTGTCCACCCAGCAGCTCATCTATTCATCCAATCATCCATCCGTCCATCCATCCATCCATCCATCCGTCCACCCAGAAGCTCATCTATTCATCCAATCATCCGTCCGTCCGTCCGTCCGTCCATCCATCCATCCATCCATCCATCTGTCCACCCAGCAGCTCCTCTATTCATCCAATCATCCATTCGTCCATCCATCCATCCATCCATCTGTCCACCCAGCAGCTCATCTATTCATCCAATCATCCATCCATCCATCCATCTATCCATCCATCCATCCATCCATCCGTCCGTCCACCCAGCAGCTCATCTATTCACCCAATCATCCATCCGTCCGTCCGTCCATCCATCCATCCATCTGTCCACCCAGCAACTCATCTATTCACCCAATCATCCATCCATCCATCCATCCATCCATCCATCCATCCATCCATCTATCCATCTGTCCACCCAGCAGCTCATTTATTCATCCAATCTTCCATCCATCCATCCATCCGTCCATCCATCCGTCCATCCATCCATCCATCCATCCATCCATCCATCCATCTATCCATCTGTCCACCCAGCAGCTCATCTATTCATCCAATCTCCCATCCATCCATCCATCCATCCATCCATCCATCCATCCATCCCCACACTCACTCATCTTTTCCCCCTTACTCCATCCCTGCCTTTGCTCCCAAGCCCGCTGTCCATCTGGAGGGGCGCACGTGAGTGATAGTACAGTGGGGAGCGCGTCTGCCTTGCATGCGGCTGACCTGGGTTCGATCCCTGGCATCCTGTAGGGTCCCCCGAGTACCGCCAGGAGTAATTCCTGAGTGCAGTGCTAGGAGTGACCCCTGAGCATTGCTGGGTGTGACCCAAAAACCAAAAATTAAAAAAAAAGATCGGGGGTGCTGGGAGACCCTCTGAGCATGTGCAAGGCCCCCAGTCTGATTGCTGATGGGGGTTGACCTGGAGGCCCCCAAGTCCATGCCAGGTGCAGGTGGCCACATATCCCTGGGAGTAGTGTAGGGTGCCCCCTTGCACCCCATCAACGGTCAGAGGAGAGCGGAGCCTGTGTGTCTGGGTTCAAGTCCTACTCCTGCCACAGATTGGTCTGAGTCTTCTCTACTACCTGTTCCTCAGTTTCCTCATCTGAGTCAGAGCAGGGCTGGCTGCAATGCCAGAGATCGGAGATGGCAAAAGTGCTCAGAAGCCCCCTGGGGCAGAGCCGGGCGTCCTTTGGGTCACTCTTCTTTTTTTGCTGTTTGGGTCACACCCAGCAATGCTCAGGGTTGGCTCCTGTCTCTGCACTCAGGAATCACCCCTGGCGGTGCTCAGGGGACCCTATGGGATGCTGGGAATCGAACCCGGATCGGCCGCATGCAAGGCAAACGCCCTCCCTGCTGTGATATGGCTCCAGCCCCTTTTGGGTCACTCTCATCCGTGGCCTCATTCCTCCTCGGTCTCCCCTTCTCTCCCACTGGTTCCCCATCCGCCAGCCCCTCCCTCCTTCACTCCCCCCCCCCCCCATTTTTTCTCAGCCTGGCAAATGCCTCCTGGGGGCTTCTGGAGGGCCCATAAATAGAAACCTTTGTCTTTTTTTTTTTTTTTTGTAGGGGGCTGGGTGTTGCCTGGCCATGCTCAGAGGTTCTCTTTCACTCTGTGCTCTGTGATCTGGGCAGGGGTGACCCCTGGCGGTGCCGGGACGGAGCCAGGCAGCTGCTTGTGCGGCAAACACCTGAACCACAAACTCTCTTTCCAGCCCTTCCTAGACATTTTCTGAGGGAGAGAGGCCGAGTTGATGTTCGAATCAGGTAAGAAAATGAACAGCGGAGAGAGCTAAGGAAGCAGGATGCTGTGGGAAGAAGTCACGAAATAACCGGATGGGGAAATGGCCCGGAGCACAGGGGGGTCACCTGGATCACCCTTGGCCTCAGAGCAGAGGGAGGAGGACACAGAAGGAAAAAACTTAGGGGAGAGGCAAGGAGAGGAAGGGGAAACGAGGGGGCCAGGGCTCCGTCACACCCGTGATGTGAAAGTACACTTCTAGACCCAAAGCACAGACTCAACCACAGACACTGAAACTACAAACACCGGATCTTTGTTTTTTTTTCTTTTTGGGTCACACCCGGCGATGCACAGGGGTTCCTCCTGGCTCTGCACTCAGGAGTTACTCCTGGCGGTGCTCAGGGGACCCTATGCGATGCTGGGAATCGAACCTGGGTCGGCCGCGTGCAAGGCAGACGCCCTCCCCGCTGTGCTATCTCTCCAGCCCAAAACACTGGATCTTTGAAACACGTCTGTCAAGGCAGTGGGTGGAGGGGAGGAGGGGAGAGGGCACAGGAGGGAGCAGGGGACACTGGGGGAGGGAGGTTGACACTGGTGGTGGGGTCGCTGTATAAATCACAGCTCTAATCAGCTTGGAAATAAAGAATGGGTCTAAAGAGATAGTACAGTGGGCAAGGCTCAAGTTCCATCCCCAGCATCCCACAGGGTCCCCTGAGCACCGCCAGGAGTGATTCCTGAGCACAGAGCCAGGAGTAACCCCTGAGTATCGCCGGGAATGACTTAAAAGTCAAAAAGAAAAAGAAGAGGGAGAGAAAAGAAGAAAGGAAGGAGGAAAGAAAGAGAAAGGAAGTGAAAGTAGGAAGGAAGGAAGGAAGGAAGGAAGGGAGGAAGGGAGGAAGGAGGGAGGGAGGGAGGGAGGGAGGGAGGAGGGAGAAAAGGAGGGAGGGAGGATGGAAGGGAGAGAGGGAGGAAAAGAGGGAGGGAGGGAGGAAAGGAAGAAGGAAGATGGATAAGTGTTGAGAAAATGAATGAATGAATGAATGGAGCCAGACCCGGGCACCCAGCAGGGTCCCTGCCGTAACTCACCAGACCATGTTGGGGGCTTGCTGGCCTCTGCCGGGCCGGGGCTGCGGGTGGCCGCATCCTCTGGGGAAGCAACAGCTGTCAGCGTGGACGGCGGGGCTGCCCAACTCTTCCCTCCCCGATGGCCACAGGCCGCAGGCCCCCTGGGGCGGCGGGTGAGGTTCTCCTGCTCTGGCTCCAGGTCCTGGCCTGAGGCCTGCCTGGCTCTGGGCTCTCTGAACCCCCCACCCAGCACTTGAGCATTGGGGCCCCGAGGGTCTCAGCCCCTGGAATACCTGCGGTGGGGGCCTGCGACGTCAGGGTGGGCTCGGGCAGGCCCGGAAGGTCGGAGGCAGACGGAGCGAAGGGGCTGGTGGAGCCTGGCCGGCCCGGGGACTCGGGGAGGCTCTGGATGCCGGGGGTGCAGGGAGGGGCTTTGCGGCCCGCCTGAGGCATCTGACCTACACCGGGAGGGAGGGAGAGGGGCATGAGGACAACGGTCCCCCTCCAGCGCAGAGGGGGGCTTGGGAACACCTGGGGGCCAAAGAGGGGGAACTTTCTCTTTTTTTTGGCTTTTGGGGTCACACCCAGCGATGATCAGGAGTTCCTCCTGGCTCTGCAATCAGGAATTACTCCATTGCTCCTGGTGGTGCTCAGGGGACCGGGGGACTGTGTGGGATGCCAGGGATTGAACCTGGGTCTGCCGTGTGTAAGGCAAATGCCCTCCCCGCTGTGCTATGGCTCCAGCCCCTCATTTTTAAAAAAATCTATTTATTTATTTATTTGCTTTTTGGGTCACAGCCGGTGATGCACAGGGGTTCCTCCTGGCTCTGCGCTCAGGAATTACCCCTGGTGGTCCTCGGGGAACCCTATGGGATGCTGGGAATCGAACCCGGGTCACAGCCCCTCCAGCCCCTCATTTTTAAAGGAAGTTTATTCTGGAGGAGAAACTCGGCTCTGGAGTGCTAGGGCGGGGTGGGGGGGCTGGAGAGACTCAGCCCGGGGCAGGGCACACACCCCAATCATCTTGGGGTGCTCTGAGGCTCACTTTGGTGCGGGGGAACTCTGGGACGGGAGGTCACGAGAAGGGCCTGGCGGTGGGTTGCGGGGGAGGGCACTCACTTTGGTAGATGAGGATGGGGGTGCCTGCTCCGGTCCCCGAGATCTGCCAGAACGTCTGGGGCTGCGTGGGGATGAGCTGAAGGGGTCCGGCTTGGAGATGCAGGCACGTCGTCGGGGAGTCGGTGGGGAGTGGGAGCACTGCGGTGGGGGTAGGGGCGGCGAAGGCATGACGCCTGGAGGCCTCTCCCCCCCCCCCACCCTACCAGCATCACCCCAGTGCCTCTCCGCCCAGGGGACAGGCTTGAGGGTGCTGCTTGAGCCCGGGGGCCACCAGGGCTGAGCCCAGATTCATGCCACAACCATGCCCAGGAATGTGCCCAGGCCAGCGTCCAGGGGGGCTGGGAGGCCATGCAACGCCAGGCCAGGGCTTGGTCCCTGCCCCTCTCCCCAGGCACCCTGATTCCCTTCCTGCTCTCCCCAGCATGCGGCCGTGAGGGTCTTGGTGACCCCCCAGAGGTGGCACGGGAAGTGCCCTGCAGCTGGCGCAGGGCCGAGTGTCCGCTGCCGGAGGCGGGCCCTGCCCTGCTCACAGGGTCCGGCTCCTTCTGGGACCCTGAGAATGGCTCTAGCCGGGGCAGCGGGGGTAGCAGGGGTGGTGGGGCTGTGGGGTCCTAGCTCTGGGGGTCCTCACCTGGCACCAGGACGGCCTCCGGTGGGCTCTGGCGAAATGCGGGCTCCTCGCTCAGCAGGCCAGGCGGGACCAGGGGGGGCTGGGGCAGGAGCTCCGGGACTGGCACCACGGGTGGGTCAGCTGTGAGGGAATCAGAGAAATCTCTGCGTGGAACAGGTGGGGTGCTCGGGGGAGAGCCCGGGGAGGCGGGGCCATGGGGGCGGGGCCTGGGGAGGCGGGGCCTGGGAGGTGGGACCTGAGAGGCGGGGCCTGGGGAGGCGGGGCCTGAAAGGTTGGGCCTGAGGGCGGGGCCTGGGGAGGCGGGGCCTGGGGAGGCGGAGTCTAGGAGGTGGGGTCCGGAGGCGGGACCTGAGAGGCAGGGCCTAGGGAGGCGGGGGCTGGGGAGGTGGGGCCTGAGAGTCAGGGCCTGGGGAGGCGGGGCCATGGGGGCGGGGCCTGGCAGGTGCAGCTTGAGGGCAGGGCCTGGGAAGGCGGAGTCTGGGAGGTGGGGCCTGGGGAGGTGGGGCCTTGGGGGCGGGGCCTGGGAGGTGCAGCTTGAGGGCGGGGCCTGGGGAGGCGGAGTCTGGGAGGCGGGGCCTGAGAGGCAGGGCCTGAGAGGCAGGGCCTGGGGAGGCGGGGCCTGGGGAGGCGGGGCCTGGGGAGGCGGAGTCTGGGAGGTGGGGCCTGGGGAGGTGGGGCCTTGGGGGCGGGGCCTGGGAGGTGGGGCCTGAGGGCGGAGCCTGGGGAGGCAGGGCCTGGGGAGGCGGGGGCTGGGGAGGTGGGGCCTGAGAGTCAGGGCCTGGGGAGGCGGGGCCTGGCAGGTGCAGCTTGAGGGCGGGGCCTGGGGAGGCGGGGCCTAGGGGGCGGGGCCTGGGAGGCAGGCCTTGGGGAGGCGGGACCTGAGAGGCGGGGCCTGGGGAGGAGGGGCCTAAGAGGCGGGGCCAGGGAGGCGGGGCCAGGGAGGCGGGGCCTGGGGAGGGCTGGGGAGGCGGGGCCTGGGGAGGGCTGGGGAGGCGGGGTCTGGGGAGGGCCGGGGAAAGCGGGTCCTGGGGGAGTTGCCTCTTCTCTGCCGAGTGAAGTGGGGTTGATCAGAGCTGACCCCAGCAGCCGCCCCGCAACCCTCGGCCCCCAGCCCCCAGGCCCTCAGCCTACTCCTGCACTGCCACCTTCAGCTTCCTGGATGGAGAGTGGGGCGGGGCAGGATGGGGCGGGGGGTGAGGGTTGGCTGCAGCCTCGCCCACCCTCTGCGGCCTGTCCTTGGGCTCCGGAGGCCCAAGCAGCACCCGGGGCAGGAGGGGGCCTTCCCGGAACTGGGCCTCTCAGTCTGGCTGCTGCCAACTCCAGGCTCTGGGGAGTCCCCCCGGGGTCTTCCTGGGCAGAGCCACCTCATCAAACAGGGACACCCTGCAACCCACCTGGGTCTTCACGGGCGAGGGCTTGGCACTGCCATCAGGCTGGGACTTCCTGAGGGCAGGGACTGGGCTTCCTCCATCAGACTCTGCCTTTCCTCCCCTGTTCCTCACTTGGCACATGGTCTCCCCCCCTTATAGTAATAACCGCTGGGATGGGGGGATGGTGAGTTTCCAGGGGCAGGGGCTAAGGAGGCAGGAAGGTCCTAGGACTCCGGGCCTGGACACCTAAGGGCCAGTGGACGTGGGGTGAAAGGAATGGGACTGGGGTCTCAGGTCCAACAACAACAACAAAAAAACATAAAATAAAGATGGGAGGGGCTGGCTGGGTTTTTTTTGGGGGGGTGTGCATGGGGAAGCTTCCTAAAAGAAGTAGAATCTCCCCACAGAGCCTGGAAGGGAATCCTGGTCTTGCTTTCAAGTCTCGAAGCACTGCTGTGTGACCTGGGACAAAAGGCTTCACCTCTCTGAACTTTGCTCTTCCAAAGGTCCGTTTGTGCGTATCTGGAAGAGGTCCCTTTTCTACCCTGAAGTCTCCCTGCCCCCTGGTCAACAGGCAGTGCACCCCTGCCCCCACCCCGCCCAGCTGCTCTCTGCATCCTTCCTGCCCCGCCCCTCCTCACCCAGCTTCCGGTGCTTGGGGTCTGCGGGCAGCACCTCCTCCGGGCAGGCTGCAGAGAGAACATCCTGTCAGCAGGCAGGCCCCGGGGAATTGGATCTCCTCCCCGTGGAGGGGCCCCAGGACAGGGCACGGGTCTGGTGTCCATGGAGAGTCTGCTGTCTGTGTGGTGAGGGGGTGAGGTGGGGTGGGCTGGACAGGAGGCCTCATTGTCACACAGAGCACTGCCAGCAGAGCCAGCTTGGCCCTACTCAGCTGCTGCCCACGTGGAGGTTGGGGGTGAGAGGAGCCAGGAAATGCGGGTGGGCTCAGGGTAACCAGGCCCAGAGACCCACATCGGGTCACCAGGAAGGGGATGGGGGCAAACCCCGGACAGGGCAGACAGACTTCACTGGAAATGGGGGGTCAGCCGGGGACGGGTCACTCACATCTCTTTGGGCCCCGCTGCCCGGCCTCCTCCAGGGCCTTCCCGCTGTCTCCCGCGCTGTCTTCCACGCCCATGTGCTTGCCTTGAGAGCAAAGCCAGAGACCAGCGCTCACTCTGGTGGACGCCCCTGGGGAGTCCCCTTGGCCTGTGCATGCAGAGGGGGCCACCCCCAGGGGGAGGGCCAGGGTGGACCCCCCAGGGGCAGAGAAGGAAGCAGGGCTGTGGGAGCTCCAGACTCACTGAAGGCATCTCTGCTCCAGCTGTCTGGCTGGGCGTCCTGGAAGATGTAGGAATCCAGGTCCGCTGTGTACGACAAAGTGAAACCTTTGAGCTGGGTCCCCCACGTGTGTGGCCCGGGCCTGGACAGGCCCCGGGGGGGCTGGCACACAGTAGGTGCCCGGTGGATGTCTGTGGAACAAGGGAGGCTCGGACAAAGAGGGGATGCTTCTTCTTGTGAAAGGGGTGCGCGGGCTCACACACACGCACACACATGCATGCACACATGCACACTCATGCACACACATCCATGCACACACATGCATACTCAACACACACGCACGCACAGTCATGCAAACACACATGCACACACATGTATCAAGGGGCTGGAATAATAGCACAGCAGGCTGGGCATTTGCCTTGCACGCAACTGACCCGGGTTCAATTCCCAGCATCCCATTGGGTCCCCTGAGCACCGCCAGGAGTGATTCCTGAGTGCAGAGCCAGGAGGAAACCCTGAGCGTCGCTGGGTGGGACCCTTGGCCTCGCCCACCCCTTTCCTGACCCAAACATTTCCTCACCAATACTGTTATAAGCTTCCCTGGTCTCTTCGTCATCTTCTATGTCACAAAAGAGACCATGGAGCTGCTCACAGTTGATGGTGTCCTTGTCGGGTTCTGGGGAAGAAGGGTAAAGGTAAAGGTAAAGGCCCTCCCGTTGGCTGTCGATTTGCTCGAGCGGGCCCAGTAACGTCTCCATTGGAGACTTTGTTGTGACTGTGTCTGGCATCTCGAATACTCTCGGTAGCTTGCCAGGCTCTCCGAGAGGGGCGGAGGAATCGAACTCGGGTCGGCCATGCTGGCCGCTTGTAAGGCGAACGCCCTACCCAAGGGAAGAGTGGAGAAAGTCTTCCCAGGAAGGATAGGCTGGGACCTCGGAGCTGTCCGTGGTGCTGAGCGCAGAGCAGGGCCTGGCCCTGGTTCCTGGCTCCACTTGGGGATGGGGCCGGGCGGGGAGCGGGACGGGCCGGGGAGGGGAGGGGAGCAAGCCCACCTGAGCAGATGTCCGTCTCCTCTCCAGCCAGGTCCAGGTGGTCACAGAGGTGGTACAGCTGCATGGGGTCAGCATTGCTGTTGAGGAGGTCCAGGTAGCTGCTCTCTAGGGTCCCCAGCTCCATGGAGGTGTACTGCCCGGGGCCTGAGAGGGAAATGCTTTCCTGTCATCTCAGGGGTGCTGGGAAGACACAGACGATGAACGACACCCCCCCCCCCCCCCCAAGCTCCTAGCCAGGAGGGCCAGGCGAGACCCGTTCTGCTCTCGCCTGTGCTCAGGGCAGCGGGGAGCGGACGTCACATCCTCTTCCTCCACGGAGCACCTGCACAGCAGGGGCAGGGAGCACCCAGAGCACCACTGGGGGAAGTTGGGGTCTAAGATGCCACCAGCTGGCAACTGACTTCTCCGTCCGGCACTGCTGTGAATGACTACAGCTGAGATTTCTTTTTCTTCCTTTTTTCTCTTTTGTGGTTTTTGGGCCACACCCAGCAGTGCTCGGGGCTGACTCCTGGCTCTGTGCTCAGGGATCCCTCCTGGTGGTGCTCGGGGTAGGGGACCCTACGGGAAGCCGAGGGTCAACCCAGCTCAGCCATGGGCAAGGCCTCCCCAGTGTGTGGTTCCCGTCCTGCCCGTGGAAGCACATCGGAGACAAGGACAAAGCAAGCATCCTCGTGATGTCGGTGGGCCCCACGGATGACTTATGTGAAGCGGGAAGGAGAAAGACGGTCACTTTCTCCCCACCTGCCTCTGCCACCCGGGACCCAGGGTTACTGGGTTCTTGTCTCGCCTTGCAAAAAGGAATTTCAGGAGTAGAAAAGCAGTGAAATAAATAGATTTTATCTGGAGGATTTTTAGGTGCGGAGGGAGAGAGAGAGAGAGAGAGAGAGAGAGAGTAAAGTTAGACATGAAAGCACGAAAGTCCACATCTCAAGAGGGGAGATGCGGGCGACACATGTGCTCGGGCAACTCATGTGCTCGGCCATGTGGGCGTAAGCCACATGGGCTCAGGCAGCATATGCGCGCCTGCATCTCCCCTCTTGAGATGTGGACTTTCTTGCTTTCATGTCTAACTTTACTCTCTCTCTTTCTCTCTCTCTCTTCCCCTCCCCCTCCGCACCTAAAAATCCTCCGAATAAAATCTATTTATTTCACTGCTTGTCTACTCCTGAAATTCCTTTCTGTGAGGTGAGACAAGAACCCAGTAACCCTGGGTCCCGGGTGGCAGGGGCGGGTGGGGAGAAAGTGACCGTCTTTCTCCTTCCCGCTTCACATAAGTCACCCATGGGGCCCACCGACATCAGATGATGACCATGAAGGGACAGGCAGTGAAGAAATCCACGAGGAAGGAGGTAATCTGTGGAAAATCTGCTGTGGAGGTATGCTCCCTTGGAAATCTCTAGGGGGAAAGGGGGAGGAATGTGATAACCTCTGTGTGAATGTGTGTGTGTATGAGCACCCTGATAGGTCCTCCTATCGGGCGTGATTTTGTAGCTCCACGACCTGGCACTCTTAAAGTCCCTCTAAAGTCACGGAGCTCGAGTGGGCTGCCTGCGATTCCACGGAGAACATACGGTCAAGGGTGGCACTGGCATAGCTGCCGGTCGCAAGTCACAATGCTGAACCACTAAGGCCAAGTTCTCCACCGGCCAGGCAAGCATCTGAATGGTCTCTGCAAAGAGGCACCCCTCCTTTGTCTCGCATCACCGTCCACTATGGGAGGGACGGGAGGAAAGCCCATTAGTGAGAAGATTCTGGGAAACTAAAGCAGATCAATTTCCAGGCAGAAAATCCTTTTCCCTACCCAGTCTCAGTCTAACTAGAAGATCAGCTAGAGGTCATTTGAAATGCTAATGAAGGCAGTCCAGAGGTCAGGCAGAAAGAAAAAAAAAAGGGTAAAAGGCAGGTGAGAAGCCTGAGGAAAGCAGCGAGCCATCAAAAAAGCAGGGAAGATATAGCAAGCTAAAAAAAGGCAGAACTTTTTCAAGGAGCAGAGTTTTAAGACCACAGCACTAGGTTAGGCTCGGGCACACAGCTGTGGGTCTGCCCGATGCCAGGTCCGCCCAGGGACACCTGCGGTGGAAGCAGAGGCCATTGGTGGAGACGGTCCAAATCCATTGAGCCTGTGAGTGAAGGCCTATCCACGAGGGGTTAGAGTCCCCTTGGGAGAAGCCAAAGTAGAGGCCAATTTACAGGGGGGGGGGGTTAGAGTCCCCTCCGGAGAGGCCAGAGTAAAGGCCAAATTACAGGGGGTTAGAGGCCCCTTGGGAGAGGCCAAAGTGATAGACCTGGAGAAAAGTTTTGCCAAGGAACCATCTTTTTCATAGATTATTGCTGGCAATTAGGAAATATGGGAAATTCTACATCAGTACCTAAATATTCTCCTTTGGGTTGCTCGTTAAAACACCGGAAGAGCTTCCAAGTAGGTAGTTTAGATAAGGAGTATCTTGTTGACCTCTGTAACACCGCGTGGCCTGAGTATAAGTTAGAATATTGAGAAGGATATACAGTGAATGGCAGTTTGCATTACCAGATCATTTTGCAGTCAGATCTTTGCAGGTAACAAAAGAAATAGGATCATCAAAGCAGAGGCGGCAGGAAAAATGCAAGATCGTGATTAACTGTTTGATATCAGAAACAAAGAAGTGCGTCACTAATGCAGCCTATCTCCATGCCTGATAAGAAGGTACCAGCTCCCTGCCTCAGAACTAGCCTTGGCCAAAATATGGTAACATCTTTGTCATAGTTTATTTTGCCGGCTTATATCAACAAAGTAAAGTACAAAAGCGCTTTCTTGACCCGTTTTTAACAAACAGGAGACTGGCTGGTCAGGCTGAGAAACGGGGAGCAGTGTTCCCAATTGGCCAACAGGGTTTCTTTGCCCTGGGGACTGCTCCTTCCTTTCTCAGTCCATCAGTTTTCTCCCTGCCATTTTTGAAGGGTCAGATCGATCGATCAACTGCAGATGTGTACACATGTATGTGTGGTCTTTAGTCAGTTCATTGTCTGTCTGTCTGTCTGTCTGTCTGTGTGGAACACTCGAGTGCTGGAACCAGGTTGAAATCAGAAGTAGAAATTCTAGAGAAGTCAGTGATATGCAACTCAGTGATTGAAGGAATGCAGTTGTTTTTGGAACTTGCTAGACAAGGTTTAAACGAAGATTTCTTATCAGAAGGTTGAGCCTACAGAGAAAGCAGAATTCTCAATCTAGATTTCTTATTAGAAGAACGTTAATGATTAGTAACAGTTGAAATCCTTTTGAACTTAAGAATCTGTACTATTCAGGAAGAGCTGCGGAATCAGAGCCTGAAACTAAAATGAAATAAAGTCCAGAGAATGCAAGGCTTTATCTTACAAGCCTCAGCCAATTGTAATGAAAGTTAGGCCGTCTTTACAAACAGAGGGACAGAAGCCACTAAAATAAAGTTTCCTCATATTCATAAATAGTTTTCTTATGTTCCCATAAACATTGACAGTCCAAGTGCTTTTTCTTATGCTAATATCAAAGTTTGAAAAAACTAAAGGGCTTTTTCTGTGTCTGAAAACACGTTTGTATTCTTGTGGAATTGGTAAAAGTATCTGGTGTAGAAAGCTTATGATTTAAAAAAGTAAGGTATAAGAACTATTGAAATGAAGCCAAAGAAGTTTTTATCATGTTTTATATTAATTGGTGGTTCAAGGGTTTTATGCCGTTATATCAATGTACATATTTGTATCTGCATTGGATTAGAATATTTGACCTAGAAAATATTGTGAGTTGAAATAATGTGGTACATAAAAACAGGTTCATATTTATTTTAAAATATGAGTTTCTAGAGTTATAAAGTTTGTTGCAAAACTTATCCTACCAGTGTTTTTATTTGATCTATGAGACTTTTGGTAACTAAAATTTCTAGAGGTACTTAGCAAAGAATTATAAGTGATCTCAGATGTCATCTTGATAGAGTTAAGCCATAGCTTTGTGCCTTGGTAGAGAGTTTGAGATAAGAATGGAGAATCTCATGGAAATGTGGGAACTTTTACTGACTATTAACCAGCCTGTCCTGTATGTGAAAATGCAAGCTATTATTATGATAACTTAATTTCATGCCAAGTTTTGTCTCCAGGTATCAACCTAGTCCTGACCTTCACAGAACTTTGTACCTAAGTGTGAAATGCTTTCTGTTTCATGGTCATCTATGAGTGTTTTAATCTTTTTGTATCTGTGTTTTCCTAGAAATCAGAATACTAAGATGTCTCTTGGTTCATTTCTAATGTGAAGTGAACTTTTACCTAGTGAATATATGTTGTAAGAACTTTTGTGAGCATCTCTAAAGCCTTTTAAAATATCTCTAGAGCTGATGTAATGCTTTTGAAATGGTACTGCAGAGTAGTTTTGTCATGTTAAATGAGATGATTGGTAACTAGTGTCCAAACTTGGGAGATCATGTTGTGCTAAGTTCAGTAAAATAAGAGTTTAAACTTGTGGGATGACTATTAGGAATATAGAAAGTAATGGATGGAGATATCAGTGGGAAAAAGGAAAGGAATCCTGTTAAAGTGAAGTTGATTTTTACAGAATGAATGTAAAGGAATGTGTAGAAGGTTTGAGGTTTTAAAACAACCTTAAAACGAAAAGGAACTGATCAAATTGTTTTGTAGCAAGAAACTCTTTAAATCACATGCAGAATTGTTCTAGTAATTTTTGGTAAGATCTATGGAAAAGATACTGGACGGATTATCCAGACTCCTGTAACAGTGCTCTTAAGATAATTAAATTTTTCAAAAGTTGCAGGAAATCAAGAGTTTTTGACATGGGATTAGTTAGACATGTTAAACTGTACACTGGACTCCTGGTAGAGTGCTCTTATTAATGAGAAGTTAAAGTTTTCCACATGGGATTGAAAACATGTTAAACTGTATGCTTTATTTATACAGATTTTAGCTTCTCTGACTAGGACCCACAGCAAACGGGTGAATTGCATCTCACTGTGATAAAGTGAGAGGCTTGCTTTTCTCTTCTTTTGTACCTTCAGTCAATTTTTAATGCTTCATGGCACTATGTTGGTTTGCATAAATCCAGATAAGTCTTTCCTCTCTGTAATAGGGTCTACCCCTCATGCAGACAGGAAAAACCAGCCATGGGAC